TGATGATGGGGACCCTCTATTTTCTCGACCAAGAGACTTGGACTTAATTCAGTCCATCCCTCCCGTGGACCTCCTGAACATGAAGGCCCCACCGCGTGTCCTCACCCTTACAGAACAGCCACTGGACTCCCTTGAAACTGAACAAACTGCCTCTTCACAGAGTAATCCCAGCCAGCCGGTAAGGGTCAAATCAAGGTTTTCATTCTGTGTACTTTGTATTTCTCATTACCATGAATTGAATGTCCTTAATTTATTGAACTTGACACCAATTCCATTACTGACGCACTATTACACTATCCTGTGCATTATAAAATGATAGAAAGGGAGCAGCCTGGGGTCACACACAGTCTCATAAAACATGGCTCTTTAGTGCTTGTATATCCACAATAATACTTATCACTTATGAACATATTGTAGATGCAATGACATTTTAGGTAATAATCATATTAAATAGAGGCAGGTATAAGGCTGTGAAGTTAGAGTAGAAAGCTGATGAATTGAAGGTGATGGGTGAAAAACATAAACCAATATGAAAATTTGAGGTCAAAAACAAGCTAACTTTTCAGCTCCTTTTTGTTCAGTTGTTTATGGGTAATGATGATGTGCTATAGAACTAATCACAATGCTTGTTTACAATAACTTCCGGGTAGGAAACATGTTATCAAAATGTATACATCTCATTCATCTAAAATGCAGGTTTTATGCTTTCGTAACTCATTAATAACAACACTCAACACTTTTACTAACGTTAGGTAGGAGACTTAATTTACCTGTTTGGCGACAGAAAATGAAAGCTTGAGCTTACCCAAAACTAGTCTGACCAGCAGTGAGTTGTCACTGTTAGGTAGGTTTATTGAAGACACAGAGCAACAGAGTACATAACATAAACACAATGTATATTAAAGTATATATCCTTGAATGTTAAAGTTACGGCTGAAAATGACAGAAACTAAATAATTTGCCGATTTTACACATCTCCGCAACTGAAATCAACTTCCAGTTGTCTACCTGGAAGTGACTGTTAGTGCGATCATCACAGTGATTCAGACTTATATAAAGTCTTATATATGTGCATCCTCTCGCCCCTTGATGGTAAAAAGAAAAGTGTGGTCACGTTTCAGTTGTTGACCTCTTGTCTTCATGGTACATCAGCTGAGAACAAAATTACCTGCAGCAAAAGCCTGGGATTGTCATTACAAGAGGAGATTGTGTTACACACATGCTCATTCGCACCTAGAGTCCGACTCCTTCCATTGGATAGTGAAGCTGCTGAAGCTTGAAACAAGGAAGAAAGACTATAGGGAGATTGAATGATACATTGCCTGCAGTGGTGCCAACAGAAGAAACCAAAGACATTATTTATCTGCAGCAGTTACTAGGATTGTTAGTTGGGTAAGTTGCTCATGCTTGTCATGTGATTTGCGGCTCTTACAGTACAGTAAGCTTGCTTTGAAAAGGGAGTAAAAACAACATAACACGTTAGGTTTTAAGCTTTAACTTAATGTGAGCCTAACATCAAATCTTTGTTTCATTCATAGGCCCACTTTCATGCTCGGTCTCGAAGGGAACGCAGTGCGAGTGAGAACATATCTGGCCGTCACAGCAGTCAGATCGTCAGAGGTGACTTAAGGTAAGCACACACTTAAGGTCGGGATACCTGTCACAACACTGCTTCACTGCTGCTGCCGTTCCATTCTGAATTTCTTATCTATTATTATTATTAATATTGTTATTATTATTATTATAATTATTTCACTCTTCATTTGTTTAAAAAAAATCTTATTTTTTTTTTACTGTTTCTCCCCATTTACCTCTCTGCCAGTGTAACCCCTTCCCCTTCTGCCCCCCCAGTCCGCTTGTGTCCCCCTCTCTGTTCCCCTGAGGATGCAAACATCAACCTGTTTACAGCTGCGGGGTTCCTGTCTTATATCCAGTCAACAACACGCCGGGCATACCAGCAGGTCCTCGAAGTGCTGGATGACAGCCACCGCAGGTGATTTCTCTTTTTATCCCTGAAAAAGTCACTGTATTAACAAAGATTCTTACAACAAACAGCTAGAATGAATGAAATAATTAAATTATTTTTTAGAAAATAAACCTTTAGAGGAGGTCCTCAGTTGACAAACTGTATTGGAAGAGGAAGTTATGGAGTGTAGAAGTTTCTGAAACAAGGAGAAAAGCAGCGCTTAGAAAACAAAACAGGAGAAAAAGTTCTTTATGAAATGCACAAGGTAGTAAAGTGATGCACAAGAATATCGTGCTTGGATGGTGTCTTATTTTGTTAATTTTATAATTTATCATAAAGCAATTAATGTTGTTTCACAGCCTCAACTTACATAATGTCTCAGCCTGTGCTGAGCCAAAGACACTGTTTTAGTGGAGGTACCTGGAAGAATCCTGATGAATCCTGAAATCATCAGGATTGTTCCCTTATCTGTCAACCTTATTTGCTTTGGCAATGCTGAGGAGAAATTATACAATGTAATTGTCACTTAATGTCACCATAATGTCGCCAGTGGAAATAGAAAATTTTCCCCTTTTCAGGATCGTTTCTGTAGTTCTGCAGACAGACCCTGTTACTGTTACTCTAAATAAAGATATGTTGATCTCCTCAGGTCACACCTGGACTTGGCCCTGGATATAAACCCTGATGAGTCTGGCTTAGTGGACGCCTCCTCACTACGACGACAGGTAATGTCTCACATGCCTAAATGACTGCCTGTGTCATTGATTTACATGATTCTCCACTGTTCTGGTCCAAATATTGTACCTGTTGTGAGTGTTTTCTCCTATTTTTAGGTTTGCAGTGTATAAGTGCTACAGTGTACATTGAAGGCATGCTGACACAACAAGCTTATGTAGCCCAGATCAGGCTGCTTATGAAGGATGCTGGCAGAGCAGCACACAGCCAGGGATAAGTGGCAATAACTGGCATTTTCAGATACTCAGCCATAAACAAACAAAAGACTCAATGGACAAAAACTTAACATATAAGTACAAATACAAGCATTAATCACACCCTGAGCCAGTAAGAAAGTACTGAAAGATTTTCCTTGAAACTAACAGTATTGTTGAACTGTTGCTGCTATGCTGTTGTGTTATTTCAAATTGGATAATCCCAGGAAAAAAGTCAAAAAGGACTTCAAACTTAAATTGAAAACCAGATCGTGGTAATCCTATGTATATGCTAAACTACATAGATCTTGCCCAGCACAAGTAAATTATCACGTTTTTAAAGTGTTGTATTCATGTGTTCATTCAGATTGTGAAGTTGAACCGGCGTCTGCAGCTGCTGGAGGAAGAAAACAAAGAACGCTCCAAGCGAGAGGTCATCCTGTATTCGGCTACTGTGGCATTCTGGCTTATTAACACCTGGATCTGGTTCCGTCGCTAAAATGGGACAAGACAGATGCTCCCAAAACACTGGAAGCCAAAGCAATTCCTTGTTAATGATGCAACCATTAAAATACAGTGAGTCTTTACTGCATCTGAATGCAACCACAGGAAACTACAACAGCATTGGGAAAAGTCATCGACTACAATCTTTTGTTTCTACAGCAAATTCTATATTGGGATTTCACAAATGTCAAGGTGAGACATGAGGCAGTAAAACATAACCCATGTTTACAAAAGTTTAGTAATGTTTAGTTAGTCAACCACTTGTTACTAAATCTCACATTGAAACTAGAGGTAAAGCATATCTCACATTCGAAGATTTATCTGTGTATTTCATTCCTTTGGCAAGACAAAGCACAATGACACTACAGCTGGAGTTTTACAAAATACTAGCAACTGCTTTGATGTGGTGAGCTGAGGTTTATGTTACAGCAACAACATACACAAGTTACCTTATTCGGCTAAAACTAGCTACGACATAAATTGCTGTCCAACAGCTATAATCTCTGAATCACTTTTAAAGTTTGAGCTTTTTCCACCTTTCAAATACTAGACCAACGTTAACGTGAGTTTACAGTGATACAGATAATATAGAACATGAGGTCTAGTTTAAAGTAGCAAACAAATAGCTAAGAAAATATTACTGATTGCACTTTTAAGCTTGATAAATCCTTTATATGGCAACAACAGATGTTAAAGTGATTCCTTGGGAGAGTAAACTACATTTGTAAATTAGATTTTTTTTTAGCTTCAGGAGAAGAATGATTAGATGTGAAACAAGGATTTACTTAAGCGACACATGTTTTGGGAACCTAACCGAGAGCTGGAACTACAGTTACAGGACCAAGCCTCAGACCTGACCTGTCTTGTCTGTTTAAAAATGAGATTCACCAGTTTTGTCAAAAACTACCATTCTTTAAGTGTCAAAGTAAGATGATTAATTCTAGAGATGCCATAACATTTACCCCGAATGTCTTTCTCAGTTCTGCATTACCCAAAACACTTATGTACTCTACTTGAATAGCCTATTGTCGAAATGTTGTAGTTTGTCCTTAATGTACTTTTTTTTTTTTTTACCTCTTTGGCAGTGACTTGCCTCAGGATTCTGTTATTAGCTTGAAGTGGCAATACAAATACAAAGGGTAGGATACTAAGGTCCAGTGAAGTGATAATGTTTTCAAACTACTGTTTCTATAATTTGAGCTTGTTTTTTTTTTTTTTTTTTTTAGAATTTGACCACTTATGTTACTATAAGACTACAAGCATGGACTCTGTGGTTTTATTCATCATATGGTGTGATATAAATCTTAAAACTACTGTCTGTATGATCATGTGTAATAGATGGCTATGTATATTTGAAGTATTTATGAGATGATCATGTATTTCATGGAGGTTTGTTAATCACATATAATGCAGGGGCATTAACAAAATGTTGCAGTGACCTTTCTTTTCTGTTAAGCGCTGTATGTATGACTTAACGCTGGAGTTTTAAGTTAAATATTTGACTTCCTTTGTAATATATGAATACAATAATTGTTATTCTTTTTGCTGTAATAAATGATGGATGTTAATTTCCTCCAGAGCCCTGTCTCTGTGCAATGCTGACCCCTACTGATCTGTCAGCACTGGGAAGAGGTACATGGGAGTTTAACTGGCCGTCGTTGTATACAGAGGTATTATTTAATATAACTCAAGTCCATTTGTACGAGCAGACATCCTCCACAGACAGCAGCTAGTTTGGATCAAATCTAACCTGAGCTGTTTTTGTCTCGTCTTCTACCGGAAGTATTAATAGACGGACTACCAGTGGTGCTGGCTGTACAATGGGGATCACTAAACTGGCAGATTTGATCCGTTCAGAGGCTCCTGCTGCCATTTCTTATAAGGATATCAGTGACTACACCGGTAATATTCCCGATCTTCCACCAGTATCTCCTCCTTTGTATTGACACGGTTAATGTTGGTCATGTTAAAAGGCGGAGGCTAATCGCTAACGCTAGCATCACATCCATGGTTAGCATACAGCCAGCTGACTAACTTACAGTAGTTATCTTAACAACTCACACTTCTTCATAAAGTAACAGTGAAGTATAGAAATATTACCAGTAAGTAGCAACTCAAGTGCAATAATGTACACTAACGACATGGACTCTGTAGGACAATATTGAGGTACTTGTATTTCTATTTGTTGGCAAACACTAACTTTACTTTCTCTTGTTAATCTTTCAGTACTACATTGAACAGTATTTAATTACACTGTATATTAACTGGTCTCACTGTTTCCTGCTGGTTTTGTATATTTAAAGGACTCATATGAAAGGACACAAATCTCTACTACTGATATATTAACCCTGCTGTTAGAAACGTTTCATGATCAAGGTCTTTTAAAGTAAATGCTTTATTCAAAAACTACTGCCATGTAAATTAAGTACAGTAACATCGTTTAAAATAGTGGAATATATTGGTTACAAAGAAGCAACCCTACTTCATAGACTCATTTCTTCAGTGATTGCAATCAGTTAAATTTGACCTAAGGTGTCTGTAAAAGTGTGGGATGTGATAGACAAGCCAATTATGACTGCATAGAAACTATATGATATGCTGCTGATGCTGATGCTGATGCTGTGTTACACTCCACAGGAAAAGTAATCGCCCTGGATACCTCTATTGTTGTGAACCAGTTCCGCTCAGTGACGCCTTCACTGAGGTGAGGCCCCTGATGATCAGTGACCCACTCTGTCTCACTGAAGTGGAGCAATAGTAGATTTATTTACCCATGTGTTCCACTTCTTTTCTCCGACTAGTGAATAATATATATGGATTATCCATTTCCACCCAGTACAGAGTGTCCAGAAAACAGAAACAGCTGTAAGATGCAATGGTTCAATATTATATTCCAATAACTTTGCTGAAAACACTTTGAGTATGTTTGTGTAAGACACTCATACTGGTTTAGTTGTTTGTGTGTTGATTCACTTTGTGGTGCTGTTGTATTGAACTTTATTATATTGGACAATGTTTCTAATATCTTTATCATCTAATATTAGAAACACCTTACAGAATAATGCTTTCAACAGCACCACCACAAACTTCAGCCATAATGTTGAGTCAAGACCTCTCTGACACAGTCTCTGCCATATTAAAAAATAAGTTTATTTAAATTATCTAATTGTAAATAAGCTTAACAATGTGCAGGGGTTTCTATTCTTTGAACGGTTTATTTGTGTGAAATATCCTTTATTTCTTCTCTGTAGCCCCCTGACAGGTCTCTTCTTCCGCACGCTCACCTTCCTGGAACATGACATAAAGCCAGTCTTTGTGTTTGACGGAAAGCCTCCAGGCGAAAAGACAGCTGTTGTAAGTGACACCTTTGAGTCTGTATCTTCTGACTCAACTTGAGACTAAACATGTCCTCATGGTATGAGTAGGACAGTCACGGTTCAGAGACCTTTGCGTAGAATGGTGGTCTCCTTACTTGTGGATTGAAGAAAATATCTAAAACAAGGAGGTTAGAGTGACTTTTAATGGGCCAATGAAAGATGATAGAGACAGCACACATCTGTTGTGTGATACAGATGACTGCCACCCGTACTGATGCAAGCTCCTGTTTTTCTTTGCAGCTTAAGAAGCGAGCTGAGGCAGCTGGTTGGAGCTCCCCCAACCGCACAGGCGCAGGTACATCTATACTGATTGATAACCACAAGCACGGGTTTTGAAGTTTAATTAGTTATTGAACAATATTATCTAAATGTAAAGTTTTTTCAAGTGAATCTCGACTCTTTTGTGCCCCATGCAGCATCATCCCAGACCAAAGATTGCCTCCACCTCCTGAAGCTTCTGGGTGTACCTGTCATCCAGGTATGACCTGCTAAACATATTTTTCTCTCATTGTCTCTTTCTTTCCTTCCCTCACTTCAAGCATTTTAATTTTATCTCCCTCTCTTTCTCTCTTGTCTTGTTCTCAAGGCTCCAGGGGACGCTGAGGCACTGTGTGCGCGGCTGGTGAGAGAGGGGACAGTGGATGCTGTGGCTTCAGAGGACATGGACACGCTGCCGTTTGGAGCCAATATTCTCATTCGCCAGCTGAATGCCAAGAAGGACAGGTAAAAACTGTGTAATTGTAGCTGTGCATTGCTTAAAGGATTGTATTAGAGTTTTTGACATAAGTTGGTGTTTAGTGATATTGATGCACTGACATCACCTTAGGCTGTGACAGACACCATCCTGTCAGCTGGTGGCTTGCCAGTCAAAAATGAACAGCAGCGAACACTTTTTCCAAGCAGCTCACCTGCTGCTAACTTCTGCCTGACAAGCCACAGACTGGCTGATGAATCACTGATGATAGGACTTGTAGCCTCAACCAATGTTCATGTATTGATGCCACTACATCATGTAGTCATGTCACTTTATTTCCATCAATCACTTTAATTGAATGAGGCACTGGGGGTTTCTAAACTGATCTGTGCTCTTTTCCTTCCTCACAGTGAAGTTGTTGAATATTCTTTACCCAAGCTGTTGGAGAAACTCCAGATCAGTCACGAGGAGGTTGGACTGCAACTGTCATTAAAATGTCTTTGAAAGCATAGAATATGATAATTTGTAATACCATTTGTCTGTACTCAAACTCTTCTTTTCCACTCTTCTTCCACCAGTTTGTTGACCTGTGTATTTTGTTGGGCTGTGACTACTGTGACAAGATAGCCGGGTTGGGGCCTAAGAGAGCTCTGACACTGATCCAGAACCACCGTACTATCGAGGAAGTGGTTTTGCATGTCAACAGAAAGGTAAGCTGGTGGGCAACTGGGGGTGTTTGTTTTTCTGCTTTAGAAAAGTAAGATCTAATAAGACACTACTATCTACTGCCCTTCAGACCCATCCTGTGCCACTTTCCTGGAAGTACAAAGAAGCACGGAAGATATTCTTGGAAGCATCACAAACTGTAGCTCCTGAACTCACCTGGACTGAGCCAGATGAAGAAGACTTGGTTGTGTTCCTCAGTCACAGCAAACATGTTAAGTACGTATTAATTTCTATATTTTCATTCAGCTTTCACTTTACATGCTTCCACGTCTCTCTTAAAGACAGTATGACTGTATTCATGCTGGTGTGTTTTTAGGGAGAACAGGGTCCGTCATCGAATGGAGAAGTTCCGTCAGATACGGGAAAGTAAGCGGGAGGAGAGGGAAAAGGACAAGGCAGCAGGACGCAGCAGGCAGACTCGCATGGAGAACTACTTTAGAGTTACCAGAAAGAGGGATCAGGTGAGCAAAACATAACAATCATCGGCAAAAATAATACAGCTTATTTATTAGATGAAAAGGTATAATGATTAAATTAACTTGAACTATTTAAAGGTTCTAGGTGTAAGATTCTTTTGCATATTATTTTTATGTATTAATCACGTTTTATTGTCAATGTGTGAATGGGTTGTAATGTAACTTAAAAAATTAGACCTTCCTTAACTTTCTCGGTAGCCTGTGGACTGATTGTCAATGCGTTCCTATGTAGATATGAAGGTCGGATTTTCCGCAAAAATTCAAAGGATGTGATGTTCCAAGTGGCTTCTCTCTCCATTTACCTACAGTGTCAACACTGTGCAACATGGCCGTAACTGGTTGCTGCTGGTTAGTGTTGACTGTTGGAGTGATTTGTAAACGTTGAGCTAGTTAGTACCATGGACTTATTCCCAAATAAAATATAGGAACATTGCAGATAGAAATGTTATTCTAAATATGATTGTAATTTAGTTTTCTGCATTCAGTCTAGTGTATGTCCCTTTTGGCTGATGCCCACGATGTTGCTCACTTGCGCCTACAGACTGTGTACAGAGTGCGGGCAACCGGACGCTTGGATCAGTCATGTTTTCTACCCCAGTCAGGCAGTCAGTGCTGAGTAGTCACAAAAGTGGTGTGTTGATTTGTCTGAATAGTTCTCTCTTTTGTCCTCTAGCCCGTGGAAGCTGCAGACTCTTTGAGCAGCAGCAGAAAGAGACCAAAGTCAAAATAAGGCCGCCACCATCTGCTGCTTGGAAGTTGGAAAGAAGTTGTTTTGAACCCTGTCTGCCTGCTGAATATCGCAAAAGAAGACAAAAACATTAACATATGTGCAATCCTGATCTTGAGTTACTGCTATGAGAAGATTTTGTTCTAACAAACTATCATGGTTCATTCCTGTACTCATGAGAAAGCCGGTCATCTTTGTAATTCATGTCAGTGACTAAATGGCATTCCATTCATTTTTAGTTTATTTTATTTTCATTAATAATTGACTAATTTTAACAATTTCAGAGGCAGCAGCTTTACATGTTGGATAATGGCTTTGCTTTGGCAGAGGACTGCTCTTTTCCCAAAGGCCTTCCAGTCACAGCCGAAATTAGAAGAAGCCAAAACAGACATCTATCAAGACACTGACTTTAAGTCTTTGCCTCTGCATGGGGTCAACACCCCCACTGACGATGCAATAATCTGACCTTGTCTTAACAGCAGTGTCCGCAACAATGCAATCTACTGAGCAGAGCTTCAGTGTATCCAGCAGTTTCCTGCAGAGCCACCAAGAAAAGCGGTGCAGGCGGCGGACGGCTATGAAAGAGAACAGTGCAATCACTGTCAGGGAGGCCTCTCCTCAAGCCAAAACTGGAGACAGGGGATGTCTCATCTCTAGATATTCAATGAGCACCTGTTGTATAAAGGGTGCCAAGGCAGGGACCAAAGACTTGAATTTTAAAACATGCACAAAAAAGGGATCATGTCTAAAAAGAGAAAGTGAGATGTTTAAATCCACATTAAGATTTTTTTTATTATACTATTTTTAAAATACTTAAATACAGAATACACAGAAAACAATGTATGCTATATATTTGTTTTTTATTTGTTATGGCGTTGGCCTCTCTTAAAATAAAAATAATGTGTACATTTGTTTGTTTGTGAGGTGTTCTTGTGGTGACGTGTGTGTGACTCATTTATAGTTATCCTTCCTGAAATGTTTCCAAATCACTCAGTTACTCTTCATTGAGATACGAGGCATCCTTCCAAACCAACAGATGGCGCCGGTGGCTGTGAAGCGGCTCTGTCTCTCACTCTCTCCGTGTAGAAGAAGTAGTCCGCCAGTCGCCCAGTCTCCCTGCTAGACCTCTCGGCAAGGTGTCTGCCCGGCTACCGCCGTCGCACGCCACAACTCTGCCCTGAAGACACCCGCCCTGCCCCGGGTCCCTTTGACCAAACTTCCCCCCCGGTGATACCAGCCCGATCTTTTTTTTCTGCGGCAATGGCGACCAGTGCGAAGCGAAAGCAGGAGGAGACCCATCTGAAGATGCTCCGGGAAATGACTAGCCTGCCCGCGAATAGGAAATGCTTCGACTGCGACCAGCGCGGCCCGACCTATGTCAACATGACAGTGGGCTCCTTCGTCTGTACCACCTGCTCCGGCATCTTGTGAGTGTCCCTTCGGGGTAAAGTGTCATCTTTATGGGTTACAGTGTCCACCAGGCACCGCTGTCGGTCAGGGGTCCGCCACTGACTTGGCGGTACCGTTAGCTCGTTAGCTAGCGTTAAAGTCAGGACAGGTAACGTTGAAGCTCCCCTCGGTTCTTCCCCGAGGCCGCTGGGTTGGGCCGGGTGGTGTCGGCAGTTTGGTTTGTTTACAGTCCTCCTTCAGTGAGATAGGATGTGGTGATATAGAGGTGTGTGTGTGTGTGTGTGTGTGTGTGTGTGGGGGGGGTCTCAGAGGATTATTGTCTGTGTGGTCAAGGTTAGCTCGCCCGACGTTAGGTTCACATAACAGTCAAATATTTGAGCACCTTGTTTAAAAACAGCACGTCACTGGGAAACCTCCTCTAGCTGAACTTTAACACACACACACACACACACACACACACACACACACACACACACACACACACACACACAGATCTCTTGATAAGCAGGAGCTGCAGGGTGGGTCTCTCAACTTGTGAAGTAGTTGAAAGATAAAGTAGGGCAGTGGGTCGTCCATAGCTGCTGTCTGATGAAATCACTTCTTGTTCCTCTAAAACTCTAATGGTTTTGAAATCATAACCAGGATTTAGGCAATGAATCTGATTCATGCAATATGTGACCTGCCCACGCCCATGGAGTTGCTCATATAGAGGCAAACAACATTTCTGCTAATCCTGCTGTCAGTATGTATATGTATGTGTTTTTCTTGTCAGGGAACATGTAAGCCTACATCTACCCCAGTCTATTGTAGGTGGATGTATAGTGGTTACCCTTTAACTGTGTGTGTCTGTGTGTGTCTGTGTGTCTGTGTCTGTCTGTAACTCCTCTCTCAGGATCTCGATACGTTGTATTGTATTCTGTATGGGTATGCAATACGTCAGCTACCCTGACACAGATAAGATCACATGGTGTGTGTGAGTCTGGGGACAGTAGCACAACTGTTAGGAAAAGTTATATTGGGGAAATTGCTTAAACTAATGTTTGAGTGCATGGACATTAAAATAAATAGATAATAATAATAAAAGTGAAAATTTAAATGTTTAACTTTTACCATGTCATCTGAATTAAGTACAAATATAAGCACAATATAGTTAGTATAATAGTAAAGTATAATAGTGCAGCCTTGGGTTTATGTGGATAGGTCTGTATCAGCTTTACACATCAGTTTTTCCTCATTCTTTCTTTCTTTGCAACACTGTGAAAGCTCTGTCAAGTTGCAGTGAGCAGCAGTTTTCAAATCCTGCCATAAATTCTGGTGTGGATGGTTGTCTGGACTCTGACTTGACCAAACCAGTGCATTAACATTGTTGATTTTAAGCCAGTCCCATTACAGATTGCATCAGGTTTTGGTCCAGGATGTGTTTTGAGACTTCATGTTACCCTCAGCCTCAACAAGCCTCCCATGGCTTGCAGGAGCATCCCCGGAGCATGGTGCTTCGGCTGCTATCACAAGCCTTCATGGTGGTGTGTTTTGGCCTCATCAGACCATAGAACCTTATTCCACTTTGCTTCAGAGTCTCCCACATTATGCTAAATGCTAGCCCCGATGTCATGTGTCAACAGTGGTTTTGTCTTTGCCAATCTGCCATAAAGCCGCAACTGGTGAAGCAACAGTTGTTGTCTGAACTGTCCCCCATCTCTGCAATAAAAGCTCCTCTGAAGTTGTCGTAGGCCTCCAGGTGCCCTCCCTCGCTGCTGTCCCTCTTGCACAGACCCTCAGATTTTGAGAACAGCCGGTTCAAGGCAGACTCACAGCCATTTTACATTTTTACTGCACTGCACAAGTGTTTGTGGATGTTTTCCTCATCAGCGTTCAGGGTTTAAGGGTGGGGGGTATAGAGGGATATAAGCCCCCTGGTCACAAACATGTGATTTAGTGATCTATAAACAAGTAGTAATTTAATCTTTAAATTGAATCGTGTCACAGATTCGTGTGTAAAGCTTTTTTGTCTGAAGGATTTATCTTTCGCCATAAAACTGACCAACAAGCTGTTGCACCTTCCAGTTTGTCACCGTGTGACCGTGTGTCACTTGTCATTTGGCCATTTCAGTTTGACTCATCATTTGACCCTTGAATAAAACAACTGGCTGCAGCTGATATTTGTAGGTCACAAACTGCAAATACTTAAAGCATTAACTATCTTGTGTTTTTATATATGTACTTAGTTTAGATCAATTTGTATACGTTTTAACTTTAACACGTGTATTTTTTCTGTGGGTCCATGTAAAAAATGTTAATGTTTTAAAACAAAGGATAATGAAGTATTCTGGCACCATAAATATAAAGTAGGGATGGCATCTGCTATAATTCCATAATAATTGTGAGCACAATTCTGAGTTAACTTGTGTGTTTATTCTGAATTCAATTCATTTTACAATCGCATTCCTTGAGATTTAAACCAAGTCTAAGACCTTCAACAATGTCTAGCTGGCAGTAAATCCTTACCTCTGATGTTTTGTTGGTTTTCAGTTACACCCATGTCCGAAACGTAACATACTCATGCATGTATTCACTCTGAAAAGTAAAACGTATCAATGCATCTGTTGTCGGGGGTTTCGTTTGCTTCTTCATATCACATAAACAGCATTGTGTTGCATCCTGTTCTCTTGTTCTTAAGCTAACATATACCCTATACCCACAGGCGAGGACTGAATCCCCCGCACAGAGTGAAGTCCATCTCTATGACCACATTCACACATCAGGAAATTGAGTTCCTACAGAAACACAGCAATGAGGTACCAAGCACACACACTTGTGACTCAGCACCCCATTTCCCATTGTTAAACATGATTTTTATAGTCACGGCTATCTGGTTTCGATTCAGAAGTGGTTCATCTTGGCATTTTTCTGAATCTTGCTTACTCAACTTTATTGGCATTCCTCTCTCCCCACTTTTTCTCCCATTTCTCGTCATCCCCTCCCCCTTGCATTTACTTTCTCTCACCTCTCTCCCGGCTTTGCCACCACCCCCACCCCGATCCCCTCCTTACCTCCCACTCTCCTCATTCCTCTGCCCCCCTGTAGGTCTGTAAACACATCTGGTTGGGCCTCTATGACGACAGGACATCAGTTGTTCCAGATTTCCGAGAACCACAGAAAGTAAAAGAGTTCCTTCAGGAAAAATACGAAAAGAAAAGATGGTAACATAAACTTGTAGATTTGTTTGTTTGTTTAACAAAATAAAGCCTGTTGTTAAGATCAGATTGGGCTCAAACCAACATTCATAACCATTCTTATTTCAGTTCTTCACTCTGTGGATACATATTGTATAAATCTGAATTAAGCAATATTTTATACTTGTATACTGTTTTAAATAATGTAGCCAAAAAGGTAGTAAATACTTAAGAATGGTAAAAAGTCAATGTCAAAAGATCTGCAAGTCATTCAGTAATGCTGGCTTGTTACTATCAGCTGTAATGCAGATGAAAGAGTGCTGAGAGTTCAGTGCTACCTCTGCCAAAAAACATTTAGCAGTTATGGATTTGGTCAACCATATGTTTTAGTTTGACAGCATGCTCATCATTGTCCAGGACTTATCATGTCTACGTGTCACTTTCTTCTTTTACTCCAGTGTTGGTGGAAAGAGAGCACAACCTTTAAACACATGAAGGAAGATCCGTTTGATAAGATTGAAATACTTTCTTTATCCTAATCAGATCAATGAAATTGATAATAATTTCCCATTTGTTTTACTATGTTGAAAAAAAAGTGCCCAGATGGGATCAAATTTATAAAAGCTGTTTCTATTTTCCATTTTTAATATGTCTCTACATTTGTGTTTTTGTTATTTTCTGAATGTCTAGGTATGTTCCTCCTGACCAGGCAAGGGCAGCAGTAAGTGTCCAAGCCTCTGTGTCCGGCTCCTCAGCCAGCAGCACTGGTAGTACCCCAGAAGTCCAACCCCTCAAGACCCTGCAGCTCAACAGGACCCCACTGCGCCAGGTAACAGAAATGAGACACAGAGCCTCCTTTTGTCCTTTAGACATCCCTCTAAAATGTGTTTTTGAATGTGGTTGTAGAAACATTTTAACCCTCTTAACCCCCGGCTGCTGCCCAGTCTCCAGGGGTAGCTCGTTCCCAGGCCCACAGCGCTGCTCAGGAGAAGAAGTTTGACTTACTCTCGGACCTGGGAGGAGACATCTTTGCTGCCCCACCCACTCAAACTTCCAGCTCTACCAACTTTGCCAACTTTGCACATTTTCCAAGCCAGTCAGGTAAGATAGCTTTCTCTCAAAGGTCAAACCCTTGGCTCAGACTAATACTGATTAATAAAGGCCTTTAGCAGTAAGTAGCCTTTGGTTTGTCATCATCCCATGCATTGCCCTGCCATTGTTTTTATTTCCACATTCATTGTCTGTGTTAATTTTTCCTTGTGTACGGCTGCAGCACCTCAGGGTAATTCAAATACCAACTTTGCCAACTTTGAGGCATTTGGAAACACTGCAATTTCATCCCATCTGAGCACGTCGCCCCCCTCAAAGTCCTTTTCATCAGGTACCCCCCTCCCCACCATTGTCTTTCCTCAGCCCTGACCACAGACACTCTCACGCTTACCTCCAGTATTTTTTCATTCATTCATTCATTCATTCATTCATTTATTTCTTACCCACTGGGCAAGCCCTTTCTATGTCCAGCAATGCTCTATAGATGTTTACTACTGTTGTTGCTAAGCAACTGTTGAAACACTCAGCACAGTGATCACTTAAGACTTGCTAAGTTGTTAGCAATGTTTGGAAACACACCAATACATCCTTCTGTTTGAATTAATTTGAGAAAGACATCTCAGAAGCTTTGAAGGGAGAGACCCAGTGGACATTAAGCCCTTAACTTCACATTGTGTATGTTACAAAATAACAAGCTTTCCCCACTATCATTGAGTTATTTCTTTCTCTCTTAATTATTTGAGTGTTCATGTGTATGCATGTGGCACTTGATCTTTAAGTGTCTTTTTTTTGTTTTTGTTTTTTAAAATTTGTCCAAAGGGGGAGGTGTGCCAATCCCGTCAATGTCTAGTGCCGTCCCCGCCCAGTCACAGACAGGGAGCCGCGCAGAGGATCGCTATGCTGCTCTGGCTGAGTTGGACAACGAGCTCAGCACCACTGTCTCCACAGGCAGCAATGTGCCAGGGTGAGATACTGGCAGACGCACATCTCTCTCTCTTTCTCTCTCTCTCACACTCACACTCACACACACACACACACACACACACACACACACACAAACACACACACACACACACACAGAGGCACAGACACACACACACACACACCTGTGATGTGCGGGCTGCAGTTATAAACGCAGGCACTGTGGTTAATCCGTTGACCGGGTGAACATGGTCGTAAAAATTACCATTCTGCACAAGGCAGAGCAGCATCTTCATGCGGAGTTGGTCAGGATCTAATGTTAATTAAAGCGGCTCTGCACAACACACACAGTAATATTGTAATAACACTGCTAATAATGTTCACCAGAAAAAGTTTCCTGTACAGGGTTCCTCTGTACACCTGGAAAAATACTGTTTGAATACTACATGAATTTGATTAATGCGGTGTGCAGTGTGTGTTGTTGAATAATGTTCCTCACATGGTGAAATTGTCTAGTTGATTATATTGCTTAGACACTATGAGTATACACACATTTAAATCTGATTTCTGAAAAACTAAAATCAGATCAAATCAATATCCAGTCAATATTTTCCACTCAAAAGTCTGTAAGAGCTCCTTTCACAACTAAACTGCTAAGAAAGGTGGCTAAATGTTTACACTGTCAGTGAATCAGTGGATTAATGCCCATCATGCATAAGTTAAAAAGATGAAAAAAACTTTATCTGAGCAATTTCGTTACAGGAACATATTCGGACCAGTTCTTGGTTCATCGCCAGCCCAGAATCCACCCGTGTTACCCAGCATGCAGCCTGGCTTTGGAGGTGGTGATAGTGATTACTACTACAGTGACGCATACAGAATGAAAATACATTCTCACGCGTATCTGGAAGACTCATTTTGCAACTTACTGCCTGTGTTTCATCTAGCCGTCCCATCCACCAATCCCTTTGTCGCTGCAGCCGTTGCCCCGGAGATGGCCACCAACCCTTTCCAGACCAATGGCAGAGCTCCAGCTGCAGGTGTGTGTGTGCATTTTAAGTTTAGTGTATTTGATAAGCCACGTTTTTTTCTTAGGCATTTGTGTTACATTGATGTAACCCAGTTACATTGCCAAGTAGCTTTGTGATTTGCCAAAGTGTATAGAATTTACTCCTCCTTGTGTTTGTATGTGTGTGTGTGTACCCATTCTGCGTGTGTCTTGTAGCCTCATTTGGCACTGGCTCTATGAGCATGCCCGCCGGCTTTGGGAATGCGTCTTCCTACTGCCTCCCGACCAGTTTCAGTGGAAACTTCCAGCAGCAATTCCCTGGCCAGGCTCCCATCCCTTACACTCAACCTGGGGCCTACCACCCTCAGTCTAATGGTTAGTTGCCTTTCACATCCCTCTGTCCTCCTACCCTGTTCCACCTGACTGTGCAGTACCTGTCAGAGATTTAGGTCACATGCTGCACTTTCCTTGGCATGAATTGTATGTAATCTTTATCTACATGATGGCTCTCTGCATGGGGAATGACATTTAAGTCTTGCTGCAGTGTGACTTGTCAGTGGCAGCTACTGCACAGAGATAGAAGGTTGCATTCAGGGAACTAAGCTTTAGGGTACTGCGCTGTACAAATCTCTGGACCAGAAACACAATGAACAAATCTGACATTGCTCATAAGGCTCTGTTCACACCTGAATGCAATCTGACATGCTAGGGTTTGGCTCTCTTGTTATTTTTCTTTCTCCTCTCATAATTTAGTTAATTATAAAAGCATTTTATCTTTGACTCTTTATAGCCTGCTCTTAATGACCTGTTGATGTAACTGTTGCCATTAAATATTATTATATCCTATCTTATTGCTTAACTGTTAGATAAAGCGGACTCAACCTGTTGTAAATTCCCTCTCCCTGTATCACCCCTAGGCCCTGCATTCCCAGTCTACGGTCAGAACAAGCCCTCCATGACGACCTTTGGGCAACCCATGGCTGGCCCTGGCATGTCCAATAATCCATTCATGGTGAGCATGCTTTGTCTTTTGTTTTCCCAACGTTTTTTAAGACTGAATGAAATAAAGGATGTACTGTGGAATAGGCTATATCAGCTTAAGAAGACATTTGAACTAATGGATTTAACTGAAAACATTGCTATTTATACCATTTAATATGAAATGTATAAATATTTTCTGTTGTCTTAAATCTTAATGTCGACTCCCTCACTTTTCAGGCAGGAGCTCCAGCTGGGTCGTTCCCTTCAGGGGGTTCATCCACCAACCCTTTTCTGTAGCACAGCTCCCCGTTGTCGCCACCAGAGGGCAGCATGCAGCACATATTCAACGCACCAGTTCCCTCATGCAATTAGAGGCAGTACATTTTTTTAAAAGACTTACATTTTTCTTTTGTTTTTTCCCCCCCAAAAAAAAGTTTACAACACTATGAAGGAGTACAAAGGACTTTATTGAAGACTAAGGGACTGTTATGGGGGGAAATGTACTGTTTGGACTATATTACAATACATTATATGCTTTTTATTTTTTGTTTATAACTGTAAGCTCTGTGCATATCATAATTTGTAATCACAATTTAAGTACATGTTATGTATAACAAGGACTGAGTTAACAAGGGTGAGTATACACACACCTTGTGGAAAAAAACCCACTGCAAACTATCTACATAGGTAACGGTATACATGTTAAGATTATTAACAGGGTTCCATCCAAATCTATGATCTGTGGTTTGAATGATGATGCAAGTATTTTAATTTTCAAAAGGGATTTTCTTTTGTTATTTTAGCATAATTGCTACTATACTGGCACTACAAAATGTGCAAAATATCCTTTATGAACTTACAGCTCCAAGTTTCCTATAACCCAAAGCAACCAAACCCACATCTTTTTATAATAGTGTGAACAGATGGTGGATGGGACACAGCATCGATCCTGGACTATTAGTCACCCTTTTAAATATTGCCAATATCTGTGAAATTGTGAAAAAGGACTAAGGGGCAAATTTTGGTTTGAAACCAAGGGCAGCTCGTTGAATATGAGGCCAGCAGAGAGATGTTATAGCCCACCAAGTAAAGGGACAGGGTGTCTACTAGAACACAAATGGAGAACCAAGAAGTGCAGCCATTAAGATAATTTTACAGAACCCTACCTGAACTATAAAACACTTAAATTTGTTAAATATACTCTAATTTACCTCTCCTGTTGGTTGAAGATGTCCGAGAAGCAAATTTCAGATATTCACTATATTTTACAAATATGGTAAAGGCAAAAGGAAAGACTGTTAAGAAAGCTTCAGGGTTGTAGGTGTGACCCAAATTGGGTTGCCTCAAAACACTTAGTTATTCACATGGTTGCCGGTGACTTACCTAACCTCATGACAGGGAATGACAGGTTTACCAGACCCTGCCTTGGCAAAAAATATTTACATTTGAAAACAAAATATTTATGAAACGTTAGTTATGTTGTATTCACCACACTCCTTTCACATCTGTCTTCTTCTTTGCCTTCTAATTAAAGCACTTTTGGAGTGAAGAACAGGATGAGGAGAGAAATTGTGATCTACCTTCAATTTGATTTAAGATGAGGCAAGGGACAAGAACAGATTAATTTAGGGATTATTACATTACTGGATCAGCCAGGGTCTCTATTGTGCCACCAATGACTAACAATGAATTTGACAATGTGTTTCTTGTCTATACAAGAATAGGTAAGTAAATGTGTACATATATAAATAACGTTATATGTATAAATAAATTAAAAGATTTTTAACTACAATTTTGAATTTGTGTTTTATAAGTATTTAATGTTTATTCCAACAGAGTGCAAGTTAATTAGTTACACCCAGTTAAAACTACACTGATACAGCAGCTGTGTAATTAATTGTTTCTTTGTGGTAGAAAAAATGGTCATTTCTCAGTCTAACGTTTAGCTGATAGGTTATTCCAAATGTCTTGTCCATCTAGTTTCTATCAATAAGAGTAGGCTTAAATATTAGCATCCTCTGTTTAATACAACCACAAACTAAGGTTCCCAAATAAACAATCACAAAACTAAGCCTTCAAAATGAACATGAGTATGTATCTGTGCATTGTAGAGTTAAATTATAATGTCTATTATTTAACAAACTAGTGAACCATGTCCTGTAGTGTTCACTGTTGTGCTACATACAGTTTGCTTAAAGCTATAAACGTTTCACTTGGTTAAAGAAAACCTTGTTGCCATGACAACGCGTAAACTTTGACATGGCGTCTCTTTTAACAGACCCGTTGTTTGAAACCTCTGGACGGGGTCCTCCACCCAATAAGAATTTTTATTATTTTGCTGTCACCAGGTCAGGTGTAAGTATTTATATTAAATATCAGAGCTGGTATTACTATAATGTATTATAATAAAGCCGGGTTTAATAGCGTTGCTAACTTAATTAACGTTGGTTAGCTAAACTTGCCCTAACCACAGAACTCGGATTAACGTTAGCTGGTGAACAGTTTAACGCCGTTTCTGTTTGCTGCTAGCGTTAGTAATTTATCTCCTGTACTTCTGAAATATCTTCAGCGGTGCTTTTAATAGACTAAATAATGAAAAGTAGAATAAGAGGGGGGGAAAAACCCATAAAATGATTGTACACTGGCCGTTTACACACGTAAATTAACCTCAAAGTGAAGTTTAACGTTAGTCTAAATCAGTGTTTCGTTAACGGTAGCGTTGCTGTTAAGTTAATTAACGTTAGCTAACTCAGGTCTTCACATGTCCATTAGGAAACAGTATTGTAACTATTATAAATAGAGCTCACTGATATATAACGTTACATCAGGCTGTTTTACAGTTCCTTTGTCTTTATTAGCGTTATATGTAACGTTAAATGTGTGATGATGATTTCTAACACCAAGGATCTTTTGAATGGACATTTACAGGTGATATGGAGATGGTGGAAGATCTCTCTGAGAGCTGTAGACAGGTACTCCAAGCCGGGGGAGATGAAGGAGTCTCACCAGGACTTCTTGGATGACACTGGGCTGCAGAGTAAGGACTTAACTTCCCAACCATTTAGTCTGGCATTTGAATCCACCTCTATTGGGGGAAGGAAGGTGCAGTGGAAAGTTTTAGATGTAACTTATAACTGAAGAGGTTAATAGGGCTTTGTCATAGAATATATTTTGACATGTCATAACAGGCAAAGCACAGATGTAGATAATGAAATTAATGAATTAATGAGGTTGAATTCCATTTAGCGGCTTTACTTTTATTTCTCTGTCTTTATTGTGCATGCTGGCACACTGTCATGGCTTATTGGTACACTTGAATAGAACAGATTGGTAGTGTGATTACTATGATCTATAAACTGTGTTTGTGTGGCTCCACATTGGTATATGGTATGGGTAATTAAAACAGGGACCACTCACTCCAGTCGCAACTGCTTTTGAGTACCCTCAATTGTGTGGTGCCTCTATAGCGTCTTCGTGCCAGTAAGTAGTTCACAGGTTTGTGTGTGTTTTACAGCGTGATGTTAAAAAGACACATACTCAATTAAGTTTTGCTTAAATGCATTAAATATTTTTTAAATAGTTACTGTCCAGCTCTTATGAATAGATAGATATAAACAAGGCCTTAATTAGCCTACGCTTTGATGAACCCATAAGATTATATTTTGAACAATTATCATTCTTATGTTGCCAGTAGACCTGTACAGAAATGTATACTTTTTATTATACAGTGCTGTAGGTGTTTATCACTCTATAGTTTATGTATTGTGAATATTGTATGTGAGAGCAAACTAACTGCTCAGGGTAATGGGCTTTTTTCCAGGTGAGGTCAGTATGGTTTTTGGTCGTCACATCTTGCAGTACACCAAGGCTTTGTGCCAAGGCCATTATGATTATCTGGAGCACCTGTCTGACTCCTTACTTCTGCGGATAATAAATTATCTAGAACTAGAGGATGTGGGTCAGCTTGGACGAACGTCACGCAGGTTCAGGCAGGTGAGTTCAAGAGACACACAAAAAGACATGCTGCTAAAAAAAACTGTATGCTGAGTTCAGAAACATCAAGTCTATTATTTTAGGTTTCCCCATTGCACATTTTGGCTTGTCTGTCTCATGTAAATACATCATTATAAATCATCAGTTATTAAATCTAGAGTAATTTTCTATTCTTACATTTTTCAATAAATAGGAATTATATCAATGCAATGCAACAAAATCGGCTGTTATGTGTATTGTAATACATTACTTATACTTTTCACTTCTGCTCCTCAGCTATGTGGGTCAGAGGAGTTTTGGGAGCAGGCAGTGCGGCGGCGCTGCAACACAGTTTCAGCTGAGGTGGCTTCACTGGCACTTGAAGTGGGTTGGCGCAGCATCTTCTTCACCAGCAAGTTACAGCTGCAGAAGTTGATCAGCCGCAGAAGGCTGAAGACGGAGGAGCAACAGGGAGAACAGGTCTCTGACCCAGATACAGAGACAGAGGAATCTCTCGATGAAAGCATAGATTCAGACCAGACATCTGGTTGTGAGGAGGAATCTCACCCTGTCTCTGTCCCCGATCTGAGCCTTGGCACCGATACCGGTATTGGCTTTGACACCAGCTCTTGCTGTGATGTTGAACCTAGCCCTAACCCTGAACCCGAAGCTGGCTCTGATTCCAGTGTGCTCGTGTCTGGCCAATGGTTGGAGGAAAACTGTGTGGTGGAAACAGTAGTGCAGAACAATGCACTGAACGATGGTAGAGGAGACTGTGGTGATATCCCAGACGAGACACTGGGTTAATCAAATGTTGCACAAGTCCTGTAGGATTACTGTTATATTGATATGCCATTTATACACATTCCTTAACTTAAAATGAGTTGTGTATTGATTATCTGAAGATAATCTTTTATTTGTCAAATGTAAAATTATTATTTTTAGTTAGTTTGATATATGTTAATCCTCTACAGGATATTTGGGGACATTTTAGTTAGTATGTTCATATTGCCATGACTCTTCTGACTTAGTGTACATTAATAACACCAACAAACAAACCAATAGGACACTGTAGTATGTAATAATTGTCTATGGTAATATACAAGTTGTTATATATCATATTGTAAGTTGTAGATTTAATATAAATTTGATATATAGTTTACAATTCTTCTGTCTGTGGCTTGTCATTCATAAACTAATGCTGAGTAAAACCTCAGTAACTACTTGCCAATTTTGGATGACACGCAACATTACTTTAGGGGACACAAATATGGTAAGTCATTTTAAGCTATGTTACAATGCATGTTTATGATATGATACTACACTTTAACTGGGTGGCTACAAGTAACTATGTAATTAGTAATATGTATGTACTGTAATACAGCAGTAATAGTAAGTTATGGTTTTTGTTACATTTCACAGGTAATTCTAAGTTAACCAGGAACAAATCATTAAAAAAGTAATTACATTGCATATTCACAGATATATGGGAAATGAATCAATGAATACTGGGCCATTGGTATCTGTTGGTATCTGTATTCTCAAATAACATTATCTGGATTATCATTATTCAGGAACTGCTATTCATTAATAAGCAGTTATTTATTAGCTGTACCTTACTCATTCCTTTGCAACTAGTCAGGATTCGGTGTGCCTTATTATTACATTTGACCCTTTTACTTAAACATATTTCCATTTTAATGTTTTTTAACCAGGTCAGTGTTGTATTCTTTAAAAAGAGGAGTTGTTCCAGTTCCTGTGAGATCACGATGTGTTATCAGTCTAGCCAGGAGAGGTAGTCCCCAGTTGACCCATCAGCCAGTGCCCACATTACTGCAGAAGGGAAGTTCCCTTCATCCGTTCCAGGTACCAAATCCCCTTTATCTAGCTGCTTTTTTTTTTTAGTATGGAGGAGTAGCACTTTAAAACAGACAGTTAATTAAAAAATACAAGTTTATGTTTTTAATTGTTTGGATTGAAACAACATAGAAGTTCCAAATGTGATATTTATAAAGTACATCAACCATTGCACAACAATTTTATTCTACAGTTAAAATGGTAATAAGATAGTTATTTAGTGTGAAACTAGTTCACAAGTTTGAGTGTTGAATAAAAGTTGCTTTTGTAATGTGACTACTGATTGAATTGAATACAGTGGATGTCTATGATTTCTTATGTCAGTTTGATACAAGTAAACACTAACCCAGTACCAATATTACCGATCCAGTAGTTGAATTTACACTTTCTGACCAACCAGAAAGAAGTATTTATCTAGAACATGGTATACATTTTTTCTAATAGAATATAGCTACTATTCATGTACACTATAAACATTAACATTTGATGAACTACTGCCCAAATACATGTAAACATGTGTTTAGGTAGATTTACCCTCCACAAGTGCTGTTAATAGTAATGATAATTTATTACTAGTTAATTAATTATTAATTATATATATATAAGTCAAGGTCGATTCTGTTACAAAAAGGTATCTTCAAGGCGAGAAAAAGAAAGAAGATTTGCTTTGTGAAAATTAAAACATAGAACCGTCATTTTATTTGCATGCATTGCTGTTTATTTGGTAAATGGGTTAGTTGCACCTACATCATGATCTGGATTCCTTTAACACACAGATAATGTCTGTTAGTTTTGATAGGATTATGAGTGCAGTACATACAGAAACAACAGTCCCCTAGGGGGCACAAGCTGCTAGTGCTAATGGTCCATTCTGTGTACTGTACATCATCAGTGTCTTTCTTTCTGTGTCTTTCTTTTGCTTTATGTTGGTAAGTGTCTGCAAATATGTTGAGTGGAAGTGGATTATTTTGTCCTCAGTGATGGTTGGAAGAAAAATCAAATTCAAAGTCTATTTTATGAAATGCAAAAAAACCCAAAACCATTGATTAAAGACATTAATAAAACTGGACCCTGACAATTTCCCCAGATATAACCCAGAATCAACTGGAGTGCTGCACTTCTAACCCAAACTTAAATTGTTTTAGGCAGAACATTGAGAGCTTGAGTTTGAGCAGGTATTAGCTAGAACTGAGTAGCAGCCACCTGTGCTACTGGCCTGTACTGTATCTCCCTAAAGGCACCTTTCACCGCTAATTCTGATCTAATTCTTCAGCTCTGTGTCCTTTTGTGTCTAGAGAGCACATGAAAATATCTGGATCCTGCCTGGTGGATGAATAATTACTGAAGTCCATTTAAAAGTCCTCTTCCACTGCCTCAAGCTATCTGTATCAACTTCAGTTATTGACTTTTTTTGGCCTGTAGGTACTTACCTACTGAATCTGGGGTAACTGATGCCAGCCAGACGTGGACAACATCCTCATTCAGCTGGGCAGCTTTCCTCAGTGACTTCTTGGGTTGCAGACAAGCTTCCACCTTACCACATATTTTGCACAATGTAAGTTTTGAAATCCCATCTGAAACCTCTGCCTGATGTTTGGGACATGGTAATTGAAATTATTATGGACAGAGCCCTCTAACCCAGGTATTTCTAGTAAACCATCACTTTACCACTGTACAACTCCAGAAACAAGGAGAGGCACCGGCAATAGCAATCATTTATACATTTAAATGGCTTAGTAATCTAAATCTAAAATTGTCAGCATTATTTTCATATCTATAGGAAAATGTATTTCTACTGCATAGTGGGAGAGATTAGTGTTCCTGCTTGAAGTGTTGGAACCAAACTATTTACTGTATATGTTCACACAGTCTTTTATTTACCTCATTAATGGGATAGTTCAGGTATTTTGAAGTGGGGTTGCATAAAGAACTCATCCATCATCAGTGTGTTACCTACAATAGGCGGTAGGCATCGCACCCCTAGGTAAGAGAAGCAGACAGGAGTCCCAGTAGGGTAGCACAGCAGGGGCTCACCTAAAAAAACCCAACCTCAGTTTAAGCGTAGGCTATATTAAAACTATTTTCAGACACTAACCGGCACTAACTATAGAACTCCGGTATTCCTGCATCAAGTCCATCTGCCCCGCGCACTGTATTATGCTTCAGATCAGCTGTTTAAAGTGACATGGCTAGACTAGAGAAAGAACAGAAACCTTGAGGCACATTGCACACTGCACCAGACTGTTTTTGAGTTTTAGCTGCAGTTCTAAGTACTTGATTTATAAGCACCCCCTGAAAAATCCCTGGTTATTGCTTTCCCATTTTTTTCTATTAAAATCTCGTTGCTCTACTGGAAAAACTACTTGCTTAAAAGCTTGACAGAGGACATAAGAGGATGGAGCCAGACAACGTTAAGACCACGTAGCAGACCATGTGGGACATAGGATGAGAATGCTCTGCACATATTAACCTTTACTCCCTCCTCAGGCCAGGCTAATCCCCCCATGGTTAAAGGAGCAGGCTGCTCAAAGAGCAAACATCTAAATCAGAAAAGATCAAACATCTGAAACAGAGGAAATGAATGTATCACTAAATCACATTTATTCCTACAGTTTTATTTTTACAGTTTGTTTAAGGCTGCTGCCATACACATTATTTGAATGAATACATTAATTTGTGATAAGTCCCTCAATGACAGTTACACAGCTCGCCAGGGATCCACTGTAGAGTAAATGGGGAAACCCATAGAGTGACGTGTGAGCTCTCAGCTTGCCTCTCTTTGCCTTCCCTGACCCAGTTAAAGATGAAATCAATGGCTCCTTTTTGATCTGCTCAGGAGACTTAAGTGCCTTACTCACACTATGATCTATTTACAACATGATTGACTTTGAAATATTAGACACCTCTTTTTCTATAAAATTTGAAATTATAGTTTGGTGAAATATTAGTAAATTTCGCTTGTATTAAGCACTTATCTATTTTTTAATTCCCTGGTGTAATCAGTCACTACGTGGTTTCCTTTTGTGACAAATTCAACCACTGGTTGCTCTATTCTCTAACCTTTCATAAGTCAGAAGAGTCTGGAGCTCTCTGACGGCAAGCAAAGCCCCTGATCTTGTGCAGGGCACTGAGAGGTTGAGACCATTTGAGAAAGGATTAGCTAATATTATCTGAGGTTTATCTTACTGAATTAGCCTACATCACCATAGCTGTAGCTTAGGGTTACTGCCAAAAGCAACAAAGGAAAGAAAAAGCCAATTCATCACATTACATGTGTACAAATGAAGACCACATGTCTGTATAGACTGATTGTACAGTATATATTTATGTAGTCTATTACCAGAATTGTAATAAGATGAGACGACAGGTTGACATAAAAAGCTAATGTACCTTTTAGCTCAATCAGAAAAATACCTGTATTTGCCTAAAAACCTTTTGGCTTTCCTTCTCTGGGTGTTGTATCACTGTTGGATATCAAGCGTGTCACAGGTCGTGGGTTTAACCTGTTTTAACTTTAACCTCAGTTCTGTCACATGACTGAGGTCATACTCCTCAGGCTTTTTATAAACCAGCTTGTAGAAAGAAGCTCTGATGCCACATTGATCTGATCCCCTGAGTCTCTGTGTTGACTCTTGATTTTAACAACCAGTGCTACATTGTTACCTGCCATTGGAAAGATATGTGCTGTAGCAATATGGATACATAAATATAAATTATTGGCCCATGGTTTTTTTGGTAATCCTTAGTTCCAACTTTTTCACTTGCTGCATCCCACTGAGCACCTAATGTTAGTCATTTGACTAGATTTGACACAAAATATAAGCTACAATCTGAAACAACATAATACATACTCCATGACTGAGAAGAAGCAGGCAGAAGAAAAATACATATTATATTACCTGCCCACTCAAAACAAGTAACATAAATGGTCTACCACATATCGTTTGCCAATGCCTTTTGACAACCGTTTGTGCATGTGTGTGCCACTTTGCCCACATAAACACGCACACACATGCACAACTAATGACAAAGTTGTGTGTTTATTCCCCAGAGAATTCGACAGATTGACTCCACACACTGAAAAACACATCTGCTTTAAAGGTTTTTATCTACTGAAGGAGCAGGTGTCCTTCAATATCAAAAACATACAGCAGAGATCTTCATATTAGTTTAGATAGAGTCATTTTAGATGTCTTATTGAACTATGACTCCATGGAAAATTACCTACATCTTCAATCCAACTCCGTATTTTATTCACAGTTCACTCTGTAGTGTTAGTCTTTACACTGCATGTACATTTTGTTATAACAAGATATAATTATCATTGTAGTAATGTTAGATTGAATTCTTTTAAATGCTGGTGGTCACTGAAGAATTAAGTTAAAATATGAGAATGAAAGAAAGGGCCTGAGGAGAAGCAGGAAGATTAAGAGTAAGCTCTCTGAAGTACCTGTTCTTTTGAGACTGGGAGGAGGAAAGAGAAGAAGAGGAGGATGCTGATGGATGTTCTGCTATATCGTAGAGCCATAGTTCACCATATTGACTGCCTCAGTGATAATCATTAATCTGATTCTGTTCTGATGGCTTCAAATACAATCTTATTTTCTATCCATATAAAACAATATCATATGTAAATACTCAACTAAACTTTACTGTGTTACCCCAGTTTCTTACAACGTTCATAAGGAGGACCCTCCAAAAACTACTATGACATTTCTTTAAAGGTGTCTTGCTCTTTTGCTTATTTTACTGTTTCACCATTTAATTCATAGTCAACATAACCCCTTGGACCACTGTTAGAGACTACTGAACACCATGAGCAAATATAGAGGGCTACAAAGCCTCTTAGGACAGAGCCCGCTTACGATTCCCTTTCTGTGCACAGCATCCTTGAATAGACCACACAAAGATCCTTAAGCCAAAATCCCTCCCTGGTATTTAATTCTAAATGAGTAATTACTGGGTGTGTCAGTGTGTCTTAGGTTTGCAGGTAGGCTGGGTGAAGGAGCTCATTTGCACACTGGCTTTGGAGCGCAGTGCACTCTCACACAGACACACACATTCTGCAAGACGCTGCATCCCTGGGGAGCCACTGAAGAAACCAGTCACTTAGGGAGGACAGACCACATACAGCCGCCAAGATGTGTGACATGGCGGGACTGGATAACCTGGTGGCCAACACGGCCTACCTAAAAGCCCAGGGTGGTGATGACAAGGAGATGAAAAAGCGCCGTCGCAGCTTGTCTCTCCCCAAGCCTGAGCAATGTGCTACGGTACGATCTTCCCTTGACAAGGACTTTACATCACTTTGTGAAAGGCAGCCTGTTGGCAAAAGGTTTTTCCGTGACTTCCTGGTAACTAAGCCTGAGTTTAAGCTTGCTGCTGATTTTCTGGATGAGCTGTATGACTGGGATCTGGCTGAAGGTGCAACAAAAGACAAGGCACGCACAAACATCATCAACAAGTATTGCAAGGCTGACTCCAAGAACTTCCTGGCCTTTCTTACTGGGGAGCCTGCTGAGAAATGCAAAGCTGTGACAGATGCCACCTTTGACGAGGTGATGAAAAGCAAAGTCCAGGACGGTGTAAGAGAATTTCTAAAAGGAAAACCTTTCACAGAATACCAGGAAAGCCCATTCTTTGATAAATTCCTCCAGTGGAAAGAGTTTGAGAAACAGCCCATCAGTGACAAATACTTCTATGAGTTCAGAACTCTGGGAAAAGGAGGCTTCGGAGAGGTAAGCATGCAAACGCATTTACACAGAATTTTATGAAAGTAGGAATGAAGGACTCCCCCACAGGTTTCTTAGGTATGATGGTGTCAAAAATATGTATTACCCTCATATTTGTATGTATGGTGCTACAGAGGTAGTATGGTGCATTATCAGCGTTGTTCAGTTCTTAGGAAAATCCTAGGTATATTAGCTTTGAAGTATAAGAAAGTATATTGGACTTGAAGAGATCATACCTTACATAATCATTAGGATTACCTTGTGTCAAGGTGACCATGAAGTCTTGAGGCATACTGGCATACCTGTTGAATTAAAAAAAATCATGGCTTATGTTTCACAATGTAACAAATATAAAGCCACAATGCAGGAAGCAGTAATCTTGCATTGATAGAACCAGCAACAGATCAGCTATTATCAAATATAGACTTTTATTGGCTTATTGAGATCAAGATCTCTTTTTCAATACAGATCTGAGGATGACAGTAGAGTGTGTAAATCACAAGTCATCAACTAAGAATATAAAATCACATCAACAGAAAACTGTTTCAGGGTTGTTTGTTTTAAAAGAAAAAGTGCTACGTAAACATAATGAACAAACAGTAATTGCAGGGACCGAAAATAACAGTTCTTGTGAATGAAATACATTGTTGTGATAATCATTTAAAGTATTAGAGATAGATGAGAGATATCTGAAGAAATTAAAGACAAATTGTAAGATCTTGTGGTGAAAGTGACAAGATCTGATACTGATACTGATAGTCACATGAACATCCAGAGGACCCACAATCAACCATCGTTTAGATATCTAAAAATGATTTTAGTTATGTACAGTATATTGTTATTAAAACAACAATGAAGGCTGCTATTATAACTTGGAAATCTGCTGTGACTAAAATACGTTTTTCTTTTAATGCAGCACATGCATGAGACATGATCCTGGACAATCATTTTGAAACTGCTAAAGTAACTTTCTAAGCAGTGCAATGCAGTGAACAAATCTGATCTATAGAGAAAGAATACCAGAAGATGTGAATGAGACGGGTGGCAAATTAGATGCCAAGACACAGTTGGCAAGGGTCAAGGATCAAGCAAGGTTGTCTTCTTGAACCAATTTTCTTGCCTTGAGTCCTCAGAGTCAAAAGAAGGAAGGCATTATTTGTGATTATATCAACATTCCAAATCATGAAATATGTGATGGTAGGATTGATGATTTAAAGTATCCTTTTTTATTTTTTCAGCTTTCCTAAAGGTCACTTTCATTCCCATCACACTTTTCTGATCAGTGTAGTGCAAAGGTTCCTGTGCTGTCAAGAGGCCTTGTACCAGTAGACCATGCTTAGTTTCTGTGGGAAATGGAGTCATCATCCTCATTTTTAACAAATGATGTGTCTTTCTCCAGGTATGTGCTGTTCAAGTGAAGAACACAGGCCAGATGTATGCCTGCAAAAAGTTGTGTAAAAAGCGACTGAAGAAGAAGGGTGGTGAGAAGATGGCCCTATTGGAGAAGAAGATCTTGGAGAAGGTTAACAGCCTGTTTCTGGTCAACTTGGGCTACGCTTATGACACCAAGACACATCTGTGCCTTGTCATGACCCTGATGAATGGAGGAGACCTCAAGTACCACATCTACAACATAGGCTATGATGGCAAGGGTGTGGACAAGGGCATTGAGATGAAGCGCATCATCCACTACACAGCGCAGATCTCCACCGGCATTCTTCATCTGCACGAAATGAATATCATATATCGTGACATGAAGCCGGAGAACGTGTTGCTGGACAGCCAAGGCCAGTGCCGACTTTCAGATTTAGGTCTGGCTATAGAGATTGCTCCAGAAAAGACTGTCACCCAGATGGTGAGTAGATTCACACAAAGGAGTGACATTTTGGTTGAAATGGCTCTCTCTTCACTTTTGAAACACAATAAAAAAATGTGCCAAGTTGCGATCTCTGAGACTTTAGGGTGCTTTTAAAGAATCTAGCTGGATGATGTCAGCAATGATGGGAATCATAATAAGATTTTACATCATGATGAAAGATGTCTACTCCTAAAAGATCATTTTATCTATTATTCAAAGCCTTTGAAGTTGCGTACACCAAAGGGCAGGCAAGGAACCTCCCCTGATTCTGTTATGTGTTGCTAAACTTTAAATCAGCAAGATTAATTAATTAATCATCTACAGGGTTGGACTGAGTTTAAGACTCCACATACTCGCACACAAACTGCAGCAGAAAAGAAATACAGAGAAAAGGAACACTGGCTGCTGGGTGATACCTCATCTTCATATCCACCCTGTCCATGTTCACTGACCCAACAATGAGGACAAAGCTAAAACCTGGACTCTTAGTCTTGGTGAGGTTTTCACTTTAAATCCGGACAGGGATTACTGGATTGCTTAAAGATCTGTGCAATGAGAGTCTCTGAATCCATTATATAACTCATTTGATCCTTTAGCAGTCAGATTATAGCCTGGCCATTTATAGGCCACCATTTTGTGTAGGAGCTATATCAGAGACCTTGGAGGTCCAGTGCTGGTAGCAGTAGGAGTCAATACATGTAAGGGTTCCTTCAGCAGTTTGGTTGCAGAGATTTAGTTATTTCTATAGAGACATTACTTTGAGAGAGTTGCCTAAGCTTTACAAAGCCTATAGCCTGTATTTCTTCTTGCCATGAAAAAGACTAACACAGATAGCATGTCATCAATGAGTTCAGCCTGATGTTGGCTGCACAAGGGCAATATTGGTCCAACTGAGGATAACCCTCAACAACTTACTGACAATATGCAAAAGAAGAGGTTGTCAGTGACAGAACATCATGATTGCCTCTCAGATCAGTCAAGCTTTAAAAATGCCAGGTGCTGACGAAAATATTATTATGCAGATGGTGCATAACCACAACGTAATACAATTACTGTCAGAATAACGTGACACATCTTCCAATACTTACAGTATATTGCAAGGCTTTTCTTTTCAGGCTTTCTTCTGGACTTACTTGCAGCAGCAAAGAGTAAGCTCTTGGTTCCATGAAAGTCCAGTAAGCTCATTATCCAGTACTCTGATGCTCCTCAGCCAGCCAAAATGAGTGGACTAACCTCCTACAGACAAGGCTGGCTTTGGTCCCCTAATCCTCTTAGTGGGCATTACACAAGTCTGTCCCTGATTAGATTGACAGATCCAAGTAAAACCTACAGTATGCTGAATATGTTTAGACATGTTAGTTTGCAAACAAGGTGACAGATCTGTACCTTGAACTGAGATGTTGATCATTACATTAACAGTTTTTCCCATTTGACTGACCAAAGTGTGAAGGTGTTTATTTGTTAAGTTGAATTGATTACCAACAGATATACACACGTCAGATGAACAGAACATAGTTAGAAAAAGCTATCAAGTGAAGTTTAGTAGATCTGCATGCTAGATGACACGGCAGTAAGTAGGAGGACAAAAAAGTCTTGCATGCAAAATTTGGTCACTGGAGTTGTAGTATCATGCCTTCAGTTAATAAGTCAGAAGGGCAAAACCAGGCACATCTGCAGCCAAGTTCTGTCACAGTTGTTAAAGGAGAGATCTCAAAGTAGTCTAGTGATCCAAATCTATCATGCAAAAAGAAAAAAACAACATTGTTTTTACAACTTTAACAGTAGCAGAAGTTTTAAGAGCTTGTTGAATGACACAGTGTCTGATACCTTTATCAGTGTAAAACATTAATAGGAATTCTCTAAGGTCATGCTAATTGTCTTTAAGGTGTTACTACATTTAAGTGGCTATAAAAGGACAGTGGATCCTGCAGTCCTCATAATACCTATATAACACTCCATGTGCTAACACAGGGTTTTCCAAAAAAATATTTTTGCTACAGGGTTTCTTGAGGACTTCCTTGCAGTAGCGAGGATAAAGCTATCAGATGCATGCCAGTTTGTGGTTTGCGTGCATTAATTATACATCAGAGGCATGGCTGCAGGTTGTCTGGATCTTACACATTTCTGCTGGTGGCTATAGTGTCCAGAAATGTCCTGCCTTTATATAAGAGGCTGGACAACTCTGTCAGTGTGTAGACACACATGACTCTTGACAGGTAGTAGGCTTAACATTAGGATTAAGCTCCTGGCCTGCAGGTGAGGTCATAGAGGGAGGGGAGCATAGGCATAGGGAGAGAGTATAAGCAAGAGAGGGAAAGGTCAAAGTTACAGAGGGATACAGATAGAGAAGAGGACGAGGACTAGAGTAAAGCTTTTAGTAACCCAGGCAACTGACCTGTAACGCTTGTCAGTGTCACCTGTCAACTTGTATGAAGGTTATGTTTCACAGTTTTAAAGTTGTTTACTTCCACAAGACCCTCTTCCTGATCCCTGTTCGGGAACCAGGTTACACACTGTTTTCTCATTGCTCATGTCACTGTTGCATCACAAGTCTGTAAATGTGCTCAGACAGTACATTTATTGCTTCCATTTAGAGAACTATAAGAGAGGCAATCTCAGTTTCTAAACATATAAAACACACTATGCTTTCTAACAAGTAAAAATATTGTGATTTATAGATGTAAATCATAGTCAATATTCCCCACACCCTTCTCTTTCTCCACCAGGCTGGTACTGGAGCATACATGGCTCCTGAGCTCCTGAGCAAAACTCCGTACAGGACATCAGTGGACTGGTGGGCCCTGGGCTGCAGTATCTATGAGATGGTGGCTGGCTACACACCTTTCAAAGGTGCTGAGAGCCAGAAGGTGAAGGTGGAGAAAGAGGAGGTACAGCGCCGCATTCTCAACGAGGAACCCAAGTGGGAACACAGATGCTTTGATGCTGATACCAAGGACATCATCCAGCAGTTCCTCAAGAAGAAAATTGAAGAGCGTCTGGGCATGAAGTAAGAGGTTCTTCTACTCTTTTAAGCTATAATTAAGCCATGGGCTGTTAAGGGGCAGCACACTGTGGCGTAGCATATCTGAATATTTGGTACATGGTGTGTCAATTCTTTGTTTATTGGAATTAGTATATTAATTAATAGTATATTTTTCAAAATGTAATCTGAAATCAGTTCCAACATAAAAATATTAATTTGGTAGATGTTTATTGGCATTTTGGTTCAGGAAACAGAGATTGGAGTAACAAGCTTGTTATGAATTACCTGGATTAGTAAGGTTCAACTTAACCGTAACCAGTTGTTGCATCAACCTGTGCAGCCACTCTGTTCTTATTTCTAGTCTAATGTTGTTGTTTTCAAACACCTCTCCTTAGGAACAACATGGAGGATCCCAGGAAGCACTCGTGGTTCAAGACCATCAACTTCCCCCGTCTGGAGGCAGGGCTGGTGGATCCTCCTTGGGTTCCCAAGCCCAACGTTGTCTATGCCAAAGACACCGGCGACATCGCAGAGTTCTCCGAGATCAAGGGCATTGAGTTTGACGCAAAGGACGACAAATTCTTCAAGGAGTTTAGCACAGGTGCTGTGCCCATTCAGTGGCAGCAGGAGATGATTGAAACTGGACTGTTTGACGAGCTCAATGATCCCAACAGGAAAGAGGGTGGAGGAGGAGATCCTGACGATGGGAAGAAGTCCGGCACGTGCATATTGCTGTGAGAATCCACGTGTGATATCATATACCAGTAATAACACTCAATAATTAGTTTTCTCAGTCAGGTGCACATTAACATTGATGTAAGAGATGGATCAGGTTGTATGAAAGAGGCAAGCACGAGCATCTACGTTGAGAAAGATGTACCACCCCTCTCCTGTAAGGATGGTCTTGGTTTAAAGATCTACTGCTTTCAAGCAATGTTCAATAATTTATGGAGGATGTGATGATGTATTTTCAGCATCATCTCTTTGGTTCACAGCTTCTCTTGCAAACATACCTATCTAATGATGTAGAGTTGCAACCACATTGACCATAAATAACTGCTAGAGTTCATTTTTACAACCTTTTAATTAAGGATGCTAGTGTAAGATTAGTATGTTAGAGGCCTTTGTGCCAGAAACACTGTATTACTTTATGAAGAAAATGTCCAAACTGTAAAAGTATTTGCAGTAGAATTATATTCTGAAGCACTGCTGTTGCATTCAGAATTACGCTTTAAACCAACTGGAACAAACGTCTTCAAACCCTGGAAACTGTTTCGTTTGTATATCTCCTAGTGGACTGTGTAAAAGTTGCAGCATTTCATAGCACTGCCCCACCATTTTATGCCCTTTATTGATGCCATCATAAGTGTTTCTACAATGAAGAGTGCTTTTTAAGCACATGTGGAAGAGATAGTTCTAGTGTTTAATATTATATGCTGTGATCATAAACCTCATAATTAAGGTTGATCACTGCATTGACATCCTACATATTTTAGTTTTATATAAACTATAAAAGGCATCTGCAATTGTATTTATTGTATATAAAGAAATGTATCTATGCACTGAGAGAAAGGCAAATATGTAAGTAATTTAAAATGTAGGGTTTGTTTGGAAGAAAATGAAGAATACTCTTCACCTCTTCAGTCCCTCTACTGTTGGTGCTATGAGAAAAGTCTATAGCCCTGGGATGCTGGGTGAGAGATGAGTGCAGAAACAGCAGTTAATTGCTGCACATGAAGGAGGAAAAGTTAGAGGAGTTGGGCAATAAATTCCCGTACCAGGACTGTACAGGTTGCCCTGTCCATGGCCCTGAAACACTGTGATACATCAGGGCTCTTTTCTTAGTTTGAGATGAGTGTGAATAACTCAAACTAGCCAGATCCTGAAAAAGACTCCACTATTGTGGTTGTTAAGCTGAGTATAGAGACTTGGGTTAGTTCAAAAGAAAATCCTTGTTATTCTTGTTCACTTGTCTCAGGGTAATTATTTGCTTAAGTTTTTAAATTTCCAGATGTTGGGCAGAGTTGAGTTTTTACAGTTAATGTTAATATGATATAAATATATATGATACATGTCCTTGTAAATATAACATAAGAGCAATTGCTACTATAGAAATGTGAGATGTAAAGCAGAAACTTCCTTGAATCTTGAATCATCTGAATAAATTAAAACATATGTCTTTTAAAGTGTGTGTGTGTTCTGTGAATATGAATATTCACTTGTTGTAGTCTTGAGGCTTAAAAAACGCCTTAAGATCACACCTACCACCAGCGTCAGAGAAGCTCAAATTGTGCCATGTTACGCATGTTCTCTGGGCTAAATATAACCAGGGAGAAAGTGCTGCTGAGGACGCTAGAGTAAAACCTAAAAATATCAGCTGCAGTAATCCCGTTCAGGATGCTGACTACAGCCAGGCTATGCTCCAGGCTGCCACAAATTGGCAAGTTCAACTCTTAGCTGATAAGGCGATAACCAGTGTTATCCTTGCGCCTTCTTTGCTTAAATCAGCTTCAAATCCCCTCAGGTTCTGAAACATCTTTATGTTACTGACGACTGACAGGTCTGAGCAGAGAACAGCAGCTACAGTGCTCAGCTGAAAAACGTTATTTCACCACATTTTGACATTAGCTTTTAGTTGTTTTTTTTAAATAATGCTGCATGAATTAAATTACTGTAGTACATCAGTAAACCTACTGATGAAAAATAATAGTCAAAAACGGTTAAACACTAACATACTAAAAACAGACACATTCATATATGTGACATGATGTTTACAGCTCAGACTTTCCAATACTTAAAACATTTGTCAAATTATTTTGCCACCTGTCCGAGAAAGAGACAGATAAAAATACATGTTTGGTATTTTCTTTTACGCCACTTGTTTACAATGTTCTTACTCAAGGACGGTAGGAGTTCAGGAGACGCTAAGGTGGATTCGTGCTGCAGCTAAACCCCAAGAGATTATCTCACATAGCAGGACCTGGGGACAGGCTGCTGCTGACAGTGAAGGACATAGCTGCTGCTGCCTCGGGGCACTGTGGAGCTAGATGGATGGGGGTGCTGTGAAATTAGAGCAGACAGGTGTGATCAGACTTCTTTTAACACTGACCTGATGTACTCTGACTTCTACAGCCAGTGCTGTGGGTATAGTTACAGGTATCATCATTCACTCACTGATTAAGTCACAGTGTTTAAACTTTACCCATAATAATTAGAAATATAATGAGTTGATATAACAACTGGTTTAAAATCATTCAAAATAGAACAAAGGGTAGCTAATAAGGTGTTACCTCCTTTTTTTTAGACACATTATAGTACAATTCAATATAAGTTTATTGGATATGACATTAATGGTGGAGGTGAAAAGGAAAAGAAGGATCTACCCAGCGGCTGCCTCCTGATATTGTGGAACCCACTGTGATGTTAACTGTGTGGATTTCTCAACATCTCTTTGTGTATCTGGTGCAAACATAGTTAATGTAAAATGGCTCACTACTATCTTCTCTGCAGCTGCCCAGTAGGCCCAGCACCCACACTCTCACCAACAGCTCGCTCTGCCCCTCTTGTTTCTGGCTCCCTCCTGTGGCTGCAGATTTGTGCTGCAATGATGGTGAGAATGGGACTGAATGGTTACTGATTAAAAGACAAGACACAAGTATTATGTAATTTCATTTTACAGTCCATAAAGATGATTTTATTGACTATAATTTTCAAATTAAATCTTCTGTTTGCTGTTTTGGCCCATTTGAGTAAATAACACTGACTTTGCTCAAAAACAGAGATAAACTGTCAACCAGGCTAAAAAAACCCAGTAATTTCCGTTTGAACCTTATGATCCAATATTTCACCAAATAAAGCAAAGATTAGAGAAAAGTCCAAATAACCTTTGTGAAGCCGAACTTTACTACCCCATTAATCATCTCATGACCCTACGGATTTATCTTGTGAGCCTTTAGAGGGAGCCGGACCACCAGGTTGGGATCAATTACACCTCCAGCAGCTACATCATTAAAATGCAACTTCCACATTCATGCATCACCATAACATATGTATATAATGATATAATGTAAAATCTAACTTTTGACGAAGTATATTTTGCTGACAACACTTCAACTTTTTGAAAGCAGGACTTTTACTTTACCACTGACTAAAAGCTACAGTCCAAATCAAGAAATCATAAAAAAGCAGACGGAGAAAATAATTTTTTTCTTCAAAATCACTTTTATTCCACAATTTATTTCATCAGGTCTTAAGGCACCCTGAAGAGATGTTACAAGTTGTTCTTTCAAATGCGGGTTCCTTTTAAGACTGTGTAAACATAGCTTTGAATAAGATAATTTCCTGTAAATCTTTGCTTAAATTATTTCTTTACAGTGCACAGACATTGTGTTTTGTGACAAAAATACAGTGTGAATTAAGTAAATATGGTAGATAGTGTATATATATACATTGAAGAGTAATAGATTGGCAGACAATCAGATCAACAGGCTGAAGAAGAGAGAAAACTAACAAACAATCTTTGAGACCCAGATAGATATACAGATCACGTAAAGATATACAGTACATAGTTACAGTGAACTTTTTATTTTTGCAACGTTTCTCCAGTGCCTCTCCGCCTTAACAGCAGTTCTTACACTGTACCTTCTGTGTACGTGTGTGTGTGTGTGTGTGTGTGTGTGTGAGAGTGTGTCGCCTCAGCCACCATCAATACGCAGCACCCTCGCGAGGTGGAGCGAGACAACTTATCTAGTCCTGGAGGGCTCACCCACAATATTGGCTATTGCAGTGGAGAGGTGAGACAACAGGAAGACGAGCAGACAGACAGACGGACATGCAGACAGACAGACAGACGGCACAAGACTGGGTTGTGGCTACGTGGACCACAACACAAAGATCTATCTATAATTCCCTAAATATGGTAAGGATCACAATGTATTTAAATGTAGAAAGGGACTTTGTAATTGGCATTTCATATACAGGGATACAGTGGCTATACTTGATTATCAAGGTACGTTCCTATGAAGTCTTTGTGATGTGATAATATGAATACTCTGGAGATATGTCGGAAATGTCACTTTCTCAATTGTACTATACAGCAAGATAAAAATCCTCTCAACACCAGCGCTAACACAGTCGTTCATACAGCTTGGAGAGATGAAAACAACACTCTAAAAAACATTAAAAAAAAGTTGTTTCAGCAATTACACAACAGCTCCAAATGGCTTGGTTGCAATGGCTATAAATTATCTAATCACATCAATGCTAAAAATAAAATAAAAAAGATTAACTGTGTGAGGAATGAACAGTGCAACAGGTGAATGAAGGGTGGATGGATGGGGTCAGAGGAGCAGAGCCTTTTTCTTGTTCTTGGAATCTTTGAGGAGGTCAGCAAGGAATCATGAAGGAAAGAAGGGTCAGAAATGTCATCAAAGCAACATTACATTTCTGCATCTAACTGGCTGTCCTACTGGAAACCAAACCAATCTGCATCAAACAGTTTGGCCACACCCCAATAATATATAGCGTCTTTGTGACGTATTTGACACTTCCTTCCTCTCTTTTTTGTTTTTTTTTTCCAGATTTTTAAACATAAATCCTTAGCGAACGTTGGCAGCCTCTGCATCAGGTTTCCTTTATACCGCCGTCTTCTATTTTACTCGACAACCTTGATCCTGAAGGTGATGCGGCCCAGGAACTTGTCCCTTTCGTCGTTGTTGCGAAGGTCAGAGCCCTCTACCCTGCACTCCACTGACAGCTCCTTGTTGAAGTCCTCCTTGGTGAGCAGCAGCTTCACAGCCACCAGGGGCTGCACGTAACTCTCCTGCATTAGGAAAGAGACAGCTGCCTGTCAATAATACTTCCACACAAGAATGTTAGCGGACGTGATCTGACCAGGGGGATTGATACTTACATGGGCTTTCTTGCCGTAGTAGGGGAAATACATCTTATCAATACGCCCCTCACTGGGGAAATACTGCATTTGGATTGGGGTCTCTCTCTACAAAGATGAACATGTGTTAGTCAGAGTAAATTTTACATTACATGCATTTTATTATCTTAAATTAATAGTTTTCCAAGATCACATGAGACAGGACATGAAAAAAAAGGAAAATCCATGACGCTTTCTTGTTAGTGAAGAGATTTAAATAAGGTAGGAAACATGTCGTGTTCTGCTTCAATCTCCAAAAAGGACATTTGTGGCTAAAATTATGCCTAAAATGACTTAGAAAAGGCACTAAGATGGGTTTAGAGGCACCTGCATAATGATGTGTTACATAATATAAATGTGTTAACACCCCTACTGGCCTTATCCTCATAATTTACATATTATCTTACCCTAAAGCCGTCAGTGACAGCATGCAGAAAGAAATCCGACACAAAACAAACAAAAAGAAGGAAGAAATGAAAGATCAACAGAAACAAAATATTGAGACTGTTATGGTCATTTTTTATGAGAAATAAAAAGAAAAGAACACACATACAAGCAAATAGAACATGTACTGTATAGTGTAAAAAAAACATGTTTACTTTTACTGTGCAGTTGATGTAGGGATCCCCACGGGGCTTCAGGCCGATGATCTATGAGGGAGGGAAACAGGAGAGGTTCAGACTGCTGCATGTGTGGAACTAAAGTTAGGAATTAATCAAATTAATCATTGGACTGCTGTGAAGGATGAAAAGGTTGAAAGACAGAGGGAGAGGAGAGGAAGAGGAGTGCTCAGTGAAAGTGAAAGTGAGCATTACCCTGTTCATTTTCAGCAGCACACAAGGTTTTCCCTCAGAATAGCCAAAGTTGGTGTCAGAGAGGCCGGAGCAGAGACTCAGGAGGCTCCTCTTGAAGCGACAAGCTTCCTTTGTCATTTCCTCGTTGTTGTTCTGCTCAAAATACTCTCCCTGTATGCAGTCCTTGTTCTTCTCCTGCTCTGTATCGTTATATCCTGAGAGAGACAAAGAGCCGGATATGATCAGAGATACACTCAGATAAACGGAATTAATCACTGGCTAATGATCTGGGAGTAAGAGAATCGAATCTGTTTTAATATTCATTTATCTTTGCATAAGGAAGAAAGTGCACTTACTTTGCAAAAAGGACTCCAAGGTTTTGACATACTGTTCATACTTTAACGTGTCAGATTTGTTAAATATGATATCCAGTGAATTTGGGCGAATCATCAATCCTGTAACACAGACAAAAAGCAAAGTAAACATAGAGTAAAGTAGTAAATGACCCCGACAAGAGAAACTAATGCACAGCCATCCCTGTTGGTTCATCTCGAATTACAGCTGGATGGAAAACCTTCTCGACCCAGCAAACAAACTGCACTGCTGACATCACACAGGAACAGACTTCAAAATAGATCAATAACAAAAAGCAGCTATAATGTAGCACATTATTGTGACAGCATCTTGCTGATGCATGTATAAATAATGAATGTGTTCAAAGAGAAAATGCTGCCAGTTACAGTAGCTGAAAGCCCTGTTTCCTCCCCTGTACTCGTATGTTGACAGACACTAACCTGGATAGGGGACGCGGTCTCTGTACTTTGGCACATAGTCATCCAGAGTGAGCAGCAGCACCCACATGGTCAGGGCGAACATACCAGCCAAGAAACAGTAGAAAACCAGGTAGAACAACAGGATGAGGCCTGGAGGGAGTTTGGAGAAACACAAATAGAAAGGAGACATAATGAGGGAAAGAGACAGAGAGGGGTCATGTATAATTAACCACACACGAGCTTGGACAGCAGCCTCCTGATTCCCCGCATCTTTCCTTATCTGTGAGGTGAAGGAGATTGTCTTTTGAGTTTAAGATCCCTTTGAGAGAAACCATTTTGGGTTAAGGGGGTATTTCTACTCATTGCTAACAAATCAGAGGCCACAGTTAGGGAAACATCTGACTCAAAATGGTTCACAACCATCCAGCTTGCACAGCACGGATGCCCTCTAAGTTGACAGGGAAAAAAAAGAAAAAGGATGGACCCCTCAGCTTCCTGCTGTACACCCCCCCCCCCACCTCATTCCTCTCCAACAGTATCCCACAATGCACCTGCCCAGTGCGTGAAAAGGAGAGAAAGAGGAGAGAGGGAATCCCATTTGACCTTGACAGGCATGCTAATGTGGGCGGCCATGCAACTGCAATGGAGCATCCCACTGCACAGCAGCACAGGGGCCCAGGCAGCCTGACAGCCTGTGCGCTAGCCTATAGGAACTGGCTGCTGGAGGGAGGGTGGTGTGTTACTACCTCACTGTGGAAATAAGCGGGGATCATTACATAAAATGTATGGCCTGATCAGTGATGAATGCTGTAGCACCCTCCTCAGATATGATTAGGTAATGAGGGGTTTTATCAGCTGGGGTCTTCACTGTGAATTTCCTGATAATCCTGTTAATGCAGATGATAAATATTCATTAAAAAAAAAATCTCTGCTGCTGTGACTGATCATCGCCTGTATTGGTAATTTCTGCCTATGCACCAACGAGAGACTGGTGCACACCTTTGGTAGCATCATTCATCTTGGTGAGCCTCTTGGTACAGGCTTCTCCTTTACACCTTCACGTAGGCCTATGATGGCTCCTCCGCTAATCCATATCTATACGCTCATTTTAATCCATCCATGCACATACAGTAGGCTACATAATGAGGAGGCACGCGTCTGTTAATGCTTTGAAAATGGGAAGAGGAAGGCACCAGATTAGGTTTAAGCCCCGTGAATGTCAAAGCACATCTACTGATTGACTGCTGTGTAACGGGGATCCTTACCCCAGCTGCTGGCCGTGCGACCCATCAGCTCCTTGGTCCTCGGGTTGTAGATGGAGTCCTTCCAGCTGGACGTGTTCTCCTTGTTGGTCGGTTTATCCTCGGTGCTCGCCATGTTGATCTTTCTATTATTATTATTTTTTCGGTGCAAAATGTGCGGTTTCTTCTCCCTTAAAAAAATGCAGAAAAAGGGGCAGCGGGCGATGTGGTGAGGCGAAGAAGCCGGCGAGGCGGCGGTGAGTGGAGTGGGCGGTGAAGAGAGGGAGAGAGAGGGAGAGAGCAGAACGAGAGAGATGCTCTGGTAGAACAAAAAAACGAGAAGGGCAAGGTGAGGAAAGGAGAGAGAGAGAGAAAGAGAAAGAGAGAGAGAGAGATGTGTGACGTCCACACAAGCCCCGCCGTGGCAGCTGATGCAGTGCGACCAGATGGATGCACATTGGCTAATGACGGAGAGACGCACGGAGACGCACCGTTACGCGCACAAATTATAAATAGAGCGCACACTATCTTTCTTATCATCAATTATATTCTAATGGCTACATGCGTTTGGGATCTCCATTTTATGTTAGGTGTCTACAGGCTGTGGGGTCCTTCAGCAAACGCAAGAAAAACGCAAAAATGTGACATTTCCAGTGTGAAAATGAGAGGATCACGGTGCGTCTATGGCACTCAGTGGTGAACCTATAGGTCCGATAAGGTTTTTTTTTTAGTCATCTATGGCATCACGCTAATATTCTGATATGATGAAATGAAATTAGACATGATTCGTTATAGGTTTACCACAGCGCCTCTGGTCGTATGAGTCACCAAACCAGTAACCAATCGCACAGGCTAGAGTGGATTTCGACATCAATTGATGCTCTAATCACTGTATAGAAAGCTCTGGTTCAGCGTGCGCGCGCACACACACACACACACACATATATGTAACCCACTCCCACTGCACGCCTGCACCTCTCTACACCCCAAGCAGCTCTGCCTGATGGGGTTTTGTGTGAAGAGAAAGGAAATTGTGGTTGAAACCTTAGATTCACTTTAAAAACCTCTTGCTGTATCTCACAGTCGCGGCTGGCTCCTCCACCTTACGGGCCATATACAACAAATATTACACAATAACCTCATTTGACGTTAAAAACAACTTACCTTATGGGGCATGGCAACACAAAGTTTGGACAACATGGCGTCCAACACAGAGAAAACCTATAGCGTGCCATGGGGGATAGCATAAAAGACACCGAGTGGCCCAACCAGCCATCCTTACATACACACACACACACACACACACACATATATATATATGTACATAAATGCCTGTGTGAAGCCTGTGAGGATGTTATTTGTGACTGACTGGTTGAGCATAGATATTTGGAGCATTTGCCAATCCTTGTTGCCATGGCAATTGAGCACTACTGAAACTAGTTTGTGTGTGTGTGTGTGAGGGGGGGAAGACACAGAGAGAGAGAGAGAGAGAGAGAGAGAGAGAGAGAGAGAGAGAGAGAGAGAGAGAGATGAAGACAGAGGAAGATGAAGAGAGAGAGGAATACAGAGAGATGGAGAGAGTGAGGAAGACCAAGATAAAGACAGAGAGATGAAGGAAGACAGACGTGGGGGGTTGAGAGAGGTAGAGAGTACATAGAGAGCATGATTGTAAACAGATGTCTAGAAGTTAACAGAGAACACTTTTTTGGGGGGGCGGGTAAGGAAAAGGATGCCGTCTCATTCCAGCATTGTTTTACATTGACATTAATACATTAGCTACAGCTGCTGAACAAACATATTTCATCTGATCAATATCCAAGCCTCTGCTTTGCCAGCCTCTGTACACATGTATGCTGTGACAGTGACTGCTGAAATGAACAGAACTGAGAGGAGTTAGGGTGCTTAGGCAGCGGAGTGACAGGAAAAAAAGAAGAATACAAAAGCTTAACTTCCAACCCCGGCACTCCACCGAACAATCCCAGTGTGTCACGGAGACAGAGAAGAGAGAAGAGGGAGTTACATAATGACCCTTGATGCAGGGTTCAGCTCGTATGGGGGAGGGGGACTGGAGTAGTGGTCGCATTGCATCCAATTCCTGCTGTCAGATTGAATTTGTTGCAAGGCAGGGTCCACCACAACTCGTACAATGCGGTACCAAGCACAATACCAGCACACACACACACACACGCACACACACACACGCACACGCGCGCACACACACACACACACACACACACACACACACACACACACACACACACACACACACACACACGCACTTTCCTGATTAGTGTGAGAGCCAGCAGCACTGATTCATGGGCTAGTCCTGTCTGTCTCACTCACTCTAGCACATTTTTCTCTGTGAAGGCACCCCACTGAAAGCCAAGCCCACTGGCAAATATCTGCCCATGTTTGAGTGAGAAAGCTGAGATTGACAGCTAGACTAGAGGAAGTGTTTCAGTGGAGGAAGGGGAGGGGGTGGGGGTGGGGGTTGGGGGTGGGGGTTGGAGGTGTCGCACAAAAACTATACTGTACGGGTCTATGCGATGTACACAAAACTCACTTCTGCTCTTCCTCTGAGGGGACAAGCGCACAATCCTCCCATTGTTTAGGAAAACCCCCTTTCTGTGCACTCAATTAGCGCCCCCTTCACCATACCAGCACCATGAGCAGGAAAACACACCCCATTTGTTCTCAGTCATTCCATCCGCAAGCTACCATAGCAACCATCACAGTGAGGTTGGTTACATCAATGGGAAGCAATCCCTACACTCATCTAACAGCCTGTGTTTCTGATAATTCCCCAGACACAAGACAACGGCATTTCCCCAGAGTCCACATGGAGGTAAAACCCTTTAGGCAGCATCTGTTCAGCCACCATGTCGGTGACACCCATTGAAGGACACTCAAATCACCACAAACAACTGCTGATCATTCATGCTTTTAATACTAACCCTTTTGCATCACACAAGGTATTTGATATTTCAATGCAATTTGGTAACAGAATGTATAATTACACAAACGTACAATACGTAATTCCTAGCAGCTCGGGAGGACATTTGCCATTCAAGAACTGAATGAAGTACAAGGGTTAGAAACGGAATGTCATTTCTTGAGGTGTTAATTTCTGCTTTGCACATAGTGTTCACTTTGCATAAAAAATATTTTAGTATAAGTAGAAAGAATTATATTACAGTATAAGCAATAGGCAAAAACATTTACCAATACCCAGCAAGTGCAGCACATCCAGAATGATATTCACAGTTTACATTTTCATTGTTAGTTGTGAGAATTTTTTGAATCATAACATGATATTATTTGTAACTTTGTCATCAGAGTTCATCAGGTCAAATAAAAGACTTGAGTCAAAACATTATCATATGACAACATAGCTGTCCCCCATGGAACAATTCAACAATAAACACAAACTAATAAACTGAAATAATGGCTACACAACATGGATTGGCAAGGAATAAGACTAAGTACATATTATATACGTCCTAATTCATATTTATATCCCTGATCAACGTGAGCATGCAGGTTCTAGTCTGTGTTGGAGATCTATGTGGAAGCTGACATAAAAATCTATAACAGCTGTTACAATGCCACATATACCTCTAAACATCTCTCTCACCGCCAACTTTTATTGCCCCCCCATTATTTTTGTAGTATCAAAGAAGCAGAGAACCACTACTAACAACGAGGTGCTGAAATACTAAAATCCAGTAGGACTCCCATGTGCAGAGCAAAACATATACATTCAGATTTTGTTCCAGTCACATTTAACATTATCATCACATTTAATCATAATATGTAGTATTAGTGCTGTGTAAAGTGTGCAGCTATAATTAGGGCTGTTCGATATGACGATATACATCGTACTAGGTACTAGTTTTGTCACACTCTTGACAATATTTTTCGTAATTTGGACGACGCACTTAGTTACTGCATGGCACGGATTCAGGCAAGAAATCTGCATGAAAGCAACGCAAAAAAGGGGGTTAAGCAGAACGGGCTAATTCCGAACAGGAGAAGGACTTAAAGAGGGACTACGTCTATCACATGGATGTGGACCAGAAATCTGTACTATATACTCCCAACTGTTTACCTTTTATATTGTAGCCATTTATATTTTATATTTTGTTACATGCTTGATTGAACCTTTGCACAAAGGCTGAAATAACAAAGTTAAAATACTGTTAAATCTCGAGGAAACAGCTACGTCAAGTATCAGCAAATACTAAACTGTGTTTGTTGAATGTCTGTAACAATTTTTAAATTCTAGCCCCTATTCAGAGCATTTTTAAATCTCGAGGCGTCATGAACAGAAGAATCAGTGCTGGGTTTTTTTTATTTTTTATCTGTGGCTCCTTATTAACATATCATGTGGTTGCTATGGCAAGTTCCTAAATGAACATGCTGTAAAGGCAGTCATTAGTGCCCCCATCTGGGAAAATGTACAAATGTGATTCCATCAGAATAAAATAATGTAATATGAAGAGGCACCAGTGGCTTGAGATCTGGAATGAATGAAGGATAAACCTGATAAGGCCGCAGTGTCACGAAGAAATCAAGTAAAAGGTGAAGAAACAACTGTATGTGGATAACAATTCAATGCTGTGCAGGTGGTAAACGTGGCTGTTGGCACTACGGCTTGGCTCAGACCTTTACTGGACCCCTGGACAAAACAGTCATGTTGTTTAAAAAGAGTCTACTTTCACTTATACCTAAAACTCTGATGATGTCTCCATCTTCCCATTTGATCTCTGTGTGTGCATCCAGTGTCAAGGCTTGTTGTACCAATGCATGGAGCGTCGGAGAGCTCTCTCCCAGCTCTGGAGGACGGGGATATATTCCCCGCTTGGACTGTAAGCACCCTCCCTGGGTATTCCTCGGGGCAAGAACACCTCGTCAGTGCTCTGCAGCTTCTTCAGCTCGTCCCTGGTCCTCCAGAAGCCTGCAGTCACAGTTGAAGAGAGAGGAAGATTTAGGTACAAAAACATTAATATAAAACCTTTAAATGACACATGTATGACACAGGAAGACCTATAAAAGCAGAATTTGGCACTTTGAGTGATACAAATGATTCTTTGCACCCAAATACACAGCTAACCAATGAAAGTGGTGTATCACCCAACCCTACTGGCCACTAAGAACTAATGTTTCTCAAACACGTGATTCACATAATTATTCAGTCATAAGCACCACCTGCTTAAGCACTGACTAATGTATAATAATCTAATTACATAATGTGAATAATTAAATGGAAAACAGGTTACATAACAAAGAGCACCATTTCAGAGCGCTTCGTCTGCCACTGCCAAGAATAAAAATAGGATTTTTGATCATAACTTTTCAAAGGCAACTCAATGTCATGACCAAGTGTTGCAATATTTTTAGAGAAAAACAAAGAAACACAGTGAAATTAAAGAGTAACGTTGAAGTGTCTAACTGCTTTAAAGAGCGGCTTCTCATTTCATCTCCACATTATAAAGTTTATGCTGAGCAGCATCTGTAAGACACACAGCTTCACAGAGACCTCAACCCTCAGGACATTTTCCCTCCTGCCCGAAAAGTATCGTTTTGTTATAAACTCACTTTCAACTCATAGAGCAGGGCTTCTCTTAGTCAGGACCACAGTCTGCATCCGTACTGGACGGCAAGTGAATATGAACATAGCCCATACCTTGCGCTATGAATACAATTAAGTGTAAAGTTTTCTAACAACATGATGGGTGCGGAGTATGACGTTTATTTTTTCTGTTTCATCCGTCCAAGAGACTGACACCATCCACTGATTAACTAGTGAAGAGATTGTCTCTTAGGGGATCTCTCCTCACTCACAATCCCACAACATCTCCAAACATTCCTCTTGATAGTGTGTGATACAGTGTACTGTGGCCAAGAAAACCACACTACTCAACGGGAAAGACAGAACAAAATTATCAATTTATTATCAGAGAGCTGATCCCTCTACACACCACCTCTTACACTCAGATCTTCTCAAACCCAGTATTATAACTCAAACTGACTAATCAACCCACACATAACGTGCATCCCCAACACTACCCATCAAGACTTGTACTCACACCCCCCCCTTTTTTGGTTTTCTTTTTCTTTTATGCTTGCATTTTATCCACAACCTCATGTCCTTGTATTTTTGTTGTCGTTTTGTAAATTCTTTGGTTTCATAAATACTCTTGTTATCCACTTATTAAATAATAAAAATCCAAATTCAAATCCAAATTGCAAGTTGAGTTTTTTGGGTGACTTTGACAAAGAAAGTCAACAGCGCATCCCTATTTGATACTGCAAGAGAGAAATATAAAGAGGCAGGATGGGGCGGGCCAAACAGCTGTGTGTACAGCGGTGTGCAGTAAGAGACTGCAAATATCTGAATCCCAACGTTGAAAACTGATTATCTACTCAACAACGTAATATTCAAAGAGCTGAATAACATTTCTACAACCAGTATAAATGTAGTTTTCTGTAAATGTAGTTGATTGAACATTATTTTTTTTTCCAGACCTCTGACCTTGCATTAAAATCAGATGTGGATCTTGGAGTTAATATGATTGAAAACCACAGGCATACAGCATAATGTACATGTGTGGTAGTGTGTGTCTCCATACCGATTCCAAGTCCAGCGACAAAAGCAGCCCCTAAACAGGACATTTCATGGTGCTGGGGTCTGGCTACCTTTCTGCCAAACAGGTCTGCAGTCAGCTGCATGATGAAGTCATTGGAGGAAACACCACCGTCCACCCTGAGACAGAAGCAAAGAAAGATAGAGCACTCAATTACACTGCAACTTACTTTACCGTAACAATATCAGAGAAACATACACCCATAATGCATTGCCAATAAAACCTGAACTGCATTAGTAGAGGCAGGGTACACAAGAGTCCATTCTGTTACACCCAGTATGCTGGCTAAAGTCCAGGTCCTACAATCAGATATTGCACTGTAAGCTGGGATATTAAAGGGTTGTAAGACAACTATGATGAGAGTTAAATGCCTATTTTTTTTAAGACAACTATGGACGAGATTTAAGGCCTATTTCATGTCCATACTGGAAAAAGGGATGATGGATATGAGGACAAATAAGTATCGGTTCCATGTCGAGTACTTTTTGTAGTTGTTACAGCTTAATCAATACTAATATTTCCTGAAAACACATTAAAAGCAAGACTGACAAATGCAACTTCAAACAATCTTCGTTCACTTTAATAATCCAATTACTTTCTGTCAAAATCATATTTAAGACATTTTTAGACCTAAAATTCAGATAATTAGATTTTAGACCCTGTTATGTTGAATCTTTTCACCTCTAAAGCAACCTGACATTACTAGAATCAAATCACAAAGTGGATGAGGAAAACTGTACCTGATCTTTGTGATGGGAATGTGAGTTTCTCTCAGCATTGTGTCATATAGCTGCTTGTTTCTGCAAAGAATAAGAAGAGTACAAGGAGACAAGATCAGTTAGTATGGATGAGAATGGTTTAAAGTTTAAACTGAAGAAACCTCTTTAAAATGACTCACCTGAAGGCAACAGACTCCAGAATGGCTCGTACCAGGTGGCTCTTAGTGGTGGAAGGTTTGAGGCCCATGAAAGAAGCACAAGCTTTGGGATCATTCAGAGGAGCCTTTGGATAAATAAAGTATACACACAAACATGTCAATAAGTGAAAAACAGACTTGATTAAAAAAAGTTTAAAAATGGATGAATGGTCATGGTCCTCTGGGGTAGCAGCTACTGTTTTACATGGTTACTGTCTCTAACTCTTAGAAAACAGGTTTTATCATTGCATATAAATTATAAACACTCAGAACACACACTTACAAAGGCCAGTTCATAACGGAGGGCAGAGGAAAAAAAAGAAACACATTGGTTAAAAATCTAACTATATGTGCTGGAGGGAGAACACATTGTTTTGCTGTGGGTGAATGGGGTTGTGTACACATTATACCAAATACCATCGGTATATAAAAGAGAATTATTCGACACAGATACACCGACAGATCCACATTGTACCTGCAGGCCACTGAAGGAAGGGACAAAACACACTCCGTCTGAGTCACTGACACTGTAAGCCATGGCAGTGGTCTCCTGGACATCAGAGAAGAGCTCTGCAACACACACACACACACACACACACACACACACACACACACACACACACACACACACACACACACACACACACGACATCTGAATCTGTCACTAACATACTCAGTGTAATCAGTGACCTCATTTTCACACTGTCATAGAACATTTCCACTACCAGCAACAATTTCTTGCAAAAAGCAAGAAAAAGAAGCAATCACCAGAGCTGTTGTATACTACTCGTGACTCACCGAGCTCCTGAGCCCATTTGATGGCAGTGCCTGTGTCTGCGGCATTGCCCTCTGCCAGATACACCACCTCTGAGCCAATCTTCCACCCCACCAGAGGATACAGACCTACAGAGGACAAACACTGGCTTGTAATGTGCCTGTGCGGACAAATCTTGGTAGAATTATCTTAATGTGTGCGTATGTCGCTTAACCTGCTACGGATGTATGTGGCTTGTTCCCAGTGTTGATGTCCATGAAGGTGCCCGTTCCCATGGTGATCTTGACATCACCAACATCAAAGCAGCACTCTCCAAACATGGCTGCCTGCTGGTCCGCCATCTATGGCAGAGGAAGTCATTCGTATGTTATGCAAACAAAACCCCTAAACAGGTTTAGTCTCACCTGAGCAACACTGGAGAGGTCTAAAACTCACACGGTTTCCTATGGTGTCCAATAAAGGACAACCCAGGTTTGACTAATATGAAGATCCTGTGTCACTTACAGATTCAATACCTCATTACGGCAGACGACCACCCACCTAGAGCCGAAGGGGCTGTCCTAGGTTACTGCCTTTTAACAGGCCGTTTTTTCCTTGCCCCCGTGGCCAAGTGCTTGCTCATGGTGGGAACTGTTGGGTCCCTGTAAATAATGTTATAAGGAGTTCGGTCTAGACCTGCTCTATTTGAAAAGTGTCCTGAGATGACTTCTGTTATGAATTGGCACTATACAAATAAAATTGAATTGAATTGAATTATACTTTCTATAGTTTCTAGTCTTGAGCAGAAAGTTCCTCGCCGCTGATTATCTGGTTCCGTTTCTTTTGACAACATAACGGCGGTGACACAACTTGGACATGCTGGCATAAACGTAATCAGAGGGTTGCATTGAATGTTTTTAATTGTAATCACAAAGATAAGAGACAATTGAGAGAGTGTGACGCCACAGACCTGGACAACTCACCACTGACATGATGGGAATAGGCACTCCGAAGATGGATATGTCTGTTGAACCAAAGTCATGGCTGCAGCATCATGAGGGAGAAACCAGAGACAATGCATCATCTCACACTCTTCCTCAGTTTTCTAACGGCTGACAGCAGGCCATCACAGATTGGGAATGACAACCATACATAATCCATGCTGAGATCCCAGTGAGCTGCGGCGAGGATGGCAGCTCCACCAGGCGAGCCACCAGTGGGCTCCTTATGAGGTTTTTTAATGACATAAATAAATGGGACTTGTCCAATCGAACAGCTTAAAAAGCAACTCTTAGTGTTTCATAAAATGTGAGTTTTATATTCACTTAAACAGTGCTTCTTTTTTCATATGTGACCCCTGAACAACAGATAAAATATTTAATTTTAGAGGGCAGAAGAGGTAAAAGGGTACAATATTTCAGAGAAACAGAAGAAAACAAGAGAATTGTACAAAAAAAACAAAAACAATCACAATTTTGTGTAGCAGAATACTTATTTCCTACCCTAATAATCATCTTTCAACCCCTTAGATCCATCTCACAACCACTTGTGTGGATCCCGACCCCTAGATTGGGAATCACTGATACTTAAAGTGATATATAATTTCTGACATCTGGATAAAACAAAACAAAACAGTGCAATACTGAGAAAAGTACCTTTGTGGTTAATGCAATAACATGTATACTTTTATATTAAAAGACTTGAAGTAAATATTAGACTCACCCTGTATTTTCTACTTTGGGGAAAATGGAATGAGGCAGAGACACAAGAGAGCAGAGCAACCCACTCCAACACATCTGTGAAAAAAATCAAAATGACAGTGATGTGGAAACAACCCAAAACAGGAAGAAACAGTAAATAAACATGACATACACCATACCTGATAGGAGTCGAAAATTCCTGTTGCACTGGCATTAGAGTAGTCTGTGGCATAAACGCGTCCTGAAACAGATTCAGAGACAGAAATTGATGCATCAGGAAAAGTCAATTTCCAATAAAAACTTGTATGCCGGCCATTTTCCTCAGCTCCTCCTGTCTCAAACATTTCTGAGGAATTTCAGTCAGTGACGCAATAGGATTGGGAATAAAGAACATTCTGTCTGGGTCTTAAAATCCAGTTTGACACTGTATGAAATGCAATCCACTGGACAAATTATATATTACTATACTGCTTTCAAAACAAATTGTGCTCATAGGGAGGGGCCATTCACATGAGCCAGACCCACCTTTTGTGAGTTTGAACAGGAGCCAGGTGTCTATTGTCCCAAAGCAGCAGTTATTTTCATCTGCTGCTTGACGAACCTGGAAGAAGAATGAAACACGATGAGGCTGAAAAGAGAAGTAAGGCACTTCTGATAATACAGCCTCTCCCAGTTTGCTTTTGTTTTCTTCTTCTTTTTTATAATGAACTTTTAAACTCCCACAGCCTGCAAGGGTTACAGATGTATGCTGTGCCTCACATTGTAACGAGGATTAGTCGTAGGATAGGAAGTTTGTTCAGAAAATTTCCACGTTTTAACTTTGAATATTGCCAACAGTCCAGTCCAAGTTCTACAACAGTGTTAGTCTCCTGCAGGTAGAAAAGTGGGTGGCAAAAGGCAAAGAGCTGAAACAACTGGTTGATTAATTGATTTATGGAAAGTTATTCTACAACTATTTTGATAATCAATTAATCATTAAGGTAAAGTAACTTTTCAAGCTGTTTTATATGATTGGAAATGTATATCTTTGAAATTAGGACTATTGGTTTGTCAAAACCTGAGCTTAAGGAAATTGTGATGTTCTAGTTGGAACCGCATCCTAATTGCCTCTAAGTTTATTAATTCCTTTTATAGATGCTGACGGTTCAGCTTGCAAAAAACAATGACGTCAAACTTGTGCGTCTATGCTGCTGGAACCTTACAACAAGAAGGAGTCATAGTGGCGAGTAAGAAACGGTCCAAAGCGTGGCTTTAGTAACACTGAGAACACCAGCAATGAAACATCTTTCTACGAAACACAGGCTTAAATTCCAAGATTTCCATGTCTTTGACAACTGAGCAGCACATCCACTACCGAGACTTATGGATACTAAATTATAATTAGCGCCATGTAGTTGAGAACTGGTTCCACATTAAACAGCAGTTAAACAGGAGTAACAGCTTACACACACACACCTGCTCGTAGTGTGTTAAGGCCCAGACAAGGCGGAAGGTGACATGTTGAGTGGAGAAGACAATAAGACTTGCTGCAAGCGACCGCTTCTGTCTGGTCAGGAAGTAGACCACCTTCATCACGCCTTGGAGTGCCTAAGGTTGTCATAACAACAATCAAAGCCATACTGTAAGAAGGGACAAACTTAATGTTTTACCAATCATTTCGAAGTTCTAGTATTTCATCTATTAACTTCCAAATTTATTTAGTAAAAGTACATAAAAGGTAGAGACACACTTTCATTGTGCAGGATCTGTTCCAGGACTTCACCAGGTCTGCAGCCCTCTGATCCTGCCAGCTGATGAAGTTATGGAAAGGAACCCCAGTTGTCCTGTCAAAGTAAAAGAGAGGAAGTGAAATGAGATGGAACCAGGATGCAAAAGAACTACATGAACAGGTGTACTACAGTGGTTCTCTTCAAGTTTGCCTACAACTTATATTGACTTTTTTTTTTTTAGAAAGGTAATAAGATTAACTGTATTCATTTTACCTGTCCCATGTTGTGAAGGTGCCTCGTTGAGTGGAGATGCCAAGGGCCTCTATCTGACGCATTTGTATTCCTGCATCTATATCATGAGCACAGCAGCACAAGCACACATGTTAAAGCGCTTATGGTGAGAAACAGGAAGTCCTGAAATTTGGGACTCACACACAGGGATTATTGTACTTTTTTTTTTTTCCTTTTACATCTGTCTTTACAAAGAGTTCAACAGACTTTCACTGGCGATAAAATCACATCAGTCAAGTCAGCTGTTCAAATTTGTTTGTAAAAAAGGATACCAAAGTGTTTCTAATGTACTGTGGTCAAAAGAGCCTTTCACATTTAAATGTATTGTAAACCAGTAAAACAACCCCACAGGGTACAGCCTAGAAAATAAACACCACTGAATCAACATCTAATCAAAACAAAATATGATGCGCTTACTAAGGCTGTTATTTACTGTAGTACTGCTTACTGGATTGTAATGAATGTACCTAAAGCACTGGCACTGGTGTTTATTGATCATGCTATATTTGTTCTCCTTCAGGAAAAAAAAAGACCAAACTGGAAATGTTATCATGCACTGCAGTATCAAGTGTTTCCTCAGACATTCATTTAGTCAAAGGATGTGACCATTATCATAGAGAACCACTCTCATACGGTATAGATCCATGGTATGGTCCCTACGTGGACTGGTGCAACTGTACCTTGCACAGCTCCCTTGACCACAGTGATAAACCCTCTCCATAGTGCATCTGGGTCCATCTCCACATGTCCTACCTCTGGATACAAGGGAACAACCTGTGCACAATAAGAAGAAGCATAAAGATCCTAAAGAGTATCTAAATACTCTACTAAGTGTGTGTATATGTTGTTGTTAGATATAAAAAGCCAGTGAGCAGATGAATACCTTGGTTATACATGATCCTCGTATTTTTGCCTCCTTGTCATAGACGTGACACCTGATAGATGTTGTACCGACGTCCACCGACAGAATGAAGCTTTCCTTCTTGAAACCGTTCCTCTGACTACCCATTGCAAGAAAAAGGTTGTTTGTTTTTCAAGTGTTCCTCAGTTCAGTCCCACGTCCTCCATGGTCAGCTCATATTGGTGTTGTTTACAGCCTGGGTATATGGAGTGACCCGATAATACCTTATCTGCCCCGGGTGAGCCGTAGCGCGGAGCCTCGACCTTCGGACCGTGGGTTCTTCGAAGACCAGTTCAAAGTGTTTGAGTCAACACATTGCTACAGTTCAGTCCTCACAACGAACAGGAATACACACAGTGTGTAAGAAACACGACGAGGTCCAGTTATCCTGCGAGTGAAACTGAAAGTCAGCTAACGTTATATTAAAAGTCGTGAAGCTCTCCACGCTGTCTGGTGGAGAGCTGGAAGAGTTCACCAACTCAATAGTTATCAGGAAACTAACGTTATCTGTGAGTGGATGGTAGGTTTGAAAAAAAACCTCCCAATAACTCTCACAGCAGTGAAATCCTACACTGTAGTATGTACGTTGAAAAAGAGGTTCTCGTAGAATCGCTTAAAGCCCGAAACCCCCTAGGCACCCGTAGTACGCAATCACGCATGCGCAGTTTGTAGTTTCGAACCGTCGCATGTGGATGTTTTTAGCCGTCCACACGTGTTTTTACCGGCTAGGACATCCCGTACCAGCCTGTGATTGTGTGCCGTTATAACACAAAATATGGCGAAGACAGACGTAAGAACCACGTTACGATACATTTATATTAACGAGGCTTCAACCAAGTGGATTGTTTTAATAGCGTTGTTTGATCTTATTAGCTGCAAACTAACGTAGCTAACAGTTGGTTAGCTGTGTGGTAATCACATGAGAGACCAGTACGAGCACTGCTTTATCTTTGTACAACCAGTCAGTGGGATGTTTTAGGTGGTCATAGTAACGTTATTACATTTAACTCTGAAGTAAATGGTAAATGACATCCATTTTGATTATCAGTTAAAAGTTTTAGACATGTTTCTGGAGAGAGTACCATGGTTTTCTCTTAGATGTGAGGTTTTACTGCTTTTATTTGCTATAGAAGTATAATAAATATTTGTGGGGTTTGGACTCTTGGACTGACATCCACCTTGGGATATTCCATCATAGTTGACAATTGACCATTACTGGAAATAATTTTTGGTCACACATTGTCATCATTTTCTAAATGTGTGTGTCTTTTTCAGGCTACAAGACGTAGCAAAAGGCAAAGCAAAGTTGTCACCAATGAAGTTGTAGAAGGAGAGGACAGTGTTAAAACTGGTAAGTCATTTCTTTAAACAATTTACAGTAAACATGATTGTTTGGACGTAAAGGTGGTACTAACATTAAATTACCCAATTAATGATCGTTTCAGAAGAACAAATAGTGGGAAAAGACGAGGGTTCTCCCACTGAGATGAAACCGGAAGAGAACCAGGATGAACAAGGTACTGTGAATGCATCACACTATATGTTCGACTGAAATTCTGAGCTGTGCCACTAACAAAGCTGCATCTTTAGATTCTCCGATGGATGCTGTCATTGAAGTAAAGGGAACAAAGTCTACTGTAACTGTATCATGGGACAAGAAGAATGAGGAAGGAGAGGTGGATGATACAGAAAAGAGAACCGATGAGAGTGGTCAGATGATGGATACTGGTAAGGATGTTTACAACAATAACAAATAGTATTGCATCATATTTTGTTTCAGAAAAAGGAAGAAGTTATATATTGTTTTGAACTTGTTTTGAAGCTCAAAGTTTCGTAAGTGATAAGGTTATTGCGTCTGTTTCAGGCCACATCTTCACAAAAAGAATTTTAACCATCCATTGTTTAGGCAGAATTACAACACATGCCTTTAGAGGTACGAGTCTTACTCATTGTTCCTAATCAACAGATGTGATTCTTGTCATTCAAGTTGCAGGTGTTCTATTAGTTGATTGGTTAAATATGGGTGTCCACCCTTTGTTCAGTTTTAAAGTGATCTATCTGAAGTCTGTAACACTCATTCAAAGTTTGTCACTACAAGTTTTCACTGTCTTTAAATTACATCATGCCTTTTCCTCCCCAGAAGAACAGACTCAGATCATCTCTTCAGCTGATGCAGTCGGTTCCACAGAGGACAATCCCGGTAAAGAGACAAAGATGGAGAAAGAGGTGCAGGAATCTGGAGGTACTGCAAACACGACAACACACAAATGTGTCTGTGAAATTCTAAACGGTGCCAATAACAGAGCTTCCTCTTTAGAAACTCAGGTGGACGTCGTTGCTGGAGAAGATGAAAGTACACCCACAGTAACTGTCACCTGGGAGAAGACGAGTGAGGAAGGAGAGCAAACTGATGGAGATGAACAGATTGTTAAAGAGACAGCAGGTAAGGATGTTTCCAGGAGTTAATGTGTAGTCAATGATAAATGTTTTCAGTGGTTCTTTCTTTCTGTCTTTTATTCTTTTTCATTTGCTCTCTTTCTTTTCACTGTCCTCACACTTTTTCCACAGTAGTCTGGTCACAAATTACATTTAATAAAAAAACGTAATCTAAACTGCTTGTAGTACATTTTTAGACCTTTAATTCTGATCAACTGTACCTAAAATGTGTAAAAATATGAAACACAAAATTAATATTTAAGGCAGTTTTTATATGATCTTTGTGAAATTAATTTTAGACAACGATCAATGTGGTAGACGATGTATGAGATCTTGAGATTGTTATATAAGTCTTAATTACAGATGTGTAAGATCAGGATAACTTACATTTCTATCGGTTGCAGTAAATGGGAAACGGAAGGCACCCCCTAGTGTTGAGACCTCCCCATCAAAGAAGACTAAGCTCATCAATGATGGTATGAACTCAACATGAGATGGACTGCTAAATGTTTCGTTCTGTAACATGCTAATGTTCACACTACACTGTCTTCTTTTGTTTTAGGTTTTTGTCTTTTTGTTGGAAACCTGAACAACTCTAAAACATTTGAAGAAGTAAAAAATTCATTAGCAAATTATTTCATGACACAGAGTCTCCTGGTTCAAGACATCAGATTACATCGGTCCAAGTGAGTGTGCTGCCCTCTAGTGGTTGCATTTGAGATTGTTTCATCCACTTGAATGCATACATGAATACTGCTGCTACTTAAAATACAAAATTAACTCACTAGTAATGTTTTGCTGTTGTAGAAAACATGCATTTGTAGATTTGGCCTCACAAATGGACTTGACAAAAGCCTTGACGTTAAACGGAGAGATGATACTCGAAAAGCCAATGAAGATCGCCAAAGCAAAGGTCAAAAGTGAGGACATGGTCAAAGTGAAAGCTTCAGCGGAGGAGAAGAAAGGTAACTCAGATAAATGTAATTATTTTGTTACACATGAATTTAAATTGTGTGTTACTTGCTCTGACTTGAGGACTGTCCTGTTCTTAGCTGCCAAAGATGCCAAATGCTTGTTTCTGAAGAACGTCCCATACAACGCAACAAAACAAGACATTTTGAAAATCTTCCGCAAGGCAGTCGGCGTCAGGTTTCCTGGTGGATCTGTAGGCCCAGACAAAGGGTGAGAGTATTAACAATGGTTATGTTTATTTAGAAAACATTTAATATTAGGGGTGGGCCATATGGCCGAAACCTCTGTCACAATATAAGAAGTTTTATATCACGGTAAGGACATATATTACAATACAGTGAATACAGTGAAACTGAAGAATTGAATCCCTTGTACTTACTTTATCTATGGTACTGTAGGAAAACGAGTACCGTCATATTTTCAGAACTTTGGCATTGACGTGGTAGCGAAGTGTTGGTTTTCGTGGTATCACCAGTATATATCGTCATATCGCCCAACATTTAATATGATAGATATGAGTAATCCACTCTGAAAGAAATGTTCTCCTTTTTCAACAGTATTGCCTTTGTGGAGTTTAAAAATAAAACAATTGCTAAGAAAGTACAGCAGAAAAAACAAGTAGCCAAGATCCAAGACCGAGTTTTAATTGTGGACCGTGTAGGAGAAGCAAATGCAACTGAAGTCACCAAAGCTAATGACGACAACAACAACAACAACAACAATGACAACAACACACAAGGTAAATAACTGGGAATGTAGAAATGTACTGTTCATAACTGACAATTACATCTGAACTTAGTGATTTGTTCTGTATTGACTAAGAATCTTTCTTCTTCCTCACAGCTGCAGCTCCTCCGAATAACACCTTATTTGTGAGCAATTTGTCTTACAATGTGAAAGAAAAAAACCTCAAGAACGTCTTTCAGAAAGCTGTTAGTATCAAGATGCCTCAAAGCAAAGGCAAATCAAAAGGGTATGTACATGCACACTGGCTGACTCTTTTTTTTTCTCTCCAATGAATAAAGTATTTTAATAATCTCAAGAAACATGTAATCCTCTGCAGATTCGCATTTGTTGAGTTTGCAACTGTAGAAGATGCTGAAAAGGCTTTGAAGTCAACCCAAAACATTAAGATCTCCAAAAGGGAGGTCAGAGTAAAATTCTGCGAGGTGAAAGAAAAGACTGAGAAGGCAAAAGGTATGTGGCATTGTTATCGTTGTAGTAATCATGTAGGTGTTACCTGTTGTCTAATATTTGTGTATTTGTTAGCAAAACAATTTCAGCTATTTCTGAAGTCGATTTGAGTCACAGTGAGTAAAGAAAACAGTGATACTACAGCTGTGTTTCTCCCCCCCCTCTTTAGTCCTGTCAAAAACACTGATTGTGGTGGGCCTCGCTGAGAAGACGACTGCAGAAACTCTTAAAAGTGCTTTTGAAGGGGCACTCAGTGCAAGAGTCATTGCAGATAAAGAGACAGGAGTTTCAAGAAGGTGGGTGGCATAAAGTTATTTTTTAATTATTGTCATAATTGTCTAAACATGTTTAATGTTTTTAAAAACATTTCTGGAAGTCTGCTTTACACCCATACATTACATTTTCCTCAGGTTTGGGTTTGTGGACTTTGAGAGTGATGAAAACTGCAAAGCTGTAAAAGAAGCCATGGAGGACTGTGAAATAGACGGCAGCAAAGTGACAGTGGCTTATGCAAAAGCCAAGGCTGAACAAGGCGCCCCGGCTGCCAGAGGACGCTTGACGGGGCATCGTGGCGGAAAGCTTGCAGGTCAGAGGAGTAAAGATGTCCCATCGTCCTGGGAACAATAAAAATAGCACCTGGAACACAAAGATACAGTGTCCAGGACAGTAGAGACATTTTATCATTACATATTAAATGTGTTATGAAATATATAACAGTTTAATTGTTAGGTGTTCAAATTCGACTTGCCTCGCTTGGAGCATCAAATTTAATGACTAATACCATCAGTGAAAATAAATACATTCAAATGTATATTGTAATTCATTCCCATGCATGCTGATCAGAGTAATCACAGTATTTTCAGTCTTCGGCCAACAGCTCTGGGGTCTCTCGCTCTCCTCTTGGGCTGTGTGCAGGCAGTCACTGTGGCTCATTTGAACTTCTCTGTCGCTAATTCGCTCGAGGAAAGATTAGGGTTTTTCTAAAGCTTGTAAATATTTATATAGATGTTTGATCGTCTCCCTCCCTTTGTAGAGACGATGCAATGTACTGTTAAGTTTGTGATTATTTGGCTAAAAAAAAAGAATGAGCAGCAAAATGAGAATGAAGAATCAAAATCATGATTTATTGATCAAACAGTTAGAAATAAACAAGAGACAGTAACTCAACCAATGAGTAGCAGTACCTGGCAGACCAGAGTGAGTCTGTGAAGTAATGCAAGTTACTGAAACTGTATTGATTATGTAGAAAGGTAACACCTGAGTTTAACTGGTTTTAGCATTCTTGCCTAACATGGTTTATGATATTGAGCTGTTTATATTTTACTTAAATACGTACGATGTTCAATACAGGGAGAAATGAGACTGGATTATTATACTATTATATTGGGTAGGTTTCAGAAAAAGGACAGGGTTGTTGTGCTACGTCATTGAGTTTATGGTCTTACGTTTTTTTTTTTTGTTGATAGATTTGGTTTGATTTTGATGTTTTCTGAGTAAAAATAAAACATTGTCTTTCCTTTCAGGTAAAGGACGTGGTGCTGGAAGGCTGCAGGCTGCTGTTAAAGGAGCGGGAAATAAAAAGTAACTCTCCTGGGGAAAATTATCATACAAAGATTTCTTCTTTTTTTTTTTTTTTAAACTTTGAGTTTGGTTGAATGTACCGACTGCAAAGGTGTGAAATTTGTACAATATTGTTACATTTACTGTAACATCTTGTAATTTCAGCTGTTATATTTTGTACTTTAACTGTAATGAAAACATTAACTAATGTTAATTAATGGACTTATTTCACCTTTTTATGTAGTATTTTTCTTACACGAAAAGTTAAGATTTCATCCATGTATCATTTTCTAATGTGAAGATAAAACTATTTAAAAACCAAACCAGCTGTGTTTTTGAGTTTTGTTGTAACATCTGTGATAAAGACCCAAAAGGTTATCCCGGGATTTGCTGAAATCTCAGCCAAGTCACAGAGTATCTCTTCTCTGGCACTGACCTGAAATAACACTAGTCTCCCAGCTCAACGTGCCATACTGTGCAGCCCCTGCACCTCCTAATGATTAAATACCGTGTTAGTGCACAGATAGAGGCACTTTAAAGGAGACTGGAGGATCTGTCCAGCACTCTCCACTTGCTGCTTGCACATTTTTTCCTGCAGTTCTCCGGTTTGTTGCAACTTTCAGCCCAAACCCAGTGTCCTCTAATGACCTCACATCCTGTTTTCCCACTTCCTTCTGAATGGACCGGTTTGGGACGGTCCGGTCAGCGCGCAGCGTGGATCCCTGTTGTATCGGCGCGTGTCTCCACGCACACGTTGTTAGATCCTCGGTGTCACAAGGCTGCAGAGGACCAGAGAGCAAACTTAATGCCACGATCGTTTGACGAGTTACGCACCTGACTATGAGCCGTGTGTTGCACTGACAGAGAGGATAAGGGGCGTCGGTAAGTCGGTAGTACGCATGAATATGTGCTTATTTACACGGTATTTGTAGTTGAGCTTTATCACAGCTCAACGGGGACTTTCGAAACGATTACATGACTTTGTAACACACGATACAGCTGCGACTGGACTGGCTTCACAGTCACCGTTTGGTGCTAAAGGTTTTGCAACAGTGGGGATCTAGTTGAGGTCTTAACTAGTGCAAGTTAATAACTGGAGCTTATTAAGTCTAGTGTCTATAAAACCCTTTCTTAGACTTTGTTTTATTGTTTTACGACTTTGAATTCCGTTGGATCAATCGAGATTTGGTGACACTTGTCTGTCCTATATTAACGTAAAATCTCTCATTTAATTAAAGTTCCTAAAGTCAGTGTTTAGTGGAGGCACCTTTTGCGTCTGTTACAGCCCTGAGTTCAGTCTATAGGTTTTCGCATCTGCAATCTAATTTCCCCCCAATTTTCAATGCAAAACGTAAAGTTCTGTCAAGTTGCAATGGGGACCCTGCTTGAAGAGAGAATTTGAATTCCTGCCACAAATCCTGGATTGGATTGAAATCTGGACTCTCGGGTGTCTGCTGCAGGGCATGAAGCCAGTCTCGTGTAGCGTTTAAGTTTTATGTTTGGGGTCTTTGTCCTGCTGGAAAAGAAATCTTATCCCATGTCGTGGTTCACTCTCAGACTGCCAAAGGGTTTCAGACAGGATCTGTCTTTATTTTTGTTGCATGATTTCACTTTCTCACCATGTCCAGCCCTCTATGATCTTTTTGCATAGAAGCATCCTCACTACATGATGCTTCATAGTGTGGATGGTGATGTAAGGTGTTATGTTGTTTTTACTATGATGGACCAAAAGCTCAGAGTTTGTCCCATCAGGCCATGGGAGCACCTTACACTTATTATTGTAGATGAGGTGATGCAATCATTGTGTGTCTTACATTTGCACCTGGATCAATGTATTGGCCCTTTAAAAAGATGTTACAGTAATATTTCTTCTGTGGATGGAAGTACTAACATGGTGCTTATTGAGAGGTCAGATAGACTGCCAGTCAAACATTACTACAAGAGTGACTGTTATTGAACATAAAACATGTTTGCAGGGTGCAAAGGTTTATATGTATTACAACCTATCCTGCACTGGATCATTGCTTAACACTATATCACACTAATAGCCACATTCATTGCAACATATTGCACAACTTTATGTCAATAGAGTTGTCAATAAGTTGACAGGTTAGTGTGTCGCGAGGCTCAAGTCAGATGTGTTAATGCATCTTTTAATACACTCAGCGACACCCATCAGTTAATATGAGAGATTTGATACAAGCTTTGTTGAAGTGATTAAAAAAAGAAACCATCTGCAGTCAAGTCAAAATGAGGCAGTTGATCAGTACTTCAGGCTTAATCTCAGCTAATGTTTCAGGAGAACGTGAGTCAAGATTAAGAAACGCTTCAGTGCAGGTAGCTGTTTTCTCATGCATATCACTGTTATTTTTATGAGGCAGGTACAGTAGATGTTGTGGTTCAGCCAGGTTGTTACATGCAAGAGAGATATTTATCTTATTTATCTTAGTACTCAGAGTTGCATTTTATTCAGTTGACTTAAACCTTATTGTGTTTCTATACAAACACATTCCACTTCTTCTGTTTGCCTCCAGTGAGGATTAGTTACTTTATAATAGAAAATAAATGAATCACTGACTTTGTTTCCCTGATTGGGCTGTTATTGCTTCAGAAGTCATAAAACTTGTTCCTTTAATGCCCTTGACCGATATTGAAGATTGCAACATCTTTTACTGACCAGATGGAGCCGAAGACTTGTGTGATAAGAAAACTTCTGCAAGTAATGCAGCTGATGGAAATATAGTAAAAAAGTAATATCTCTTTGTCATTGTAGCTGTTGCACTTCTGACAGAATGAAGATGAGAGAGGGGAAGATTATAAACCAGGGCCTGGAGGATGAGATGGTAAATATCAGTTCCCACCTTAATGCTACTTTTCCCATATAATTGTCTTTTCTATTGAACAGTGCATCATGAAATGGTAACTTTTTAGATTGTAAATCAACACAATCAACAGCTGGATCAAGTGTAATGACATAATAATAATAATAATAATAATAAAACATTTGTTGTCTCTAAAGGTCCAGTGTGTAACATTTAAGAGGATCTATTGGCCCAAATTGAATATAATATTCATAACTGTGTTTTCTTTATTGTATAATCATAATGTTTTCATTACCTTAAAATGAGCTGGTTTTATCTACAGACACCTTCCATGAAGTCCACCATGTTGAACCACCATGTTTCTACAGTAGCTCAGAACAAACCAAACACTGACTTTAGATAGGGCCTTTTTAGCCACCATAGTTTCTCCTCCACACTTTAGAACACAGTTCTCATTCCCAAGTCGTCAAATATAGACGCCAGCGGTGTTCAGTTAGTTGCAGTCTGAAACTTCACCGCTCCATGCCACTAAATCCTACACACTGGTCTTTTAAAGGACATAGATTATGTATCAGTGTGGATTAAAATTAACGTACCTTTCAATTTGATTTGAATTGCCCCTGAAATCACTCTAAGTAAAAAAATATTGAACTTAAACTGATTTAGACTGTAGAGTGACAGAAGTTATGGCAGCTACAGCCAGCAGCGGGGTAGTTTACCTTAGCATAAAGACTGTAAATGGGAAAACATCTGGCTAATCAAATCAGCAGCTCCAAAGGTTGTTCATTAAACTAGCGGTTTGCATTCATTGTCAACCAGTCAAATGAAAAGACCCCGCCCCCCCACTACATCACTGGTCCACAGTGTTGCACTTCACTGACTAACATGTTCCTTTACTACAATAAACATGGGCATTGTATTTTTTTTCTTCAATCAATCCCAGATACACTGTTGTGTTGCTGTAAATATTGTCTGAAGCACCGAATGTGGATTATTCTGCTGTTAAAAATAGTCCCCAAACAGTTTACTCCTGTTTGAGTGATGTTTGCCAGCTGTTTTAGGAAATGATTTAGCTTTTTTTAAAAACAGAATGCTAAAATGTAAATAATGTAATCAGTAATGGCTAAATTCCACTTAGCTGTTGTTATGGCTGATGAATATAACTGAGCCATCATTAATGTTATTTTAAAAAAAAAGGAAAAAAAAAAAGGATTAATTGTCTCACTTCACACAGCCGCTCCTAACAAAATTACATAACAAACCCCGTTTATACAGCAGCGTATATTACAGGCTGTGTCTGTTATTCCATATGCCTTCAACAACAAGTCACAGCGCACTGTATTCGTCCCGCCCGTCTGTGTGTTGACATGAGTGTCTGCCCATGCAGGAGGTGTGGGGCTACCAGCCCTGTCTGTGGAAGATGATCCTGGTGGGTGTAGGCGCTGTGTGCTCCGGGGGTCTCCTGCTGCTGCTGCTCTACTGGCTGCCTGAGTGGGGCGTCAAGGGCACCTGCACACACACCTCGCTGAGAGACGCACAGACACTGCTGCTCAGGACCACGGTAGGAAAATGGAAAACTTGCTTTCTGTTTTTCATACAATTCACATGTTTGACTTTATTTGATTTGTTTCTTTTGTATGTTGTACCTTCAAGGAAAATAGTTATATGACGCAGTAGATACTTGTCAAAGCTTTGTAAATGAGACAATTATTGTGTTCACCTGCTAAAACAAACAAACGATTATATGTACTGTACCTTTCATTTGTGTGAATCTGCTTCTTCTTTCACAGAAACATGAGTTCACTGTTGTGTTGCTGCTGTTCACAGATCATCCTGACACTTGTTACATTCTTTGGCACACATACTGTGTTACACTGCAAATGAAAAATTCAGCGTAGTCTCACAGCCAAAGGGGAATGTAATTCTTTATGTTGTTATCACAGGATGAGTTCAAGCAGTGGTTTCGAGCCAAAGTACATGTGATGTTGGTTCCAGGGAAGAAACCTTTTGACAGCATGGATCTGCAGTCTCAGCTGTTGAATGGAGACGGAGACCACAGCATCAGTGCTGTGCACAAGGAGCATCATGGGAAATTTGCCCATGTACAGCCAGCTCAGGTACCTCAGTGGGAAACTTTTGTTTTCATCATTTGTTGCTCACCTGATGCAAATTCCATATTTCATATTCTCAAAAACAAGTTTAAGTTTTAAGTGTAGATTGGCTGGTTTTAAGTGTGTCTGTAAGGCTGATACAGTTGATATCTAACCACCTCCTCCCCCTCTGCTTCCTCCCTCTTAGATCCACTACTTCACCCATCACAGCACTAAATACTTCTGGAACGATGTGATGCAGAACTTTGAATTTTATAAGTAAGAGACCCACTAAAGAACAACAAGCTGTTAATAGTCTTGTGTTTAGCGGTTTCTTTGCTAAATAAACTAAATTTCTCTTACAGTTTAGTTGTATATGTGTCGCACATGTATCTGTATCTGCTGCTCTGCACAACTACAGTAGAAATGAATGTGTGTGACTTTTCTAGAGGCTTGGAGGATGTGAAGGTGAGCTGTGCAAGCATCCACTCTGACCACAGCTCTGGACTCTCTAAAACTCTGCAGGAGTACAGGTACACACACACACACACACACACACACACACACACACACACACACACACACACACACACACACACACACACACATTTCATGTTTTCCTACAAATTATTTTCATTTACTTATTTTAAAAAGTTTTATATAAAATTTACAAACTTTTTTCAGGATGCTGTTTTTTGGGGAGAATGAGATCGCTGTGAGGGTGCCCTCTCTATTCAAGCTCCTCATAAAGGAAGTGAGTTTAGAGCTCTTTGCGTAATATCGCTTCCTTCTTTTAGTATATACCAATAATAATATCATCAGTGCTATCTTTTACACACTACATGTCTCTTTCTCCTCCTCCATCAGGTCTTGAATCCTTTCTACATCTTCCAGCTCTTCAGTGTTATTCTGTGGAGTGCTGAGGACTACTACTATTATGCTACAGCCATAGTTTTCATGTCTGTCATTTCAATAGCTACCTCACTTTATACCATTAAAAAGGTGAGCCACGTCGCATCCTAGTGATAAATGCAACACTAGTTTATGGTGAATAATCTTATTCCAAAATAATTTATACAGAAAAGTCAGAAAGCATCTGTGTTACTGTGTGTTTCCAGAAGTATTTTCCAGAAGTATTTTCCAGAAGTATTTTCCCCACTCTTTGACACGGTGTCTCTCTAATTCCAGCAATATGTGATGCTGCATGACATGGTGGCTGCACACAGCGTGCTCCGTGTTTCAGTGTGCAGAGGAAATAAAGGCATGTTGTACTTTCTGAATATAATACAGAGCTACAGGAAATATTAGTGACTGTCAATCCATTCATGAAGACTGATTTTTTCTAAAAATCTTTACTGTGTGTGATGTTAATTTGTGTTAGTCCAATTCCTTAACTATCTCGCTTTGTGTTTATTCCTCCCCGCCGGCAATAGCCAGTTATGTTTTTGAGTTGCCTGTCTGTCACATTCTTGGAACGTGATATCTCCTCCTTAAGGGAATTTCTCGCCACAAACATTTACTGGAACTAAAGGATGAACTGATTAAATATTGGTGCTCAAAGGTTTTGTGTGACATCACAAAACAGAATTTTGTCCATAACTTAAGAATTGAAGATTGTATTTCTCTACTGGTCGGACAATTAATAGGTTACACTTTTCACTGTCATAGGTCACTGTGACTGTGTTAAACTGTGTTTAATGGGAGACAACTATGACATAATTTACCAAAAGGTAATCACAATGTCACTGTGACATCATGATGTCCTGGAAAACACTTTTTTTGGCCATTATTTAACACCATAATTCAGGAACAGAAAGGGGAGATTGTGACCATATTTCACAGTTTGGTCAAACACTGAATTGGTGACACTTTTGACTCAAAGGTCAAAGTTCATTGTGACCTCAAAATAGGTTTTTAGCCATAATTTAGGAATGAATGGGACAATTCCAGATTTCACACGTTGATTGGGACGACACAATGAGTAAACAATAACTAGCACAGTATGGGCTTTAATCTTTCCATTTCATCCATTCTGCCTTAAACTTACTGCCTCATTCTGAATTTTGAGCTTCATCAGAATCACATGACTGTAAACAACATATTGGACTGTGCTTATCTAATCATGACCCTGTGAGTGAGTTTCTTCTACAGTTCGTATGGAGGCTTTGCATCTAAAAATAACAGGAGAAAACAATACCACCACATTTATTTTAGCTATACAAAAATCCATTTTTATATAGTAATCAAGTACATGTGCACCATGTTTAGAAAACACATTGATAATAATCCTTAACTAATTCATATTCACTGAAATCATACATATGTATCATCAATATAGGGATTACTTCCATTTAACCAAAGAATACACTTAATACCTTTAAAGAAAAGTATTCACCACATATGTTATATGAGTCTGGACAGACATGGATGTAAAGTGCAACTTGACTGGTTGGTGGATGCGTACAACCGCGGTGCAGTAATCCTAGTTATATGATGCTGTAATACATGAATCACACTATTGATCTCTAATAGCCTCCTCGTGATTGCCTGAGAGTGCATGTGAGAGTGTATGATATCATTTTTACTGTTCTCTTTCTTAATGCTGTTCCTAGATATTGAACAGGCCATGTCAACAGAGCTTGTGCCCGGTGATGTCATTATTATTCCAGCCAATGGGATGATTATGCCGTGCGATGCCGTGCTCATCCATGGAACCTGCATCGTAAACGAGAGCATGCTGACAGGTTGCATTTCCACATACCTCCTCATACGTAACACTTCTAAAGGAAAATCTTAACCCAGTCTGTGTTTATTAGCTCTTTCTGTAGCCTTTCATCATAAAGGCCTTAGTGTAAATATTTATATCAGTGGCAGCTTATATATTTAGTGCCATATTCATGCTATTACTCTTGTTCTGCTATCGCTCTATTTGAGTTGTGTTTTTACTTGAATGTCTGTTTATTTACCCTCCATCTTCAGGAGAGAGCGTGCCAGTTACCAAGACCAATCTGCCCAGTTCAGACGAGGAGGCAGCCAGGAGCTACGACATGGAGGAACACAAGAGACACACCTTGTTTTGTGGTACCCAGGTTATCCAGACCCGCTTCTACGCAGGTGAACTGGTGAAGGCTGTTGTGGTCCGAACAGGTGAGAGTAAAACTGAGTGGGAATAACAGCTTGCAGCCTTATCTATTGCTGCAGCGTACAGACAGTTAATCCTCAGGGTTCTACATATTTTACATATTTGCCCTTTTCAAGTTATTACAAGAAAATGTGTGTTCCCGCAGGTTTCAGTACTGAGAAAGGCCAACTCGTGCGGTCCATCCTCTACCCTAAACCCACAGACTTCAAGCTGTACCGCGATGCTTACCTGTTCTTGTTGTGTCTGGTGGGGGTGGCAGGGATCGGCTTCATCTACACCATCGTCCTCAGTATCATGAACAAGGTATCATGGCTCTTATAGAGGAGAGGTAACCTGTTCTTCTGAGAAGTGAAAGAAGAAGCTCAGATTTTAGTGTTTCACGTATGTACTATGCAGCGGCTGTTTCTGTTAGGATTCTGTCATCCTATAGATATCCTTCTTTAAAGTGGGTCAGCTGTTGACATTTTCCTTCTCGATCTCATCCAGGTTCCTGCTAAAACCATCATCATCGAATCTTTGGACATCATCACCATCACCGTACCCCCGGCCTTACCGGCAGCCATGACAGCTGGTATTGTGTATGCGCAGCGGCGACTGAAGCGGGTCGGCATCTTTTGCATCAGTCCTCAGAGGATCAACATGTGTGGTCAACTTAACCTAGTCTGCTTTGACAAGGTAGTGTAAACCACAGCTGTCAGTTCTTGCAATGTGATTTTGTTTTCTTGTTAAGAATTCAGGAAATGTAGTTTATGTAGTGGAATCTCAGGGTCTGTATTTGTCAAGTGATAATTTCTAGGAACCGTGTTTGATTTAGTCCTGACTCAGAATGCATGAAATGTAGTTATGAAGCCTCCAAACCCACTTCCAGTTCAAGAGTGTTCTAGTTCAAGACCTTCATGGTTTTATGACCATCAAAACCACAAATTAAAATGAATCCTAATGTCTTGAAGCACAGCTGCAGTTTATGCCATTTAGCCACAACATCAAGCATGATGCTTTTAAAATATGTTAATGCTGAAATTAAATACTTTACAAGCTTATTGTGACCTATGTAAATTAAAACTCCTGATAACAGGAGATCACATCTAGTGAGCAGCGAGATAAGTTTGATGCTGTTGTTGTGTGAAAAGAGCAATCAGAGTATAGCTGGAACATGAGTTGAATAGTTAATTTTAAGCAAAAATACCAAACATTCACTGGTTCTCGTGAGGTTTTAAATGTGAATATTTGCTAGTTTCTAGGTTTCTTCTATAAAAATAAAGTTAATATCTTTTGTTTTGGGGCTGATGTTGGCTTGGGCTCTGGTGACCGGCATTTTTCGGTATTTTTCTGACATTTTCCAGACAAAATTATTGACTGATACTAAAAATAACAATTAGTTGCAGCCTTAAATCTATGTTTGCATTTGTAAGCAGTGAAGGATCTAAATCACTGTCATAGCTGCCTGAAAGAGTCTTTTGCACATTGGACAGATAGATGTTGAAGCTCATGGTTGTTTCGGTTCTTAAGTTATAGTTCTAAACTTCTCAGAAAGTCTGTGTGCATGTTGTTGAACACTGCTGTACATTAAGAAAAGAGTTTAAGAAAGTGACAACAAATCATCATTAAATGATTTGTTGCTCTGAGGCATGATTAATTCGGTTTTGGTTGATCCCTTTAAATGCATTAACTGTCTGTGTTTGTTTTCTTCAGACTGGTACTCTGACTGAGGATGGTTTGGACATGTGGGCTATTCAGAGAGCTGAAGATGGCAGGTAAGAGAACCTCTTGGATTCAGGTTTGTTGTCTCTTGCAAACACATCAGTTTCCTGAGAGTAACCGCATTAGATAAGAATCAATCAATCAAGTCCAGAGGGATGTGACAAAAGCAAATATTATTGTAGTGATCTCTAACTGACTATAACAAATCTTTTTTCAGTATTCTGACACATTATTTGCATGCAAGTTGTTACAAGTCAAGACTCGTAGTTGGGCAATGTGACTACTGTTGTGTCAGATTACTTTGAAGTGTAGTCAGTTACTGAATACAAATCACATGGCATTTTTTATAATCAGTAACGTAATCCATAGTACAAGAGAAATTGTCAGCTAATCTGAATATTTTTTGTATCGCTTCAAAATTAAACATTGAAAATATTGCAGACCCGAACTTTCAAAAACATTTTAAATGCAAATAAAATTCAGTTGGTCAAATCAAATAACGCTGAATGTCCTCTGTGATTATTTATCCCTTTAACCGGATACCAGAATTTTTTACATTGTTGTCGTTGGTTGTTAGCCATCCAGTGGCAGTCCCACAATGTGTTGGGTTGAGTCTATCTACTATTCAGAGTCTGTGTGGGTATGTGTGTGGCAGCTCTGATCTCAAACGGATTTGCCCCATTCCCCTATCAGGAGAGACCCCAGAGGATTAATAGAGCATTATCATGACAAAAAGTTTCATAATTTTCAAAATTGCGATATTCTGAAGATGGAATGAAAAACTTTGTTCTTGACAATGTAACTATAATTTAATTACACATTTTTTAAAATGGGATGATAATTATTTTTTTCAATGTGATTGTTGTGGGACATTTTGCAAACCAATGAGCAGAACCGCTTTATGGCAATATTTGATTTTTGCATGAATGTGATGATTTGTCAGGTATTTCACTTGCTATATTAGTCAAAAACAATATTAAATGTTGTCCTTTTTATCTATTCAGTTCATTTTTGAGAAAAGGTTTACACACCTGAGGGATCTAAAAGGAAAGATAACATGCCTTTGGCCTACTCATACTTTCCGAGAACAATGGAGAAAGAAATATATTCAGTATATCAAATATATTTCAGAAATACCAAAATGTAGTGTTTTTCTGTGGAGTTGGTATTAACATTTCCCACAGGATGTTTCCATTCTCATATCTCTCTGCAAAAGGATACTTCAGTATTATAAATGTATTTAAAATGTATTGTAATCTTTGACAACCTCCCTCTCGATTACAGCTTTTCTCCTCCAGAGTCTGATGCAGCTAAAGAAAGTCTGGTTAACTCTACATTTGTGGTTGGCATGGCAACCTGCCACTCACTGACCAAGATAGAGGGCGAGCTCTCCGGCGACCCTTTAGACCTGAAGATGTTCAGCGCTACGGGCTGGGTAAGCAAAGATTTTCAGTGTTTACACCCAGCATGCTTAGTCACTGGCACCAGAACGAGCATGGATACCAATCTGTTCATGAATTATGCAGCACCGTGCCTGACGCCTTGGCAGAGCAACTTCTTGGCTAAATTGGTAAAAGTCTGGTACCATGGATACTCCAGCATGAACAGCAGAAAATGCCTCTTCCTGTCAAGAGGAAGCTGGGACTAAGGCTGATTTTGTCACATCAGGCTTAGTGCAATGGAATCTATAAGCTCAACACATTATTAAAATATTATATGATTTCATTTGTGTCTAGATCCTAGAAGAGCCCACAGAGGAAGAGACTGCACTCCACAATCCCATAATGCCCACAGTTGTGCGACCTCCAAAGCACAACGTCCCTGAAGCCAATCAGAACAATCCGCTAACTCAGAACATGGTACAGTTACTCTCCATCTTTTTACTTTTTGACCAGTATATTTGTTTATAGCTATAAAGAAATATTCTGATTTCAGAGTTATAATGTTATTCATCCTTATTTTCTTCCAGGAGATGTCTGAATTATCAGTAAGTTGTTTTTCATGAAAACTTCATAATTCTTAAAGCAAATAGTTTGACATTTTGGGTAATACCCTTATTCACTTTCTTGTCGAGAGTTAGATTAGAGGATTGATACCAACCTCATGTCTGTACACTAAATATGAAGCTACTGCCAACCACTGGTTAGCTTAGCTTAGCATAAAGACTGGAAACAGGGGGAAACAGCTAGCCTGGCTCTCTCCAAAGGTAACAAAATCTGCCTACCAGTACCTCTAAAGTTCATTAATTAGCATGTTATACCTTGTTTAAAAAGAGTAAAAATAACAAGTTGAGTTTTTTAGGGTTATGTGCTGGACTTCCTGGAGTCTCCACTGGTTCCATTATTATTATTTGACAGAGCCAGGCTAACAGTTTCTCCTTGTTTCCACAGAGAGTTATAACAATCTTCTCCAACTCCTGGCAAGAAAGTAAATAATTATATTTATAAAATATCAAACTATTCCTTGAAACTGAATGTGAAATAAAAAATAATTTGACGTCTATACAACTTGTGTCTTTTGCTCCTCAGTCCTGTGAGATTGGTATTGTGCGTCAGTTCCCGTTCTCCTCGGCCCTGCAGAGGATGAGTGTTGTGGTCAGGAAGTTGGGGGAAAAACACATGGACGCTTACTTGAAAGGAGCACCGGAGGTTGTGGCCAGCCTCTGCAAACAGCACACAGGTCTGACACTTCTCCTGTATGTTGAAGGTTTGGGAGGACAGTTCCTCTCTTAATTTGACATTTCTACAAAGATACACAAAATAATTGACAATAAAATAAAAACATTCTGTCTTTAGCTACGGCCTCTATATCTCTGCCCTGTCTATTCAAATTGCGCTTGTCTAAAAAAGGGTCAGACTGACATGTCTTTCGCTTCAGTCCCACAGAGTTTCACAGAGACTCTGGAAACCTACACCAGGCAGGGCTTCAGGGTTATTGCCCTGGCACATCGACAGCTGGAGTCCAAACTCTCCTGGCACAAAGTCCAGAACCTCAGCAGGTACCTCTCCCTCCACGGATAACACTGTCCATGGTACACGTAGCTACTGACGGAGACATTACAGAGACATCCCACCCTGAAACACTGGAACTCGCTGACATAGCTTTTACTTCCCATTTTGATGTCTGTAGGACAGACAGTTCCACTGATAACTGGGCAAACATAGACCATTTGACGCAATGTCCAAATATTTACAATGCTGCTACAGCAGAGAAGAAAATGTCCCAGTTATCTAAAATGTGTGCAAATGTCAGGTTTTGGTGTCAGTAATCTCTGAGTCAGACTGCAAGCTGTTTGCTGGACTGTAGGGAAGAAGCATTAAAAACATCTGTTTTTTTTCACCAACACAGCCACAAGATATGATGCAATTGAAGTTAAAGGGTTAACTTTAATCACAGATTGGCCCCAATATGAATGAGCTGTTTTGTTATCTTGCTAGATTTACAAGCCCTCAACAGTTTCCTCTCTGCATGTTTACAATCACTCTGATAAATCATATGAGATATCATTAACTGAACTTAAAGTGAACCAGGCAAGAAATACAACTCCTGTGATTCAATGAGCAGCATTTATGATGTCTAATAATACAAAGCCCTTCGTTGTCTGTTACCTTCTCTGATTCCCTGAAATCTGGTTCTGTAACATGACTTAAAAGATTAATTTTGTTTGGTGTAAATCATATAGCTAGTGAAATATACAATTTATTGCCTTTAGGGACCTGATAGAAACAAACATGGAGTTTCTCGGTTTGATCATCATGCAGAACAAAATAAAAGAGGAGACTGCCGGAGTTTTACGTGAATTACGGCAAGCTAACATTCGTACATTGATGGTTACAGGTAAATGAATTTAATGACTTTATTCACTTCTTATTGTCTTCATGCTATGTCATTATTGCATTTATGCTAATATGCTATGTATCTTGTGTTAGGTGACAACATGTTGACGGCGATATCAGTAGCTCGAAATTGTGGGATGGTCCGTGCACATGAGAGAGTCATTATAGCAGATGCTGTGCCTCCTAAGGATCTCAACCCTGCTAGTATCACCTGGCATTACACTGAAAACCCCAGTCAGACCATCAAGGACAATCAGGTGGGACAGAAAGCCTCAGAGCCACTGAGTAACAAATAAATCAGTATATATAACCATAAATAAACAATATCTACGTGCACTCACTGTTCATTTTAGATAATATTTGTAACCTACTATCCAAGAGGGGTAGAGACTTCTCGCTCCTGCTTAACCACTTCACTGTTTGCTTTACACAAGTTTGAGACCTGCATGTTTGGGCATGTGTTTTCACTCAGTTCAAATAGAAACATTCTCAGTTAAAGTAAAGAAATAAACAGAGCAGAGTTTGATGAAAGCACCATCCACACTGAAACATGCTCGATGTGAAAGTCTCCTGAGTCACTCAGTATTGCCCAATTTGTTACATGTATTTACACATCTATCAGTAGCCCAGTTACTACACGCAGGGTTCATGTTCAAGTCATGAAAGTTTTGAAAATGCTTAAATTTGACCGTTTTAATGGCCTAAGCCTGAATTTGAATATACACATCCACACAAAGGAAAGAGGAAGTTTAATATTTCACAAGTCATGCAAGATAATACGATGTGGTAGTTTTCTTGTGTTCTAGTAACAACCGACTCATCCTCTGTCCTTCAGACAGTGAAGATAAACCTGGAGGAGGGAGTGTATGACAAGCAAGTCACTCTGCAGGAACAAAGCTATCACTTCGCTGTGAGCGGCAGAGCCTTCGCTGTTATCACAGAGCACTTCCCTCAACTCGTCCAAAAGGTACAGACTCATCTTTGGACACATAAACACCTCCATGTTCAGATTGAGTTAGGTTTACATCAACTTTAAAGCTATGTCTGAAGTCTGTTTTACAGATACATAGTTGTAGTTCAGGTTGGCATCATGTCATTTGGATTTTGCTGTAATTATTTGTCTCTCCCACATGGGGGCACTGCAGCTCGTGCTGAGAGCCACTGTGTTTGCTCGGATGGCTCCAGACCAGAAAACTCAGCTGGTGGAAGTCATGCAGAGCATCGAGTGAGTCTCGTATTTATTTGTTTGTGGGTTCAGTTTTACTCTGTTGATGAGCTGGAGATTATATGATTTTATAGATTCATTGTCACTTTGTTTCCCTTCCAGCTACACTGTTGGAATGTGTGGTGATGGTGCTAATGACTGTGGAGTAAGTGTGGAATATATTTATTTAATATGCACAAATCAGAATATTCACTATCAATTAAAATGTCAGATTTGTATATTCGGGGCAGAGAACTGTAAACGATATACTTTGTCCCATCTCATACCAGACTTATCCCACCTTTGTAAACCAGCTCACATACCAGTGTTTGACTGGATCAGTGCGGAAAAATAGATGTAACACTCTTAAAGCAAATCCTTTAATAGTAAAAAATGTCCGACAATTAAATAACATTTTGTGTGAATGATGACATTCTTGATACGTAGAATTAAAAAGTTGCCACTGGTGTATGTAGGCCTCCTCCATATACTTATTATACATGGATTTACTTCCACCTGAAATGTAGAGGAGTAAAAGTCTCAACAATCCAATAATTAACATAACTAAAACCGAACCCTTCACACCTGTGATTTATGAAGTTCTCTCTTTGTCTCAGGCCTTGAAGAGAGCTCACAGTGGGATCTCTCTGTCTGAGCTGGAGGCTTCTGTTGCTTCACCCTTCACCTCCTCCACCTCAAACATCTCCTGTGTCCCCAACCTTATCAGGTAGCAACTCTCTCCTAAATGACCTGTGAATTTCAGGATTCATGCAGAAATAAACTAAATTACATGCTGTTACAAATTCTTTCACACGTTTTCCTCCACATCAGTTCTGCCTGAAACCACTGGGGTTGTAACGATACACTCACAGATAATACTGAGCTTTCTGATTCTGTTTATCTCTCATTTTCTGACCTTCCAAAGGGAGGGCCGAGCCGCCCTCATTACATCATTCTGCGTGTTCAAGTTCATGGCTCTCTACAGCATCATCCAGTACCTCAGTGTCACGCTGCTCTACTCGGTAAATACTGTTTCTCATTCTTACACTTGGCATCACCAGAATATCGCAACGATCCACATGTTCAACACCAGAAATTATATCTATATTTTAGTGAGACAATTTATTCTTCCTTCTCTTCATTAGATGTTTCCAGCTGCATAAACATGATCCATGGTGTTTATTTATGTCCTCGGTTTTAAACTTGATGCCAGGCAACATGATTTTGACATGTTACTGAAGGTCCTGCATTTGTTAGTTGAGTAACAGACACTGCTATGGTTCCCATGTGAGATACAGAGGGTTCATGAGCAGGATAGACGTGAGGAGCAAGTAGAAACAGGTTGGGGTTTAGAAAGACGTGGGGGTTTCCATCCATTGGCTGTGAAACAAAGACAGCAACCACAAAGTGACGCTGTTTTGTTTCTGGGAAAGTGTGAGTGAATGGTGCAATCTCATTAATTAGAGCTAAAGTTAATCAGTCTTATAGATTTAGACATTGTAGATCCAGTCCTCTGCTACTGTGTGACTTTTCTGGTATTTGCAGATTCTCAGCAACTTGGGAGACTTCCAGTTCCTCTTCATTGATATTGCCATCATTCTCATCATTGCCTTCACAAGTAAGTAGCATGAAGAGAAGCACCAAAAATGCGATTTTGGGGGTTAAAGTCAAATAAAATAACTTACATTATTAACATGTTTGTCTCTGTCCTCAGTGAGTCTGAACCCGGCGTGGAAGGAGCTGGTGTGGCGTCGCCCTCCTTCCAGTCTGATCTCTGGCCCGCTGCTCTGCTCCGTTCTGACCCAGATCCTCACCTGCCTGGTCTTCCAGGTCCTGGCTTTTCTCTTAGTACGACAGCAGAGCTGGTACGAGATGTGGACTCCTCAGTCAGAGTGAGTAACGTGTCTGAAATTACCGCCTGTAAATCACTGCTTGGTAAATATATGTAAATGCTACTATAGTAGAGTATTTTGTCTCTGCTAACCTGCTGTGTGGAAAACCTGAATAAAACAATGGTTACAAATGATGTTCACTCTACACTTTAATATCTCTCATTTTATTTACACATTTAAATGGTGGACAATTCAGTCTGATTATCAGGCTTTGTTCACATAGTGGTACTGTTATTCTCCTGTTAACTTGGCTAACATTGAAAAGAAAAAGGGTAAACGCAAAAAAATCAATCAATTCCATCCAGTAGACTTTTTTAACAGCAGGTATTTGACATGAAATAGTAGGGTAAACACAGGTAATGATACTAATTAAAGTTCAGTTCCATTAAGGTCAAACAGAGTCAGTGTGCTGCTGTTGTGCATGTTGACTCTCTGGAAAGGCTTTGTTACACTAAATGGAACAGAGCCCTAATTTGTATCATTAGTTACACCTGTGTTTGCTCTACTATTTCATGTCAAAATGGCTGCTGTGAAAAAGGTCTATTAGTTTTAAATTCCAACTCTGAGTTTTCTACTGCCTGAATTTAATTGTGTAGTAACTGCCTGTCAAAGTGTAGCACATGCTATATAATGACAGCTTTCCAGTAGATAAAAAGAAGAAAAACAAGTCTGCAGTGCAAAAAAAGTCTGAAAAGATTTAAAGATTTTAATACTTTGGCTTATTTGTTCTGTGTTCCTGCTTTATGAATGCAGAACTTTCCAGAAGATTGTGTTAACTCTCTGCTTCCTCTCTCCTCTGGTTCCCTGCAGTGCCTGTAATGTTTCCAGCTCCAGTTTCTCTCACAGTCTGAATGTAACAACCCCTCACGACCACAAAAACATCAGGAACTACGAGAACACCACCCTCTTCTACGTCTCCTCCTTCCAGTATTTGGCCGTGGCCATCGTTTTCTCCAAGGGAAAGCCCTTCAGACAGCCAAGCTACAAGAACTGTAAGACTCATTTAGTGCTGTTGGCACAGAGCGAGATTAAATTTGCAATTATTTTTAGGTTTTCTGTCTTTTAAATGTGTAATGTAATGTATTCTAGACATTATCTTGTAGCTATCATTTTAAATTAATTCATTTTCCTAAATGCATCCAGTACTTCTCTAACTCAGTTGTTTTTACTTCATACTGACATACAACTGTGGACAATTACAATCTCCGGAACTACCTAATCCCTTTTCATATATATGTGTAATGTGCTTACAAGTCAAAAATAATTTGATTTAATTTGGTGTTACTGAAATTCTGTATTTTTAGGGCCGTTCATGCTGTCCTGCATTGGTCTGTATACTTTTCTCCTCCTCATCATGCTGTATCCTGTTCCTGCCATCGACAACTTCCTGGAGGTAAACTTAGTTTTCTTTGATTTTCTGGATGCTGTTGTTACACTGGCTGCTCTAAAAGATATTATTAATGTCCTGGCTTTAGATTTGAACAGTAGAAACAGAAAAAGATGCTTCATTTGAAACAAGACTTAAGGTATAAGAGAAGCTGGTAGGTTGCATGAAGTTGGTGGAAACCGTGTGTGTGTGTGTGTGTGTGTGTGTGTGTGTGTGTGTGTGTTGCATTCAGTGCTCTTCTGCTGCTCTGCCTCTACTCAGATCGTGTGTGTTCCCCATGACTGGCGCGTTACACTGGTCATCATTGTCATAGTGAATGCGGCTGTGTCTTTCATGCTGGAGGTATGCTTTAGAGACATCACACCCTACACGCTCCCTGTGACTGATCTCCCTTTTTCATTTGAAAACTATGATTTGCATGCATTGGATTTTTTCCTACTGAATCAGTGCTCAGTAGTGCTTCACCGCCTAATGAATGAAATCAATGAATCATTTTAAGTTTCCATTTGAGTTTTTTCTCTGTGCATTTCTATGGCTGTAACCCAATCTACACGATCAGCTGATTGTCAAGTTTCCACTGAAATCTCCCGTAGATTTTGATCCTTGACATCATCTTGTGGAGGCTAGTTTTCAGACGCAGTCAGGGGGTAAATCGCCCCACAGAGTGCCCCTCTGCTGACACACCTCAGGTTGGGAAGCTTTTGACTTCACTTTTTTTTTTTCTTGTTTATTTCTATCTTTATAGAAAGAGTTATGCATATTCTTAACTCAAATTCTCTTGCTTTGTTGCTTCATATTTTCCTCCAATAACTTTAATCAATAGAGACTAAATCTTACAGAACTGAATATTAAAATGTATATTATTCAATTAGTCATATTTTATTTCACAGGTTCTGGGTCATCTTATGAATCCATCAGCAGTCTTTTGAAGATTTATTTTCAAGCAACAGATCCTCCCTAGAAGCAGGAATTTGAGTTGACCAGTTACTGCAAATAACACGATTAATACATAAAAGCTAAAAAAATAATAATGTGTAGTACAATTTCTTTTGAATGGCCATGATCATCAGACTTACAAATGTTGCCCTCTTGACTTAAATTTGTCCCATTATTTTCTGTAAAAAAATAAAAAATCTGTGGATCATGTTGCAATGTGAAAAAATAAAAATCTAGATACACGAGCAGCTTTGGTCACAAAACTATAGAAAACCAGATCCTGAAGAGGCTCCCTTATGCATTCAGTACAAGTTTTTTCTTTCTAATGTTCATATTTTATGTGTCCCCAGGTGGCCAATGACTGCTGGGGCTCGTCCTTCCTCTCCTGGTTGTTCTGTCAGAGAAACAAGCCCCCAAAGGTGCGCTACATGCACCTGGCCCTGGAGCTGCAGGACGATGCCGACTGGCCCCCCAAACCCTACTCTGTCACCTGCGCCAGGGAACCACAATCTCACATCTCTGCCCCCCTCTGACACCAACAAGTAAAACTATTGCACAGACTAAATTAAAAGAACCCAACAACCCTTAATGTTGACTTAGCTTGGGTTAAGCTCAGAGATGTGACGGATGCTCAGATAATGTTTATTGGATGTCGAGCCGGCTGGATGCCAGCAAACAATCCAGGAGCCTCATAAAGGCGAGGCCTCCTACTGCAACAACTGACGGACACTGTGAACTGCTCATACATATCTTTCACTTTGATTCACCTCGTCAGAACGGACAAACTTGAGCCAGAGGCCTCTGTTAAAGGAATGGTTAAGCATTTTGGTAAAGGCCTTAATTCCAGTCTTAGGACGGTGAATATGTAGGTAGTGACAGTTGTCAGCTAACTTAGCTTAGCACAAAGACTCAAATTAGGGGTAAACAACTAGCCTGTCTCTCTCTTTCCAAATGTTATAATCTTTTGAAGCTCACTAATTTTTTAAAAAGTTTTTATCTTATTTGGTTGAATCTGTACTTCACTGCTGGCTACCTGGCAACCTCACGGTGATAAAGTCCAGCCTAGCAGTTTCCCCAATTCCAGTTTTTATGCTAAGCTAAGCTAACCAGATGCTGGCTGTAGCTTCATATTTACTGTACAGACGTGAGAGTGGTATCAATCTTCTCATCCAACTCTCACCAAGAAAACAAATAAGTATTCTTCCCCAAAATGTCAAACTATTCCTTTAACATGACTTGATGTTTCACTAACTACACTGGACACGGAGAATGACCTTTTCCTTGTTTTAAACTGTTGTTATTATTCAGAGTCAGAATTTGAAAGATCTGAACTAAGTGAGATGCATTTTTCTCACACTGAACAAAACATCAGAAATATCACCAGATTCAGTATTCAGTCATGTCTGACACTAAAAGAACTGGATAAATCTTTCCACTTCACTATGAACAAAAACATACAGTCGTCCACTAACGTTTGCTGCTCCTAAAATCTAAAAGTTGAAAACTGTATTAGGTCCTATGGATTCAAAGAAACATGAGAGACGAATGCCTTTTTGCAATTTCATGAACACAACTGGTACTGTTGTATTTCTGAGACAGAAAACATTCCACTGCTGCGTTTCTGTCAGAGTCACTTCAGTCGAAATTCTTCCTGTGGAAGAAGCAGAAATTTCTGTGTCCCTTTTTAATTTTTTTTTGCCAGTGCCGCTGTGTGTGTGTGGTTGTGTAAAAGAGAGAGCAAGAGAGTGTGTTAGTTAATAAGATGATCAACATTAACTATTTCTGTCTTTATGCTCTTTTTCTCAAAACATGACTTTCTTTTTGAATCAAATGTTTAAAAGGAAAAATTACAACATTTAACATCACTAAGGTACTGTACACAACTGATAATGTTTTAATGAATTAATTAAAGCAATTCAGTTAATCAAAACAAATCAATGAGACACTTGCTGCTGTGTCAGTTTCAACAGTTGATTTTAACATTTAATTTTTATATCATATTTTTATGTAACTTCACAGCTGTTGTATACATATTTTTCTAGTTGAGTTTAAAAATGAATATGATGATGATAAATGTGAAATTTAGTCACCTAAATCCTTAAATCTTCTTCAAGGGAATATGTTTTTGAAAATTGTAATACAGTATTTGTACTTATTTTCTTATTTCTAAAATGTGACAAAAGTGTTTCTGTGTCAGTCAACAAATATTCCCCTGTTTGCTCTGCAGAACTCCTATTACATTTCCCAATAAATCTGTATATTAAGCCACTCTTGCGTGCTTCGTGGGGGGCTGACCTTGGTCACACTTTTTCAGCCAAGACTTACTGATCAATTATGGGCTTTCCCAGCCTCCTCGCTGCCTGGCATATGGGCGCTTAAAGGCGCGAGAGTGGAGGAGAAAGAGGGGTATCATTTCATGTGGAGATCAGGGCCTATAGGCAGTGAATGGGTGGATTTAGGGGGGACTGTGAATAAGGGAAGGGGGTCCTCGCTTGTACCAAAAAGAAAAGAATCTCCCACAGATCAGGGAAGAGCCTTTTTGGGAATATTCATGATGAGGATGAGGAGGCATCATGAATTCATGTGTGTCTCCCTGACTTGCACGGATCATCTTTTCAGTAAACACTGATGTGTACAGAGCTGGGATGTCTTGCTTTCGATCGGTGTTTGCCATGTAGTTTCGTGGATAGTGTTGCCTCTCCACAAAGCAATATGGGTTTTTGTGTACCCTCTGCTGTATTCCTTTTGTATCGTTAGAGCAACAGATGGAGAGTGGTGGAAAGACATAAAGAAGCTAAAACACACAGCCTTTCTTCCTCACAGCTAGCTACTCGCTCAAAAAGATTTTCTCAAGCTTGCGCTCAGACGTGTGCTATTTCAAACATTTTGGACTTCATCTCCTTTCTCTTTTACCCATAAGTTTTTTTGTCTGAGTTGTGTACTTTCAAGATTTGGGCCTATGCACACAGTCTTTGTTTACTGTTTCTTTGCTCCCATCAGTCCCCACAGAGAGATAAGACCTGCTTAGAATAAATTGTAACGTAACGGCCACAGTAACACACTTTCTGCACCGCAAATTGTCATTTCACGTGCTTTCTCAATATGTCTGTTAACACCCAACACACACATTCTTTTACTTATTCTTCCACAAGCAGACGTCAATCTGCTGCAGCTTCCCTGAAGGTTGCCGGACGCTCATAAGGCCCTCGTCATGATTAATAGTCAGGACACAAGGCTAACCTGATGCTCACTTACGGTTGGCCTCATTTTACAGATGACACAAAAGCACCCACGTCTGGTAAAAGGTCTGTGACCCACCAGACAGTCACAAAGCCCTTCTCCTCCCTCCTGTCCCCTAAGCATGGGCTCCTTCCCCTGGCCTTCATGGCGTCCCTGTCCCCCTTCCTTTATCAGACCTTCCAGGCCTGAATGGGCTCTGTGGTTGGTCAATAAATTCAGTGATTCAGGGGGTGGACAGTTGCAGCCGTGTTAACGTTTGTTCACAGGCTTGTCGGAGGGACGGGCCCCGCCCTGCAGCTCTTTGTCTCCTGTGGTCCCTCAACAGGTTAGAAGTCAATGGAGGGCCTTGTGCGGAGGTGGCAGGGGCATGGATGGAGCCGCCTCTCACATGGCATTCACACAGGGGGAGGACCGGCCCAGATCACTGTGACACTTGTTAGTGTGGGGCCACACAGCATTGCCGGGTTGCCTCTCTGGCTCTCCCTTGAGAGGGCCCAGTGCGATATTCAGTGCTTTAAACAAACTAATGCTTGAGGCTGCGGGGTTTGCATTGGGGTAAAATGATCTGCACTCAGAGGCCTGGTGTGACCACACTGAAAAGAAGTGCACAAGTGTATCTTACAATCTCAGTTTACAGATCAGACTCACAATAAAATGAGGTCAGGCCTTCATTTGGTCCACAGTGTGTAGTAATGGTGAATCCAGTCTTTAAATGTATACTAGAATAGCATTAATGCACCTTTGTGGCCCCTGAGGGTGCCACACTGTTGCTGAGTTATAGCCGGTTTCTCAGACTCAGCTGGGCCAAAGCATGTGAACAGCCAAACCGGGAGAAAAGAGACACAGAGAGCCATAGATAGAGCAACACACAAACAGAGGAGGGCTTTAGGAGACAGAAAGCAGCGGACAGAAAAAGACGCACAGAGACTGAAGAGGGACTTAGAGCCATGACTGAAGCCTAACTGTCATGAGAAGATGAGAGTTGCCATGGCCACCCAGGAGCCACCCAGCAAGCATGTGAGCAGGGGAGGCTCGGGGGCCAGGGGCCTGGGCCCGGGCTGGTGGATCACATGCACTAACCAGGGATTATGTGCATAAGTGATGAGCACTAAGCCGGCAGGTGAAGAAGGGAGGCCCTGGGACAAGGAGAGCGCCATCCCTCAGGACAGCTCTGGACTTTTTCCCAAGTGAGGCTGATCTCCCGTGTGAAGGGGACTCAGCCAGAGGTCCTCGAGTGCTGAAAGGGCATCCCCCAGGCTGCTTTCACAGCGTAAGTGGCCAAAACGCTGGTCTTGTGAGTCATCTTGAGTGGCAAGAATGGGCCATCTTCACATTCATAAATCCCAATACAAACACACTCATGGATATGGACTAAGCATGGATAAGGATAAGCACCACAGGGCAGTGCATCAGCGGGGCTCTTTTTGGCTTGGCGCTGATGTAAAAGAACCAGTTCTACCATCTTTAATCCATCAGAAAGAAAACCAGATCTAGTTTAAGCACTAGCTAAGTTAACTTTACACTATATTTATGGACAAGAGCCACATCTTACAGCCAGGATCAACAGGTTCATAGGTTGTTTTGCTGCAGGGAATCAATGCTCGTAATATCCATGGCCTTACAGGAATGTGTTTGAACCTTGATGGCACAAAGAAATCACATTCCCATGGTCCACAGAGAGAAAATACACGGTTAACCAAACTCTCTCTCTCCCCCCCCCTCCCCAATACCTTTTCAAGACGTTAGTATCCCTGAACATATTAACATGTAAATACACTTAGATACTTTGACAATGCACTGAAATGCATATAATCTACATGCTAACTAGTCCTTTAAAGAGTTTCCACTGCTGAATGTGGTTTGGGAACACTTTCATGTCTGGGTTTTAAAAATTAAATGTGAGGCCTCTCTTAGAATCTCTAAAAGCGTTTTTCAATTTGATGAGGGATAAGGCGATGACTGGGTTCCCTTTTCAAAGGGGGAGACCCAGAGTTCAATAAGACTTCAGTCTCATTGCCTTTGCCTCCAAGTTGAAGATCTAAATGCTGGCTTTTTTTTAAGAAAGAAACCACCACGTTAGGTGACAGATGGCAGGTTGTTATGCTGAAATACCAGTTGCTATGGTCCCCTTTTCCTCCGCAGCTTCACTTGCCATAGCTAAGCATCCTCTCTGCTGGTGTACTGACTTGGAATAAGCTGACTTGAAACTGCTCAGGTTGTTGTTGACAAACATGAGCCTAGATGAGTCTGCTAATCTCCCGCTCCTTTATCCGCTCTTTATTGCCGTATAAACAGGGCTGAATACACTAGAAAAACTAAACCTCTGTTTTCAGCCTTCTCTTATCTCACGCAGGGTTTAATCTAATGCCCTCTACCCTTTTTACATCTCTGCCTCCGCTAAATTCGACCATATTTTTGATTCAGCACGTCACCATGACAACCAGTTATTTCCCATCCTTGAGCCCCCCCCTCCAGCTCCTCTTCTCCATTGAAACCGCTACCTCCCCCTACTCCTTCTTTTTTTTTGTCCAAATAAAACAAAGCGCAGAGTGAATGCGCTCTGAGGTAGGTAAATGTATTCAGTGACATCAGCCAGGACGAGTCTATTCTGCCGGATTCCTGTACCACTTGTTTCCAGCCTTGTCTGGGGGCCGGACACTCTGTTGGGCCCATTGTCCCACGTGTATTCCACACAGGCCCGCAATTAATGGAGGCCTTGTCTAAGGCTTCTGGAGCAGAAACTGCTGTTGGGGAGGGGGACAAAAGGCGGGCAGAGCCGGGGGCTGGGAGTTGCTATGGGTGGGCCCCCCTTCCCTCTTTAAGGGGGAATTCAAAGGGAGAAGGAGGGACGGAGAGAGCGAGCGAAGCGCTGGATGAGATGTTTAAGTGATCCCCTCTGTCTGTGCCCTCCCCTCCTGGCCTGAGATGTTTTCATACCAGCAGTTGAAAGAGAACCTTCGCAGTATTTGATGATGAGGATGGTCATTTTGCTGCCCACATGGCGGTCCCGTGGCTGGGAGAAAGCAGGGGCCACTGCTTTCAGACCAGGTGAAGAGAGGAGAGGAGTGACTGGTCACTCTGTATGGGATTTGTACCCACTGCAGAGACCTGTTGTCTCTTCTGGACAATTTGTTAATTTGATGTTGCAATCTGTCAACTTTCAAGCAACAGATTTTAGCCTAGAAATTCCGGTCTCAGGTATAAGAGCTCATCTTATTCACAATAAAATGACTTGGTCATGTTCTTTGATTTTATTTGTGTAGATGATTCAGTTGTCCTGGTCCCTCATAAACACATACAAGAGTTATTAGTTGATGAATGAAATAGAATAAGGACCTGACTATCTGAAAGAGGCTTCTTTAACAATTACGTAAGACTGGGTCTGTTTAGGCTAAGAAAGGACTCTGACCCAGACAGTTAATTATTTAGGTTGCTTTCCTAGAAGGTGAAGCTATGGTTTAAAAAGTACTGGACAAAGTAAATGCCTGAACTATATCTGATTTAGGAAGATCTGAAACTTTTAGCCTCCTGCTTGATCCAGTGTTGTTTTGTATGCTGTCAGTTCATGGCACACTGTTATTACAAAAGCTTTGAAACACAAAACTATCTGGTTAAAGTGATCACAGTGTTGTTAGCTTTCAGATCTCTGGCTTCCAGTTCAATTTTAGGATTTTATGTGGAAGTGCTCTCAGCTAACTCTAACAACTATTTTAAGAAGGTGGTGCATCGATGACCACATTCATAAAGTCATAACACCAGAGCCAATATAGCAAACCTAAATCTTGATATATTTAAGTGTCTGACAGGTACAGATTCCTGACTTTCCTTTGGTAGGAGTCAAATCCTCTTGACTTTAAGACAAAGGCTTAAAGGACCAGTGTGTAGGATTTAGCCGTGTAGTTGCAGATTGTATCTCCCTTGTGTCACTCTCCCTTTTCAAGCGTGAAGCAGAAACTACGGTGGCCACGGCACTGTATGTTTGGTTTGTCCATTTTGGGCTACTGTAGAAACACAGTAGCGGTTCAACGTGGGAGACTCTTTGGACGGGGACCAACGACATCTATAGATATAAACGGCTCATTCTTAGGTGATGAAAACACAACAATTCTTATTTTATTTTATACTGATGAAAACATACCTATTAATATTATATTCCAGTTCTTCTAATCTTCTAATAATTTATAATCTACCTTCTCAAACTTACACCAATCAGCCATAACATTATGACCACCCTGTCATCCTGACTGGTCTGCAGCTTCGCAGTCCCATACCAACAAACTGTGTGTTCTGATACCTTTCTATCAAAACCAGCATTTACTTTTTCAGCAGTTTGAGCTACAGTAGCTCGTCTGTTGAATCGGACCACACGGGCCAGCCTTCACTCCCCACGTTGTTTTTAAATATATCAGAATGTGGTCAATAAACCAAACCAAACCATTGTCTTCCCGCCTGTTTCCCTCAGCTTGTGGTTATCAGTCACAGGCTGGACCTTGATATCTCTCTCCTTCTGTCTCTGGAGCCTCCCATCCCTGGCTTCCCACACTGATACAGATCAGGGCTGTGCTATAAACCTCATGTCTACATCACCGTGTGCACAATAAAGGGTTGTTTGTGGCCAAGCGGCAGGCTCACTGAAAACAGTACTGATGGGATGTAATTTATTGTTGCACGGCCTCTTCTACCGAAACCCTATCATCTGCCGTGAGCAGAACCTCGGCTATTTTAAAGGAGCATCTTGTTAAAACATCCAGTGAGAAGATTAAGTGAGCACTTTAAGTGATCCCAGGAGAACGGTAGCAGAGTCTGAGGTGGTCATTGTATGTGAGTTAAGTGTATTAGTGAGAAATGGGGAAAAAAGAAAAAGCATTCATTTGTGAAAATATTTCTACGCGGCTAATAAACACAATTGCATCGTTTTTCATCTGTGTTATCCTGCTCAAATCTTCACTGGAGAAGATGTAATAAGCTATTTTGTACTGTTAAGATTTTATTAAAGAAAATACCTCCACTGATGGTCACTTACCTTTACTAACGTTATTATTAGCTATGTAAAAGGTCAAACCCAATTTGGCTGGAGGTCTGACTTGATGTCATTTGACTTAATTTAATATTGACTCAGGTCAAGAAGCCGGTGGTGCTTGAAGTCATCTTGCTCACACAGCGAGGAAGACGTGGATACAAAAACTGACCTGGCTTTTAGGGTCATTTCACCTCTGAGGATTTAAGAGCTTCACAGAGAGTGTTTGAAGTCTATCAGGGAGGACATAGGCGTCTGATGATAAACCTGGACCAGACAGAGATGTCTGTCAATGAATCAATGAAACTATGCGGCATGTGTCTCAAAGGTGACACATGCTGCATAGTTCTGAACAGAATTATTAGTGGGAAGGGTCTAATTTGTAATAAAGGATGAAGATGCTAGACCAGAGAATGTTTTTATGTTACTGCAGTTTATAAAGATCAGAATTACTTTTCAGTGCATTTTATACTTTAGACAGCAAAATGCTTATTTTGAGAAATTCCACAATCAACTATTCAAAGCAAATGAACAGAAAGTGTACCTCCTTTTAAAGTTTCATTCCTTCTACCTCAACAAATGTATTATTCTATTATAAAACACATTCCTTGTATAAAAGGCCTTTTCTATACATACATTTATCCACCATTAAAAAATGTTTTAGTGGTGAATAAGAAGAATAAATGAGAAAATGAAAAATTATTTTTGTTGTGCATATTGGGCTCTTTATAATTTCTGCATATGGATTTTGAACCCTTGTAGGATACCATCTTATATGAAACTTTAACTTTAGGTTGTTAAGTGCCTCATATTGTATTTCTCATTTGTAGAATAATAAGTGACAAACAAATAGCTATTAATGAATAAAATTAAAAGTTGAAATTGTGCCATGGTTACAGTAAGAATAATAATATTCATTTTATTTTAGATACACAAACATTATAAAACATGCCCTGAACTCTATTGGGTCAATATGTACTAGATTAGTCTTTATCTCATATTCAATAATATATCCTAAAAGTTTTAATTATAGAAGTGACATTATTGCTGAATCAGTTTAGTCATTTATGGACAAAAGAAAAAAATAAGTTTACTTGCAAACATTAATTCAGACAACAGATGCAGTCGCCTAAAACATTTTTCTCACATCCATTAATATATCACTAAATAATCTATAAATTAGCCGTCTTCGTGTAGTTTGAGTTAACTCTTTAACTTTGCTTCCTGCCCCTAGTCTGTGATAACAGTCAGAGTTAGTGGCAGTGAGAGAACAACTGAGTGTGTCAGAGATTTTCTTCTTCACTGGACATCAGGCCTGGAGTGTGTCAGAGGATTGTGTGTGTCCAACCTCAAACTCTGAAGCACTCAATGACCCCTGAAAGTGTGTGTGTTCAAAAGATAGACTCACACACAAAGATAAAGAACCTGTACAACTGTGTCGTGAGTTAAGTCATTTTACCTAAACAGTTTTTAAAATATGAAATTCTAACATAATAGTAAAACAGTGTTTGTGAATGTTATGACGTCCATATACATCAGAGTTTGCTTTAAATGTGGCTTCTGTGTTTTCTGTCTATCTGATAGTTAAGACGCTTTAGGCGTATTTGAAAAAATATGCCAACTGATGACATGCAAATATTACAAAGGTGTTTTGGTGATGAGTAGTTTTTTAAGAAAAAACAACAAAACAACAAAAAATGTAATTTGTCAGTTTATTGGTCAGAGATATGCGCAATGAGTAGAAGATGATCTGTTGTTCAACTTTTGGTATTAACAGATAAATTTAATAATAATTTACTGAATAAAATAATAATAAATGCCCTTCAGAGGGACATCACAGTGGTGTCTTAACTCAGTCTGACCACGACCGACACATCGAAACAACGCAATTAAAAAAATATGAATGAACTAATTAATAAAAGGAGAAGGAGAAATATGTTTGTATATGAAGCTAAAATCAGTTGATGTTCCAGCTGTTTAAAGGCGTTTATTAAAATTCCTTTTCAACCGAGGTGTTGAAAATATCATCATATCATATTTGTTTCAGCTAAAGTGTTATCGATATATTAAATTCATTAATTACATGACGCACTGTACAACAAGCACTCTTTGTTAAAGCGGTTCATCTCATCAGAGTCAACACACCTGATTTGCAGCCGTTTTCTTTCCACTTTAACTATAAAGTATCCTCTCTGTGTAAACCAGTCTCTCAGCATCCTGACAGGTAGCCAATGGCAGCGCCTTGTCGCACGAGCACGCCGCCTCCCCGGCACCGTGTCCCGCGCGCTCATTGGACGGACTCATGAAACCCAGGAAACTCGCACACGAGCCGCTCGCGTGCAGCCCCGGGCTCTATAAATAAGACCCGAGGCGCTGGAAACAGGAGCGGACTGGATGTCAGCTTGGCGAGGAGACAGAAGTCACTTCTGACATTTGTCATCAGTAAACTGTGGTCCGCCAGGAGAAGGCGGGACTCACCGCGCTGGACTGACTTTTTATTGTTGAGCATCGTCCTGTCATTGATAAAGCATTTGTTTGGACTTTAAACTGTGAAGCTGAAGATGCCAGCCGGTACTTTAGAGAGAACATCCCCGTCCGCTGTGGCTGCCACACCGGCGAGCGGGGACTCGACCCCCGAAAAACCCCGGACCCTGTCAGAGAACAGAAAGGTATATGAACTGATTGTTTTGCTAATATTCGTCTGTTTACCAGCTGCTATTTTATCCTAGAAACCGCCATCTCAACAGTTGTTTCTCCTGTTTTAAGTCCTCCAAACCAATCATGGAAAAGCGGAGACGTGCGCGCATCAACGAGAGTCTGGGCCAGCTTAAGACCCTCATCATGGACGCGCTCAAGAAAGATGTAAGGAGATGAACACTACATTTGTACTTGCGAGATAAATTGAATCTAAGAACCAAATTAGTTAATTGAGTACTAAATGGTCGCTTCTGTCCGCTCAGAGCTCCAGACACTCCAAACTGGAGAAGGCGGATATTCTGGAGATGACCGTGAAGCACCTGAGGAACCTGCAGCGACTTCAGATGACTGGTATGTAACTACCATTTCTGGATTGAGCAGGTTTATATACATGCAGTCCTTCTTGGATGTCTAACTTTAGATGGTAAACATGTTCCCATGGTCTTCAAGATTTATTGCCCACTCGCAGCTGGTGTGCTTGCACTTAAGAACTGATTTCAAAACTGCAACTGCATGAATAAAATATGTTTTTACATTATTCAATTAAGCTAATTTGTCAATTATTTAACAATATTCTTTATACTCATGAGCTCTTAATCTACAGTAGTCATATCTATCTATCTATCTATCTATCTATCTATCTATCTATCTATCTATCTATCTATCTATCTGTTTATTAATGTATTTCTGTTTTCATCTGCAGCTGCTGTGAACACAGACCCATCCGTCCTGGGAAAATACAGAGCCGGGTTCAGTGAGTGTGTAGGAGAGGTCACGCGTTTCCTGTCCACGTGCGAAGGGGTGAACACAGAGGTGAGGACTCGTCTCCTCAGCCACCTGGCGGCCTGCGTGACCCAAATCAACGCTGTGAACTACTATACACCTCACCCAGGTGCACTGGGACTTGGACAGACCGGTGCACAGATCCCAGCTGCTTCCGCTCCACAGATGCCCTGCAAAAGTGGCTCAGTGATGCACGTCACCCCAGAAGCGATGAAGCTGTACGGTGGCTTCCAGGTTGTGCCAACGCCGGATGGACAGTACGCTTTTCTAGTTCCCAGTGCGGCTCTTATGCCTCTGAGTGCACAAAACAGCCATCACATGTCACCTGTTGCACCTCCGGTCACCTCAGACTCTGTGTGGAGGCCATGGTAGGAAATCAGCTCAAGGACTGACAGTAAAACACATTTTTGTACATTTTGTAAATGTTTTTAAAACCTACCTGAGAGGGATGTTTACACACATTTGTGTCTTTTTATATGGACGTTAGGAGATATTCTTGGCCTCATTGCTTGCTGTTATTTTCTCTGTTTTTGATATGGTCACAATTCCTCAGCGTCAGGAGGTCAAGAAAATCCTTGAAAAGCTCTTGAACAGCACTGTATTTTTTGAGATGAATAAAACAATTTCTATGATGTTTACTACAATATTTGCTGCAATGGTGTCTTTGTTGTTTCCTCAAAAACCCATCAGGTTGTCATACTCATGTCCATTCACAGACAATGCAGGTTGCACTTTAAGTTAATCTCAGACCTTTAAAAAGTCAACATCCCTTGAACAGCAGCCATTTAAATATAGCCCCCCTACCCCTGCCTCCTGTGTGCCTTGTCCACACCTTGTTCACATCCCTTTTGCAGTGACAGGGAGGAAACCTGCTTTCTGGCTGGAAATAAATACATAAGGAACCTAAGAGGTTGTGCTGTCAGTGCAGGGAGGCGGGTGTGGCAGCGTCTGTTGCAGCATGCAGGCCTCCCTCTGCTCCTGCCAGATGGGAAGTCATGTTGAAATAGATAGGGCATGATCGTAAACCCAGTGACGGGGTAAATTAAGACCAGACCAAATAAGATACTGGTGTTACTCAAGGATTAAATAGATGTTGTTACTTTCTGGTGTCTTCTCTGTATCATCTGAGAGATCTAACAGAGATAACTGATCTACATATAACAACACAACCTTTTGACAAACCAGACTGTAAATTTGATTTAAAATGATTTTAATGATATAAGTGCATGTTTGCACAATAGCTTATCAGCAGCAGCCCTGTGGAGCCAGTCCAATCGCAGTCCATTTAGTGGACAGTTGAAGGGCTGACGGTCCCAGCGTGTGTCCTGAGTGTGGTGCTCACACAGTAGGACACAAGCACAGAATGGCCAGAGGTCACAGGTGCCCCTCATTCACACTGCAAAGACAAATGCAGCTCCAACAGCATGTTGCCCTGAATCTGGCAAGCCATCAACAGACCTGGCAGCTCATCACCAGAAGACAGGGCCCCTCTTTGACAGCATCAAACAGTGGTACCTCGAGAGGCAAACACTCACACACAATCCATGACCATTGGGTTATTCCTGATTTAATATTCATGGAATTTAAGGGATTAGGTCATAACAGAAATAAATGTAACCATTTTGTTTCTAAGTCGTTCTTGTTTCTCAAAGTACTGAGAAACAGGTATTCTGCACTCATGACATGAGGATATATTGTATGTTTATGTATCTTAGTGTTAGTTAAATGATGATATAGTGATTCTTTATTCAGCATTTCAACAGAAATCAGTGTAAACATGAATCAAATCACTTCTCTGTCACTCTAAAAATTATTAAAACTCCTCACTTTGTGCAAATGATACAGTCAATTAAGTTTACATCTCTGTTTTGGCACAGCTGAGAGAAGACTGGCAGTAAGGAGGACTTAAAGACAAAAATAGAGCTCCCCCTCCTATCGGAGCATCCTTTGGGAAGACCCTCCGAAACACAAAAACAAAGACGGGCCTCTCAGTGGCTCAATGGCTCCTCTCTTTGTGACCCTCTCCATCTTCATAAAGGGCCTTCCCCTTGTTTATCCAGGAAGAGGTTTAATGGCTGGGAGGGGGGGAGGACCATGCTGTCACTTTCACCGTGCTAAAGAAGGCTTATTGTTGCCCGCTCCCAAAGGTCCTGGTCTTAAAGGCTTTTTGAGAACTCCTCAGGCCAGGCTGTTCTCTTCAGATAAGAGGAGCTGTGAAGTGCTGACAGGTTGCTCCTATCCATACCTATATGTGATGGAGAACCTGGAGTTGTTTTGCTGGAGGAGCTTCAACACAGATGGCATTGTTGAGACGATTTGCGCTGTTTACCAGTGTTGGTCCCCTCCTTCCATCTTTTGTCTTATTGTTTCTTATCCCCTCTCCCTGCCCCTCCCTAATCGAAACCCCGGTTTTATGTAGTATTTTCCCAAACTTTGTAAAGCGGAGAATAGTAAACATGAAGCAGGGTAGGGTCTGCCCCTCTCGCTCTGCTCCGTGATTGATGGCCTCCCCTCACACACACACAGTGACAACAGTGACAGGTTCCCTGCTTGTCTCCCCCTGACACTCACCGGAAACCTTCACTGCCTCCGCCTTTGGGTGAATTGGCGTAGTATTGTTCTTAGGGTTGTTATGGTGCTTGATGGGGGTTGAAGTAGTCAGCGGCGGTTCACATCAAGGCTAATGAATAGATTATGCACTCGATATCAATAGTGAATGAACAATACTCTTTGTCCCTTCACTTCAATTCATCCCTTTTTGATTTAGCTGGTTGTTTTTGAAAAACCCAACAACATACTGGTGGAAGTGTAGCTTCCGGGGGGGGAATTTAGTATCAGCATGACACGATAACACTGGAAGTGGGAAATTTATTACTTTGGACCCACACAGAGTGATGACGGTGTGACCATTAAAACCAAGTAACTCTGGTACGAGATCACAAGTCATCGCATCTTCAAAGGAGATGTTGTGTTGGATGTCGGGGAGGGGGAGTGGAGGTCTTGTTGTCTCTGTAGTTATTGGCCATATGCCCACGAAGGCTTATGAAGACGACCATAAAGATAGACTTTCACTGCAGGTGGCCCTTGAAAGCGAGACATCCCAACTTTTTGGCCTGGAAAGGCTGAAAAACTATGTGTGAGGCATCAACCGAGCCAACCTGGAGGGAATTAAAGAGCTGAAAGGATTATTCTAGTTTATTACGAATCGGGTCTTACTTTTGTAATGTGTCCATTGTTCTTACAGGTAATAATAATATTGTACTCACCAACTTAATTGAAGACATTACTACAATGGAATTCAGTAGGGCCAGAAAACACAAGCAGTCAGCTGATGAAATCTGGCTACATTGTTGGTCAGATGATCAGACAGTTTGTAACCACTCCCTCAGCAATGACTTGAGTTAAACTGATAAAAAAAACACAAGTTCAGTCACTTTCATTAAGGAATTGACCATTCGAAGCAAATTATTCTACAGTTTTTACAGGTTTACAGGTTTGGCGGGAAAGACAAAAAATCTGTCCAGCAATCAGGCTTCTGCTAACTGAATTATTCCAGCATGTACCTCAGGGCTGAAGGTGCTGGCAACTGCAAGCTGAGTACATAATCAGAAAAAATCTCACTAGCGTTTGTTGAATAGACGGCACACTCAACCTGCAAAAATAAAATCAAGTCAAATTTGGTTGTTTTTCCACGCTGGGCCAAGCTGTGTACCTATGAATATGATTGGACATTACTAGTCAGCTGAGAGCCAAACAGCTGATGAATGAGCCAGTGACTGTGAAGCATGAATGAGACTTTAGTGCTCTGCCTGAATAACACATTTTTTTTCCATTTGTAATATATCACCCTTAAATTTAAGCATGTCAAGGCAATTCTCTTAAAACCTGGAACCAGGACTTGACAAGCTTTGGACCTCTTAAAATGTTATGTGAATAATGCTGCTTAGAAGTGCTTTACTAAACCATAATATGTGAAGCGCACTCGAGCAACATTTTAATACGTCTTACCACTGGGAAACAATGGCCTCTTCAGAAATTACTTCTGCTGCTGGAAGTTGGAGTGTGGGAGGTATTTAAATTGTTTTGCAGCAACAAAATGCTAAGTTTTGCAGTGACTCTTCAATATACAATGAAATGCTGCATGCATGCATAATAAAACCTCCCTATCAGGAGAGCTGGAAACAAAACAAGGATAGCAGTATGAGAGCAGGGTCTGCAGGGCCATAGCTCCTGATTCATCCTCAATAATTGTAATGTGATGATAAGGAGCTTATAGCCTCTTGTTATCCACCAATAGGGACGGACAAGACAAAAGCCAGCGTACCAGTATGCTAAAAGATTACCATTCTGATGACATCTCTGCGTCCACTTAACACCCACATCAGGTCAGCTGTTCATAATTTGGTCAGCAACACCAATTTAGCCTCCACCCGGGGGTCTGGGTGCACTGAGGGGTAAATATTGACCCTTGTTTGTAAGCAAGGCTCACATTTTGAGTGTGCAAAATGGCCCATTTGTGTTCTCAAGATGTTTAGGTCATTGTGTCATAGAGGATGTATATCAGCCTCTCATAGGGCTGAGAGAGAGGATCTAATGGACACCTGCCCACATAATGGCAACTGGTTGGTTATCATTTCACGAGTGACTGAGCTCATTTAAGTGATGCTGAAAAAAAACAAAACAATGAACATGATAAGTAAAGTAGAGATAAATGTTCCAATAATTTATATGATTTTGAGACATATGCCCCTTGTTGTTATTAATACTGTATAATATTATCAATGATAACACTGGTGGTAACACACATACACAGCAACCTGATCTGAAATCAATTTACATTTTCAGATCAAAAACCCTCCTCTTGAATTCTTGCCCCGGGCACTGAGTCTTAGATGACCTCTACTCTTTGTCCCGGGGACTCTGGCCTGCCCTCGCCACCTCCCTCCTCACCGGCCAGTCTAAACTCTGTGGGAAACCCCCCAGTGCTTTGTGTTGTTTTGGACATTTTGTGTCTCACCAGATAATGTCTGCACCCCTCCGTTTCTTTCCTCTCCGATCTGAGGAACTGCTGTGTGGAGCGTGGTGTCCGGTGCTAACTGCCCGGTAGAGAGATGGGATCTGACCATGGGGGTTAAGAGCTGCTTTTCATTGTGCCTTGAGACAGTGCTCACACCCTGCTGCTGTTAGTTTGCCAGGCAATGAGAGTAAGTGGCAGTGATGGATGCTGACAGGTGGTTTTGGTATTGATAATTATATTAGCCTCTGAACCTATGCTGTACCAACAAGTGGTTTCATCTTTACAAACATTTAGTTTTGTTTAAACTTTAGAGTCAATTATGAAAATACTAGAAGATACAAAATATACTCAGCACAATTTAGGCTAAATTAGTATAAAATGATGCATGAAACATCTAATTTATTCTGATAACTGTGTAGCTATGGTAGACAGAATACCCTGAACACACCATGATTAGACAAGTTTATGTTTGCTTAGATTTTAAGAGGCTTAAACCTACATTAGTTGATTTTGGCCACTTGGGGGCAGCACAACAAGAAGTAAATACAACATTTACATATTATCACCTTATATGGTTAATATGGCTAATGTGTTAGCATACAGTCGCAGAGCAGCAAATATTTTCATATTCAAGTTTCTGTTGACCAGATAAATGTAGGTCCAGTCATCGTTCTCCTTTTAGCTCAGTGCTCCACCAAGTCTTAAATATATATATTCCCATTCTGCAGCATACCTATGTAATGAACAACACATGTCTGGCCCTTCTTCCGAAATGTTCTTTCATCCCCGGGAGATATTGTCTGGACTTCCACACCCATGTTTTTTTTTTTACTGAAAACAGTCGCCTGTGTGTTGTAGCAGTAATGAGGGTGAACAATAAATTGTAAAGCTGAGGGCTGTAAACGCTAAACAAAGTGCTAAGAGAGGCTAAAATTCTCAGTAGAGCTGAAAGAAACTGTATAGCGTGGAATATTACTTCTTGTCCTCTTCACATTGCACTTAGTTATTTCAGCGATTGTTAATATTAACATTTTGGTTAGAGCAGCTTTAAGGACAAACGTGAAAGGTATATGAAGTTGTTAACCCTGACGTAACAAAACCATCTCTGGATTAAGATTGTTTGCCTAAGGGAGGCAGAAACTTTAGATTGCACATCTGTAATTCTGCAGTTGGAATTTTAACAAATTTTAGAAATTTCAAAGAATAATGCAAAAACAAACAAAAAACAAAATAAAACAAAAAAACTTCATAATAAATATAACAATTTAAATGGCAACATCACTAATTTCCCTAAATGAGTTCATCACTATTTTGTCTGGGACAATGTGGTTTGTTTTGACTGTCACATATCCTATTAGTTTCTTCTTTTAGCAGTTTTAAATTATTTATATGAACCCCAGCACCCTCATTGAATAAAGATATGCATTTAACGACTTCCAAATGTCTTGTTGCTCATTAACTAACAACCTTGTACTTTAAATGTTTTCTCCATAGTTTTGGTCAAGTGAGGATTACCTCGAACTTAAGGACATCCCACCAAACTGTGGAAGTAAGACGGCCACCAGTTTTTGTCATGTGAATTGTGATGTCATTCAACTCGGACCAAGGACCCAATCGACCCCTTGGCCTTTGACCCTTATTAACCCTGGGTTAGAGTGCTGCATTCAAGGTGTAGCCATCTGTGTGCCTTGTTGTGTCGAGGCTTCCCTCCTCCCTCACTCTTTATTATCCCTCCCAGTGTTCACGAGCAGTGGAGTGATCAGAGGAAACCCCTAGATGACAGGATGATTCACTACTGCAATCCTCTATAAGTTAGAAATATATGTGAGCCAAGGCAGTGGAGAAATGTAACTAAGTACAAATCTGAAGTACTTGTACTATAATTGAGTATTTCAATTTTTCCATACTTTATACTTCTTACATTTCAGAGTGAGATATTGTACTTTTTACTGCACTACATATATGACAACAGGTTATGTTGCAGATCATGATTTTATATACAAAAGCAATGATGAGCTAAACTGCAGTTATACTACAGTATATAAAATAGCCAGAATTGTATATAGCGTTCTACTTTTAAGTCCATTTAGCTGATAGTACTTAAAATAACATTTTGAATGCTGGATTTTTACTTGCAAAAACTTGAAGGATCTAAATACGGAATACATTTTCAGGACAAACTATATATAGCCTATATTTCCCAATGTGTTGTACTCTGTTTAATGTTTGAATCATGATCATTTAAAGAAGTAAATATGACATTTTATTGATATTTGTCAGTGGTCGCTGTTCCAAAACTCGCCTGTAAATGGACACGAACAAGTATTCAACACTTCATGCCCTCATGCTTGTTCAGACAACATTTTCAGTCAGACTTCAGTGTAGTGGTTCTCAAGAAGTGTGAAGGCAGTCAACCACAGTCAGTGCACATCAATAAGGAAGCCAGAGGCACCTACTGAAGATTTAACAGATGATTGTTACTCATACTTCCTTTTAGCAGTGACAGGATTTTAAAACGTTGTGGATTGAACTTTGAACAAAAAAAAGGGTTCATCCACCCCTCTTATCATTCAGCTGGAGGCATGTAGTTATCAGCTGCTGAGTTAAAGGTTTGTTTACTGTATTGACTGTGACAGTCCGAACATATAATGTGACTCTGTATGAACCAAATGCATGAGGACGAATTTGCACAGAGAACAAAGTCTAATTAACATAGAGAACTACTGAATGGGGCTCTTGATCATTGTCTCGTTGCTACAGTGAGAATTTTTCAAAATATGCTCCTTAATACCACCGTCATCTTCCTGAAACTGTACCTTCACTGTTAGTGGAGAGCATTTATCCACTTTACACTTGATGATAACAGTGTCATTGGAAGCTTCTTGGCTACAGCGGGTGACATCAGGCATCTCATCTTTGGACAACCGACACAAAAGCTGGTCCTTGTCGATGGAGACGACTGGCAGTCTGCTCAGATAGCCCGGGCTCTCGCAGAGCATCCTTTCAAGCATCTCTATGTCTTGGCTGTTTCTCAGCACCCAGTCATGCAGATACCACATGTGGCAGTCACATTTCCAGGGGTTTCCGTGTAGTCTCACTGTGTGCTGGAGGACAAAAGGGTCTAAAAGGCCTGGTGGGAGCGTTTCCAGCTGGTTTTCAGACAGGTAGAGCTGCTGGATGAGCAGCTGATCCTCAAACAGTTTGGCATCCACGTTGGTCAGGTTGTTGTTGTTTAAGTGGATTGCCTTGATGCTAAATAGGCCATGAAAGATCATTTCGGGCAGTGAGGTGAGCTGGTTTTCAGACAGGTCCAGATTCTCCAGGACTGTAACATTTCTAATAATGTCTTGAGGAAGGGTGGAAAGCTGGTTACAAGACAAGATAAGGTCCGTAAGAAATGTCAAACTGCTTAGAGAGGACAGCTCAGTCAGTCTGTTGCCTTTTAGGTTCAGCTCCTTCAAATTTGTGGCCTCGAATCCAAACACTTTATCGCTGAAGGTTGTAAGAAGGTTTCCACGGAGGTTCAGCACCTTCAGTTCGGTTAACATAAAGAAGATGCCGTCAGCAAGCTCTGATATCGTATTTCCCTCCAAGTGAAGCTCTGTCAGCTGAGAAATATTGTGGAACGTGTCAGATGCAAGAATGCTGATGAGGTTATAGTTCATTTTAAGGGTGTCCAGTCTTGCCAGACCAGAAAAAGGTTTCGCTTTTCACTCCTTCAAGCTGATTTTGTGACAAATCCAGGACACGCAGATTGTGGAGGTTCAGGAAAAGGAATGTAGGCAGATCTGATATGATGTTGCCCTTCATTTGCAGCGTTTCTAGCTGTTTAAGAGAGTCAAACATACCAGGAAGCACCGTCTTGAACCTGTTGAAGTTAAGCACCAGTTTAGTCAAGTTCCCCTGCTTTGCAAAAGTCCCCACATATAAATCCTCCAGTCCAGGGTTCCCACTGATTTCCAGCTCCTGCAGCTTAGCCAGATGCTCAAAAGACTTAGAGTGAATACTTCGCAGTGCATTATTTAGGAAGATAAGCTTGGTGAGTTGGGGGCTTTCCTCTAAAGTGTGGGAGAACAGGTAGGCCAGGGATGATGACATTATAATAAAGTCCTTGACCTGCCTGGACGTGTTCCTGGGTAAAGATGACATTCCTGCATCAGCACATAGTACTTGGACTGGAGTGAAACACTGGCATTTGTATGGACAAGAGGTTTGTATGTCTGTGTTGCCTTTGTGACAGAGAAGCAGCACCAGGAACAGAATCAGGCTGCGGTCTTTGTCCATTTTTCACTGTCAAATCATGAAGAAAACTTGTATGAATTAACAGGAAATCAACAGTCAATGTTGCTTTGATTTAAGAGAATTGTACATTGTACTCCTGTTTGTTTTTCTAGCTGTCATTAAGTCACAGAGAAAAGAATCAGTAACATTCAAACTGTATGTTTCCATTTAAATACATTTAATTCAACGTACCTCTGTGTTACAGGGATCCTGTAGCATTGAATTTCCTTGTGGATCTACAAGCCAGCTGAAACAAAGTGCAAATGACAACAAGTCTGAATTAGGCAAGACAAAACCTTTGGTCAGTGGCCATGCAGCTCCTGCCATGGTTTCATTTGCTCACGACAAAAAAAAGGCAGACAATCCTGTAATTTCGTAAAACAGCTCCCATAGCAGAATATAGTTTAATTTTATTTGTTGCTGTAATACACAGCGTGATTAAAAAGCAGAGGAATTTCATGTTTTTAATGTTAGTTTCAGAAAAAGTTTGTCACAGTTGAGTCACTATTTACCAAAACAAATAGATCAGAGAGTAAATGTGATTTCAAAAGTAGATCATTCTTTTTTTCTAATTTTCTGCCAGAAATAACAAATACTACTACTGATAATACTACCACATCTACTGCTCCTACTACTAATGATTCTATTGGTTTTATACTATTTATTATATTTATCATTCTTTTTGTTTATTTTTGAGACATTTCCTTTACAAGAGAGACCTGGCCAAAACAGCAATGCAGACTAGTTAACACAGAGTCAAAAAACAAAAAACATTCACATACGGTAGAGCATAATAACACCGGACCAGAGAGGCTTCAAGGGGAGAACTTCAACCTTTATTTCTTATTCATAAAACATGTTTCTGTGTGGTGTTTAAATGCCTGGTGAGAAGTCAGTGTTTCCAAATGAAGTTTGTCATGTAAATTGCTCCATGCTTTGGAACCTCAGCTGTAGTGTGAATACCAATTGTGAATATTATAATGTCTTACTGTGTTTGAGAGTAAGTACCTTATACAATCTACCGTATCTACCTGCGCTCCTTGTATCAGTGTATTTTTCTATGGAGGTTATTTTGTGACTTTGCTGTACATTTAGGAGCAGTTTCAGTCATTGCAGGAAACCATCACCTCCACTAGGTGTCATCCTGCTCCTCCTGACCTCAGTCAGAGGCGATGGAATTCCTGGGTCCTCCCTCTCCTCCAGGGTGTGATGATGCACAGGTAGACAGCACTGTTTGGGATCAGATGCACCAGCCAAAACCAGCAGGAACTACATCAAGAAAGCTTTTGGAACTTTTTCAATCTTTTGGAACTTTTCTTTTTCTCCTTTTTCTTTTTTTAGGTTTCTGAGGTTAAACGATGGCCAATGCAGGTATGCAGCTTCTCGGCTTCACGCTGGCCTTCCTGGGCTTCATTGGCACAATAGCATCCACTGTTATGGTAGAATGGAAAGCTTCGTCCTATGCAGGAGACAACATCATCACAGCTCAGGCGATGTTTGAAGGGCTGTGGAAGAGCTGTGTATCTCAGAGCACTGGTCAAATTCAGTGTAAAGTGTATGATTCACTTCTCCAGCTACCAGGTAATGTTGTTTCACATATCTTCTTTTCATGATACCTTTTATAAGATTAATTTACAAAGACAAACACTTATATTATAGCATAAGCCAATCACTCAGTATATTGGTTGCTAAATTTCTTCTTCTACAAAAATATGAGTGTGGGAAGAGAATGTGTCAATGAATGGTATATTTATTAACAACATTTTATCTTTTTCAATAGTGACTTTATGAAATTGTAATGAAATCTCTCAATTTTAGAAGATATTTGGGCTGTCTCCTATAAAACAGTAATCTGTATAGTCATTCAAACTTTCTTAGAGGTTTAGGAAAGTGCCCCCTCCTCTCCCTGTAAGACCTCTTTACATGTAGAGACATGTCAGTCAAATACCAGCAGCTGAAGAAACTCCTCCTTCTTTTGAAATCAATTCCAGAGAAATAGTTCAAATGCATCTACGTGAGTGGGTTTTCTTTTCTTTTCTACATCATCAAAGAAAAGCTGATGCCAGCTCCATCAGATAAAAAGAAAATCCTGGAGGGCATGTTTTCCAGCACTGCAGCTTTCCTGACTGTAATGTGACTTTTGGTAAACAAGAAAGTGAAAACTGAGATTCAGTAAAGACATAGTTAAGTAACTACATACAAAAGACGGCTTGCTGGATGATTTTGATCAGATTTAATTTAAGCTTTTATTTTAGATATACTAGAAATAGATGTAATCGATGTAATAGCATAGAGGAAGCAAGCAGGAGTAGGGAAGACCCAGGGGAGTCGACAGGAAATACAATCAACTGCTCAACTTTATAAAGTCAAAACTCAAAGCAAAATAAATAACAAAAACATGTGGAAACATGCTCACATTGAGTGATCTTGTACATGTCTTTGTCTCCAGGGATTGTACAAGGCACACGAGGGTTGATGCTGGCCTCCGTCTTGCTGAGCTTTATTTCTATCATGGTGGAGGTGGTGGGCATGAGGTGCACCACCTGTATGGCACAAGACCCGAAGCAGAAGGACAAAGTGGCTCTAGCTGGAGGGGTTATCTTCATTATCGCCGGTCAGTGTCCATTCAGTTCAGACACAGTGCAACACAGTGATTGAACACATTGAATATTTTTTTCACTAAAGAAGTTCCATCACACCACTGAATATTTCCCTTTGACCACAATAATACAACCACTTTTAAACATGATTTGACTTGTAGGGAATTTGTGGGGTTTTCTTTACCTTCATAAAGATAATACATGAAAGATAACACACTCCTGTATGTTTTAACCTGTATAATACAACAATACAATATGTTCTTCTGCTCATGGTTTTCCAGGTCTGCTTGCTCTGGTGGGAACATCTTGGTATGGCCACAGAATAGCACAGGAATTCTACAACCCATTGACTCCCACTAATTCCAGGTGAGCTCTTCCTTCTCTGCCATTCAGTCTGGAATTCACACTAATTATCAGGAATCAGTGTAGTGTAATGACGCAGAGGAGTCTTTTATTATGCTGTCATTTGTTATTACACACCTATAGGAGAAGTTTAATTTTTTAAAAGTATATAAGTAAAAGCACAATACCGCTCTGTAAAAGGCCTTCCTTCTAGATTTATATTAAAAAATATATATTAGATATATTTTCATTAATGTAAGACCGTTGTGTTTTTGTTACCTTAGAATGAGACGCTTGTATTTCCAGAGGTCTTCTTCTAAGGAGGCTGCCTTGTTGAACCGCCATGTTTCTACCGTAGCTCAGAACGGACAAACCAAACACTGTCTCTAGATAGGAGCCTTTTCTGGTTTTCTTTTGTGCTTAGAAAGCGAGCAGTATTCAGCTGGTGGCTATCTGCAGCTTCACTGCTAGATGGCACTAAATCTTTCAGACTGGTCCTTTAAAAAGTCTTATTAGTCAAAGGTAGGCTACAAATGTATCAAACATAAACATATCTACTGGGCACTCCTAACTAAGTACTTTGTAAACTGTTGCATAGTTTAATTTACGGCACTGCATCACATTTTATAAATTGATTGAAAATTTAATCTGCAAAGTAACTAGTAACTGGCCAATATCCGTCAAATAAATACAGTATAGTATAGAGTAAAAAGTATACTATCTGCCTCAGAAGTATGTGGAGCAGAAGTATCAAGTAGCATAAAATTGAAAGACTACTTGAGTAAATGTACTTTACACCCCTAACATGGTAAATGTGAAGCTAAAAATGGGACAAACGGCTATAGCCTGGAGTCTCATCATCACTGTGAGTGAAGTGGTCACTCCAGGAAGTCACTTCAGCCAGCCAAGAAAACATAACCCCCAGTACAACCAGAATGTGTTGTGTTCTCAGCCAGACTTGTTGTTTCCGCCTGTTTCCAGTCTTTATGCTAAGCCAAGCTAACAGGCTGCAGACCATAGCTTCATATTTAACTTATAGACATGAGAGTGGTATCAATATTCTCATCTAACTCTCAAAAAAAGCAAATAAGCTTTTTTCCCAAAATGTTAAAGTATTCCTTTAATTTTCCAGCACACTCTTTCGTGCTCATGTCGTTAACTTTACAATAACGTCTTGAAACCAAACGTTGTGATGCTTGAACCTCGCTGCTGTGAATCAGACATAATTGAATATAATATAAATAAATTTGTGTGTAGACTTCAGGACTTGTACTGCTGCTAAATCTGTGAGAAAACTCACTCTTCCCTGTCCTTTCAAAATGTCCAGATAAGTAATGTGTGAATCATTCACAGGTATGAATTTGGAAGTGCCCTGTATGTTGGATGGGGAGCTGCCTGTCTCACTGTTATTGGAGGAAGCTTCTTCTGCTGCATCTGCTCCAACGAGGGCTCAGGGAAATCTCCGCGCTACCCACCGTCCAGATCTGCAGGACAGCCGGGCAGGGACTACGTCTGAGACAATCACTGCATCCAGAACGCTGTCTTACACATGTCATTCACATTTGTTTGATGTTTAGCAACATGTATGTTTTCAAGTGTTATATTTGGTGTATGTTTATAATTGTTGGGAAATAGACTCCATTCTTTGGTCGAAAATGTCACATGAAATTAAATATTATACATATAAAATATCTTTTGATGCAGTAATAAAACCCTTATTACTTCCCTATTATTGTATGTTTTTATATCATTCAAGTTTTATTTGTTTGATGTGTTTGTCAAAATCAGTGTCTGTCTCTAATGTCTGGAGCTGGATATTAACTCTTCAGAAAGTAGTTAAGTAAAGAATAAGTTGTAGATACAAACAGGGACATATGCTTCACTAGACAGGAAGGGTATGTGATAAAATGTAATTTGAAAAGTAACAAGTAATTACAACGGTCAGATACACGTACTGGAGTAAAAAGTACAATATTTGCCACTGAGATAGTGATGGAAGAAAGTATGCAGTTGTAATAGAAATACAAATAAAAGTACCTACAATTTATACATAAGTATCGGACTTGTGTAAATGCTCTTAGTTACATTTCACCACTGCAAATATAGAAACTAAATTTAAAAAAAGACGCAGTTATTTCCTAAATTGGCCTAACACTGTCATTTTAACAAATATCCCAAAGAAGAGTAAATGTTGAGAAATAAGTTACAGCTTTGAGAACCGTCAAAATACGTGTTTGCAGAATCAGTGACCGTGGTGGGTGGAATTTATTATGAACAATGAACAAAAAATATTTCTTATTGCTTTTACACATAACAATGACCAGAGTCACTATGATACTGTAAAATAGGGACACCATTACTCATGTGAGACCTGAGTTAAGGGAGTCCTGTGTGTATGTAAGTGTGTGCAAGCATGTATGTGTGTGGGGGAGGGAGAAAATAAATCCACCATTCACTTCCCTCATCCCTCCCAAAGTGATCCATTACAGCACATCCCTCAATGCAAGAGCTAAGACACAGTACGGAAGACACGGAAAGTATCACGCAAATCCACCCTGTGGAGAGGTAACAGCGTGGAACATGGAGAACAATCTTTTAGTTAGCCTGACTGTTAAGAAGCATAGGAAGTTTAACTTTAAACAATCTGTAAAACGTTAAAAAAAGGAGAGTTTTCATTGTCCAACATGTAGCTGTGACTGCTCCAGAAATGTGTCACCTCAGGGAAGGCAAAACTAATCCAAACAGGGAGGCATACCTCAGACCATCGGCTCCTGTCCCAACATGTCTCCTCACAGAAGAAGATAGTCATCACAGTTCATGGAAACCAAATTCCACAGAATTTATACCCACCTACCGTTTAGCACATTAAATCACACTCTTGAAATTCTCAGAATTTCAGGCCTGAAATGTAAGACTAGGATAGCACTCCCAAGATACTGATATTGTTATCTTACAAAAAGTTAAATGAGAGTGCTGTCCTAGTCTTTTCTTCCATGATTTAACACATTTAGGATCCAGCACCAAGTACTTAAAGTCTTACTGGGAGTTGAACATGTCGTGTTATTTCATCCTACCAGCACCTGCACATGCACAACATGATTGTATGAACTCACAGTTGTTTCCATTGTCTCACTTCCAGCACAGTCAGGGTGCAGGGATTCTGCAGCAGAGAGCTCCGCCATCTGGTAATGCTGCAGTCTGCAGCTCAAACATCAGGCAGCTGTAGATCGTTTGGACTCATCGAAGACAACAGAAAGTTTGCGTATTGTGTGAAATGATGAATATCTGACAATCGAGTTCAAGTTTATGTTTAACTTGTTTATGCAAAAAGGGAAAAAAACAAAGACAATACACAAATAAATACACAAATACACTAAAACAAAACAATAATTTAAAATAAATTAAACTATATGACAAGGAAGATGACATGGTTTGTTTGTTGTAGTATCAAAAAGCAAAAAAATACAGAGAAAATAACAATTTGTCATTTGTCAATTGTCTATTTTTTTCTTGTACTTCCAGGAACTAATCTGGACTCATATGACAGTGTTTTGTCATTCTGATGTACACCAGAATGAAAAGCACTGAAAAACTATATGAACCTACAAGGTAATGTAAAGATATGATTGTAAGTACAGTGTTAAACAATGTTAAGTTAGGACAATCAGACCAGGTGACCTACGCCTTTATAGAAAGTATCTTTTCCATTCTATGATTTTGTAAAGAGTAAAGTGAAAATATTCTATGAGGAGTGATAATGTGTGGCCACTAGAGGACAACAGAGGCCATGTTTTGGATCAATTTCCACTCCCAACACTTGACATAAAACAACAAACTAACTACAAATCAAAGCAAGAATACCAGTAAAATATTGATTTAATGTCATAATTAAATGATATACATATAAAAACTCCATCAAGAGTTTGATTTATAATTCTTACTGTTAGACAAGATTCACATTATTGAAGATGGCTCTGGTACAGATATTTTAGGGTTTATTCTGAGCCATTTAATACAACGTGGAGTATATGACATTATGTGCACCAATTTTTACAACCATTTCCCTTTACATGTATTGTTTAGGAAACAATGCAATTTTTACAATAATCAAATATTTCAAACATGAACAGGAACAGAATAAAGCACACCGACCACAACAATCACCATGAATTTATAATTAAATTACCATAATTAACAAATAAACAGTAAACCTCATTTTTGATACACTTCAGTACGGCTCTGACTCTTGTACTACTTAATACTAAGATCTTTAAAAGCGTTTCTGTTGCAGCACTGTTGCAGGTCTGAAAAAGAGAGTCAGAGCATATCAAATATAAATGTCTGGTATCCATGGCATCGCAGGCTTAAAGGAGAGGAAGTTTACCAACAATAAGTGACCACAGTGACATGCAACATCCCTCAGATTAGACCTCTGATCTTACGAGGAGCTCTAAGAACCTTCTTAAATTACTGTAAGCTACTTGTCCAAATCCTTTTTCTTCAAAGTTACAATATACACTCAAGGCATGTTTGCATGTTACTCCTCAGCACCAGCACTATTATATCTTATCTGTATTTCAGCAAATAACCCATAAAATATGCTGCAATAAAAGCCATTCAGATTGACATTTTTTATGATCTTAGTAAAGCAACTCGACATTTAGGCTGATGAAGTGCATCAAGAGAGCAGCACTCGAGGGCTTCCCCCTCTTCAGTCCAGTATTGGATCTGGAGCTGGACCAGACTTTAACTCAAACTGCTGTAATCAACAGAGTGCATCTGGCAGACATCACAGAAAAATCAATGAGCGGGTAGGAAATCAAATGGAAACCTAAACTGCTGTTAAAATCATTTCTGTCTTCCATGTGTTGTTCTCTTGAATGACACAAAAAAAACTCCCCCGAAAGTGCAGAATAAAGGAGATGTGTTGGTGTGTCAGCTACAGTCGACACTGGGTACGGATCAGCTTTATCTCACACTGCACAAATACAAACCTGAGTTATCAGAGCTGCCCAGACCATCAGATTGATCTATTCACCGTTAATGTAGAAATAGTTTTATGCGTGACAAGCGAGTGTAAAGCAATATAGTGGAAGTCTGATTCCCGTGTCCTCCTTGAATAGTCTAATGAGTTCCTGAAGATTTGGCAGCTTTAACTGGATTATACAGACACACTGACAGTCAAAGTGATGTTACTGAAATGTAAACCTTACTGCCTAAACTCTTTCCAAACATTGTAGATTATAATTTCATTGCTGCCTTCTAATATTCTATCTTTGACTGTAAATCTAATAAGGATCAGAGGCATTTTGTCTGATGACACTGCAGTTATTCCCTGCAAAGATAGTGACCCTCCTATCTTAATATGTACAGAATATATATTAATACCATCTTTCCACCAAATTATTGATTAGTCGAGGCTCTTATAGAAACACTTCAGCTCATTTGATCTACTTTAAGTGGCCTTTATTTTATGAACCAACATCTTTAATCACAAGTTAGTTTAGACTTTTAAATATATGATACAGTGTTACAATCTAAAAACACTGATTTGCATTAAAATTAGCTTCAGTAAAATGCTGCTTCCACATTACTGGAGTGGAGACAGTAAATATATACATAACAATATAACAATCACAGATGCCATTTGTCTGCATAAGAAATTATTTTCTTTAAATATTCTAAGCTTGTTCTGCTGATAATACTTCTGATAGATAGATAGATTGATAGATAGATAGATAGACAGATAGATAGATAGATAGATAGATAGATAGATAGATAGATAGATAGATAGATAGATAGATAGATAGATAGATAGATAGATAGATAGATAGATAGATAGATACTTATCCCTAGGGAAATTCAACTTCTGCACGTTTACTGAAGTAAGATTGCATGACCTAACTTTTAGTGGAGTATTGCTCTTCTTACAGAAATAAAAGACCTGAATACTTCTTCCACCACTGCTTACTGGAGCAGAGGTTTTCTGCAGCCTACCAGCAGAGGTGCCCTCTCACCTGATTTGAAACTCCCAGTCTAACATTCTGAGCCTCAGTCTGGGCAAAGATCCACCAGTGGAAGCTGTACAGCATGCCCCAGATCAAAATAACCTGATCTATGGATCCACTCTGCACTCAGGAGCTGGTATACCAGCTGCCTGTTAGCCAGGGAGCTGCAGAGACGTCATATCTTATTATAGAATTAAAATATTGTGTTTTTGTTTTGCAAGTTTGAAGACTTTTATCAGATGTGATGCATAGTTTATTGCATTGGCCATCAGTTTGATTACTTCTTATGTGATTTTGTGTACATTTGCTTTATTATCATATATATTGTAAATAATAATTAAAAAAAATACCTTCACCCTGTATCTGACATATTAAATATACAATAAGAACTGCTTCCCTCCCTCTGATGTAATCCATGGGGGTTCACCTCAGGGGTCCCACTGCTGGATACAGTAGATGGAAAGAAAAACAACCTGCCTGCTGACACACTTATTAAAATCATCAATGTACTTTGTTAGATATGAGTCCGCTGCAGGGGTCACTGTGAAAGCAACTGGCCTCCTGGTGAAAGCTCTTCCTGTGCATTTATTGTCCTCATCAGCCTCTTTTTCTCATTGTTAAGTTGTTTTTTTTTTTTTTTTTTTGAATTTGGCACTTCATAAGAATAAAGAACACAGAGTGAAATTGATTGAGAAGATGCACACACACACACACACACACA